AGGAATGTCATCCACTAAAATGTTGAGTTCTGAACTTCGATAAGCCTTTTATTCGTAACAAGTTTTGCCTATTGAAAATAGGCAAAACTTGGGTGACGCTCAAGAGTACAATGTGACGCCAGGGGTGACGCTCAAGAGTACAATGTTCAAATGTTTTGGCATAAATTTATCTGACCCTAGAACTCGGACCGCCAAACTTTTAATTAAATTTCCGTCGAGTTGAAGGTAATAAACAATTTTCGTTCTAATTTTGTTTGATTTCCTTTTCGCGTGACCCTATCCCTGCAGTTTATCCTTTGGTGGATTGAAGAAAAAACTGTAAAGTTTACATAGGCAAAATTTACATGCTGCACATTCTACATTTTGTCCCAATACTTATTAGATTTTCACTTATTACAGCGCTATTGACTTACTGAGTGAAAAATTGATTAGACATCATTCACATTTAGATTTATTGACGACTGAATAAGGAAACATCAATCATGTCTTTTGGAGAATATGCCAAAATCATCGGAGAAAAACAAATTAGATTCTTCCCATGCGATGCGATTGTATTTACTGATCGCAAATAACTGTTATGGCACGCAGTTCCTGCACCTAGTTTTATTCTGCATTTTTTTCTTTATCTGAGTATCACGTTTGAGTCAGTAAATGGGAATTTCCGACACAGTTGCTGCGAGGTGTTCCTCTGCTGTGGATAATGCTTGTATAGTCCTGAGCAATTATCAAGCGACGATCATGATATCACTTCAACTATCGGCAGTAAATCATATTTTGTTCTTTATATTTGAAATTTTTACTCAAATCATTTCAAGCACTTTGCATCGCTGGAGAATCATCACACTTTCATATGCTTAGGTTGTTCCAATTGAGGTGATGTGTAACTAAATTGTATGCCGTAAAAATGACATAGACGTCGATTCTTCATGTAAACTTCCTTGTTAGAGTAGGATAGCTGCACGTACAACCGAGTCAGCATGCAAACATTTTATAAATATTTACTAATAAGGGGAACCACACTCGTAATTTTGGCTTTGAAATAAATTTTGTGATTTCCTCCAGTCACGTCGGATACTTTTACCTCTATAAACCACAGGCTGACAACTCTGATGTGCCCAAGGGCACATGACGTTAATTCCTTGACAGGGAATACTTGCTCTCAATCTCAACCGTCCCAAGGTTGGAAAATTGTGGTTCCCTGGTTAGAATCCGTTTATTACTTGAAGTCGTAAACTATTAATTTGATCAGTTATGGGAGTGCATGCATGAGATCTCTCCTTGCTGTGTCTAAAAAAAGCTTACGGAAATACATTTCTTCATCTAGAAAACCTGTGTAAGCTTTCGCAATACTTGATGTACCTTGTATCTTTTTCTTTGGCTCAACATTTAGAAGTTGCCGTAGGCAAATATTTTATATTCTCAGTCTCTGGTTTCAGAGCAGGCAAAAGTACCATTAGCATATCAAATTCAAGAATAGAGCCATTGAGTCTTCTCTAAGAGCTACGTCCGCTATCAAACATAATGTGAATCTTAAATATTACAGGCTTAAGGGGTTGACGTTCATAACATTCCTTGACAGAAATTCTCCGATTGTTCAACGATTTTCTCGCACAATTAACAAATACGTTGTACTAGTAGATGTAACAAAAGCGAAATTAAACGAGATTTTACGGGAGACGGATGGATATTTCACTTAATTTACAAAGGGAAATGGAAGACCCTTTTGCGATATTGCGAATCTCGTTTGATTGACAGCGATCTCAACACCTTGTTTCATTATTATGAAATCTCGGTAGGAAGAGCTAAGATAGCCGGAGGCGAATTGGATTTTTCTATTTTGATAGTAAAATATCATTTGACGTTCAGGCAGATGTAGTCGCGATTTCCCCCGCTCTGTCGTGTCTGGGCTTCAATTACCCCGAGGGAGGATGTTCATATGGGGGATAAACGTGGGCTCAAGTTCCGAACAGCGTCTTCTTACCGAAACTAAGAAGTGTTTTGGAAAATACTGTTTTAAAATATAATTGTTAAGAAGCTCTGGGAATGAACCTGCCCGTGATCAGCTCTTCCTGAATTACGTTTTGCAACAAACAAGCAAGAGAAAAGGAAAGTAGACAGAGAAGAAAACAAACAAACAAACAAACAATGAAGGTTTCTGATCAAGCATATCCCTGCGAACTTGAGTGGGATAATAGAAGAACACTTAAGAGGCCATTTGGATTTAGGCGACGAGCGCTAGGTATCGTTTCATTCTAAAAAGAACACCTCCACACACTTCGCAAGTTTGTCATTTCCTATTCGTGTTAATCCTCTCCTCCCTCATCCGTTTTAAATCCATGTCCAACCGGGACACTATTATGATTTTTGATCTCGTATTTTGAGTGTTCTCTTGACCTTAAGTACGAAAATGACAGAAGCGGAACGATGAAAAGTATCATGAACAGCATTGTTTCACGACTTTCCTTATAAAGAAATTTGTGGTCACATTTTCTTTATGATTTTTGTTGTAATTAAATGCTCTCCTGCAACATTCCCTGTTACAGCTCTTTTAAGTGAAAAGTAAATTTCAGGAGCCAAAACACACTCCCGTTCTTAAGATTATATTTAACTAACGGAAAATTAATACCCTACAATAAAATCCTATTTAACCAAATGTGTTGTTTACAGCATTCAATTATATGGTTTTATTAAGGTTATGATTACAAGATAGCGACTCCTACTCTTTACAATCTACTTATTGTCCAATTGTTCTTTGTTTTTCTATTCAGATATCACTTACAATTCAGGGGTTAATCTAGATATAGATGAAAGGAAGATAAAACTAATAATACGAAAACAAAAAAGCCTTATGGACGTTTCGTGAGATATCCCTTGACCCCATGTTAAAACAGACAGAACAAGATATGTATATGTATACACTAAAGCCCCCGAACATTCCACCAGAATGACGTGCACTTTCAGGGAAAATCGTTTAAACCGTTTTATACATTTTTCTTCAAGTGAGATATCCCTTGACCCCATGTTAAAATAGACAGAACAAGATATGTATATGTATACACTAAAGCCCCCGAACATTCCACCAGAATGACGTGCACTTTCAGGAAAAATCGTTTAAACCGTTTTATACATTTTTCCTCAAGTGAGATATCCCTTGACCCCATGTTAAAACAGACAGAACAAGATATGTATATGTATACACTAAAGCCCCCGAACATTCCACCAGAATGACGTGCACTTTCAGGAAAAATCGTTTAAACCGTTTCATACATTTGTCTTCAAGTGAGATATCCCTTGACCCCATGTTAAAACAGACAGAACAAGATATGTATATGTATACACTAAAGCCCCCGAACATTCCACCAGAATGACGTGCACTTTCAGGAAAAATCGTTTAATTAAACCGTTTTATACATTTGTCTTCAAGGTGTAGACAGCATTTGTGCAACATACCTTCGCAAGCGATTCCAGGCGTCAACCGCGAAAAAAAACAAAACGCGTACACATTTAAGATAATCAGTCCTGGCATATTTGTAACTTGAACATTAATTGTCATATATCTGAGCGGAAAAAAGGTACTCTCCGAGTAAAAATCTTTGCAAGGCTGCATATCTATGCCTAAAATATCCTTGTGTTCATAAAAGTACTTATTAGAACTCTAGAAGGTTCTAGAACAGTGTAGAAGCCTGAGAGATAATTCTCTTAATGAGATTACGTCAATATCATATCATACAGTGCGTGAGTAAAGCTTTCTAGAAGAAACTTCCACAATTCTAGAAGGTTGTGGAAGCCTTTGAAATAACTCTTTTTGATGAAATTACATTATAAATTACATTATCTATTAGCAAGTTCTCTGCAGTTCTTAAAATGACACCAAAAAGTTCTAGTATCTACGCAAAATCGCTTCCTCAAAGAAACTGTCACAATTCTGTGTTAGAAGGTTCTGGAAGCCTACAATATAATAGGATTACATCATGATTATATTATCTATTAGCCAGACCTCAGCAGTTATTAAAATGACGACAGGAAGGCTTAGTCTTTACAACACATGACGATTTTAATCGTATCGTTCTAAAAATTTCGGTTTGAAAACTTAGAGAACATCTCTCGTATATTGGCTCGTTTGGGCGTGCAAATTACTGCGACGCTTCCAGATATTTTCTTCATTTTCCCCCTACTGTAACCGAATATCAGTACAACTGCTGGAAACTGGCGCAATCTTTTCTATACATTGTCGCCTGTAAGCATTCGATCATAAGACAAGAGATAAACACTTTCTTTCTTGATTCCAACCAAAATCCTGCGCTGGTTATTACACCAATAAACAGATGGATAGCCCAGTCTATTGCTTTTATAAAATAACCACGGGTTTATCTGTACAGTAAACGATAGGTTTTTGACAAGAGATTACCAGTTCTAGCAAAATGGAGAACAAATAGTATTCCTGAATTTTTCAAACACCGTGACAAACTGCACTCGACTTTCCTTCCATCTCAGGCAATTTTTTTGGCCTTTATGAAAATATTTTACTCCTCCGAATAGCACCCGAAATCGTGTGATTTCGTTCTCTAATAATATACATGCACAAATGTCAGCGTACTCATTGGCTAATAGCTCGTCAGTTATAGCCAAGCAATGCAGCAAGTTGAATCTAAGAGTAGAAGTGCAATACTCAAAATAATGTCTATCATTATGAAGTACTCAAATCATTTGGAGTGACATTTAGAATACATAAGCTCCAATGCGATTGCCCTGGCCTGACATACGTGTCTAGTCCCTGCCAAGGAACCCACCAAACACCTTCACTTAACTCGTCCTAAATAACTTGTCACGCAATTTGAAACCCCTATGTGATGTAAGGCCAAATTGCCTCTTTCTCATGTCGGTAGTGCGACTTCCCTTGACATTAAGGAAACATTTTTTAAAAAGTCAAGCCAACCAAAAAATTTGTATTCTATGAACCAGCTAGCTCGATCCAGTCTTGAATAATCATCCAGTACTCTTTAGAACCTAGAAGTGTACGAGTCGGCAGCTTGACCTTGGCCGTCGACTATTTCGCTCAGTATTTTCTCCTCCCAATCTTGTTTCTTCTTATGTTTGTCAAAGTCCAACATTTTCTTATTTCTCAGAGCAGCCGGTAGTTGCTTTTTCTTCAAGCTGTTGATCATCACAAGAATTAGTGACGAGTCTCCCGAGTCTATCCCCCTCTGGACAGCCATGTGCAGCTCCTCCCGGCAGAAATTACTGGCAAGGTAATTCTGGGATAAAACGATCAAAACCTGACGGCTGCCATACACATTGTCCGCCATGTTTTCGACTATCGGCTTTCCAAGCTCAAAGTCCCGGCTATGAATGCTGTAAGCTATCGAGTGCTTCTCAAAAATTGAAATGAGGTTCTCATTAGTCCACGCCAAATCTTTTGAACTGAAGCTGACAAACAGTCGATTTAGGGTGGCTGCTTCCTTTAAGCCATCTGTCAGAGGTAAGAAAAAAAGCTATTGGAACACCACTCCTTTCCTTGTTACAATTTGAAAGCCAAGGCGGTTAGTCACTCTATGAATCGGTGCATCGGCCACTTAGTCAGTCAGCTATTTAGTCATTCAGTCAGTCAGACGGCCAGTCGGTCAGTCAGGCAGTTAGTCAGTCAGTCAGTCAGTCAGTCAGTCAGTCTGTCTGTCAGGCAGGCAGTCGGTCAGTCGACCAGTCAGTCAATCAGTCCGTCAGGCGGGCAATCAGTCATACAGTCAGTCAGTCGGTCAGCCAGTCAGTCAGTCCGGTCAGGCGTCCAGTCATTCATGCAGTCAGTTAGTCAGTCAGTCGGGCAGACAGTCGGTCAATCAATGTGTCAGTTACTTGATCAGTCAGCCATTCAGTAATTCAGTCAGTCAGTGGTAGATCAGCCAGCTGATCGGTTAGCCAGTGATTCGATCAGTCAGTTAATAGATAGTCAGTCAGTTAAGTGATCAGTGAGCCATTCAGCCAGTGTGTCAGTCAAAAAGTCGGTCATTCGGCCAGTCGGTTCACCAACTATTTTGTTAATCAAATGGAGAGTCAGTTGGTCGGTCGGTGGATGTTCACTGAAGCTAAATCTCATCCTAAAATAGTCCAGCTAAAACCGCTAAATGTCACGTTTGAGTCTATGGTGCACCTGTACCGTTGGGTTTTTCTCTCCAGAAAATCTGGCAACACGAACTAGTAAATATGATGTCTGCAACTTACATTTTCCCAATTTAAAAGTTGACGAACTCTTTTTCTTGACTAAAAGTCGCACCAACGACATGATGATCACAGTGAGAGTTGCTGCTGAAATAATGATGACTGGTAGAAGCCAGTTCTTTGTACCTCCTGCAGATTTAAACAAAAAGGTTTGAAATTCATGATTCAGCGTAGAGGGATTTCAAATTTGACTTGAAAATACTGAAAAACACTAACCAGAAGGATAGTGAGACGACGGCTTTGCTGTGAATTTAGTTGATTTATTTGCAATGGTCGTGTTCAGTATTGGTGGATCTGAAAATGAACATGTAAGATTCTCTGTGGTCAAACAAGCATGGACAGGAGGGAGATAGGGAGGTAGAGAGGTGGGCAAGGAAGGTGGGAAATGGGAAGATAGGTAGAGGGGAGGGAAGTAGAGAAGTGGGTCGGGAGGGAAGAGGGCAAGTTGGTAGAAGGGACAGAAGGATCTGAGGATGAGGAAAGAGGGAGGAAGAGTTGTAGGGAGAAACTTTTATAAGACATTAAAACAATCTACGAAAGTGGGGGTGAAGGTAGGGAGTGAGGTAAGGTTATGGGTAACTTTGTAGGAATTGTTCTAAAATCTGGAGATTAAAAGGTGATAGTAAGATGTAAGTACATATAAGGGAGGGAGAGAATAACGAGGAGAGAGAGGCAGTTGAGTCATAGGTAGCTGGGTAAGTTAGTAGTTGGTTGACTTGTACTTTCAGTAGGCAGTCTGCTAAAACAGGAAGATAACAGACAAATAGACTTGTCACCAACCGAATAGAAGACCCTGACGTGGAAGATTCAAAACCACACTTTTGTCCATTATATATATTGGTTATGTTGCGACCTCCCTGCCGAGGTCAGTCCCTTGGATTAGCTAAACTAAATAATTGCAAAACAGTTACGAATTTAAGAACTGACTTACCTGGAGGGGGGAGTTTTAAATCAATGAAAGCTGTTAAGTTGGAGTGATATTCGCAAGTCCAAATGCAGCTGTAATTTCCTTCGTCATTTCCAGTAACGTTCAGAATGGACAAAACGGAGACTTCTTCACATTTATTTTTAACTTGTTTTTCTTGTATTCGGTACTTTGCGCTTTTTTCCAAAAGCTTTTTTTCTTTTCCTTCTCGATACCATAATATTTGATGGGGACAATCCTCATTCTGCCCATATAGGCAAGTTAGCTTAATAGTAGAAAATTTCAATTTCGATGCGGAAATGATTGGGTGATGTAGAATTTGAATAGGACCTAAGAAGGAGATAGTAATAATAATTATAATAATGAAGCATTTATAGAGAGCACTCTACATATGAACATGTTCTAATGCACTAAATAACACTTTATGGAGAGTTTTGGCCAGGCTGCTTTAAGCAGTTTACCGAAATTCTTTTAAAGGGAATTTCGCAGATGACCCCAATTTAGGAATCTTTGGAAACAAAGCCAGATCCATAACATCGGGAGCTACGTCACCTACTGTTTGCGAGAAATGCGTGGGTTCTTTACCGTCCCCTGCAAACCAATAGAGAAGAAGATACAGGAGACGGGCCTACGGTTTTTATCCTTACCCGAGAAGACTAGATCGTCATACCAAAGGCAACACATTCTCCTCAGTTGTTTTAAGATCCTGAGTGTTGGTCCGCACGGCAGTTCGGCGGTCTACAACTTGAGCTAACCAGCCGACGCATATATAGATTGTTGCTTATTATATATACATTAGACAAGAGATAATGATTAATTTATAATCTCTTATTATTGGTTTACTGCGAAACGTTTTTTGTAATTATTAATGTTGACAAAAAAATTCATGCACAGTGACATGCTTCTCAAAAAATCGGCATTGATCTTTCAAAATAATTTCTTAAAATCAAACTCGTGTTAGAAAATTTTTGGAAAAATAACCTTCTATGTCAGAAATTCGAACTGTAAATTTACCACAACTTACGGTTACGATACTTAATCAGATCTGAAATGCTTACATTTAAATTTAACCTGTAATCTCTCAGAAGCATAACTCGACCAGTTAGATTCCTGGTTGGTAGCACTGCATTCGTAAAATCCCTCTAGTTCCCCTCGGCCAGGCGGGAGGAGAAGAGTGCTTTCGATATATTTTCCTCTACTCCTCTGATACTCATAAATTCCTTTGGATCCGTTGACGACTTTTTCCCCATTCCTGTACCAGTGGACCAGCTGAGGGGTAGGCTGTCCCGAAAAACAGCACTTTATTTTCTTCTCCTTGTCTTTAAGAATATTGTCAGGCGTGGGAGAGGTACAGACAACTTTCACCGCTTCTAGGGGAGGGAAAATGCATCGAAAAACTGCTCAAAAATCTCTCCATGTTAATGCACGCACTCGAGAGCTGACATAAGTTAACCTTTATGATAATTTATTTAGCTAAGTTTCAGGAAAATGGATGTTATCAATACTGTTGCTAACGTGTTCCAGACGTTCTATCAACAAAATGGTGCAAAATAGTAAACAGATCGATAGTATCGGCAGAGCGAAGACTGAGGGGGGCTTGGGTCGAGTTTTTCATCGCGCAATTAACCCGGTCCTCTTGCGTTTCTTCACTCTTCCGCTACTATCGCGCCAGTGACTACGCGCATCGTTTTATTAAGTGAACGTCGGGAAGTGGTTATAGTATCACTCCATGTTTAGTTACACTTTATGATAAAGTCAAAACTGATCGAAATTATAAAATAAAAAAAGCAAAAGATAACAGGATGACTTTAAGATGAGATCTTGATTGGATTTATCATTTCGAAGCAGCAATGATTGATAAATTATTGAAATTTGCCTTCCCCTCCCGCACAACATGGGTCTAGAGGATTTTGGTTGTAAACTGATTTACCTGATCCCCCTACAGGGCTCTATAATATTTCTATTATCCTACCCTCCCCCTCCCTCCCCCTCCCTCCCCCCTCCCCCCCCCCCCCTCCCCTCCCCCCCCCTCCCCCCCCCCCCCCTCCCTCCCCTCCCTCCCTCCCCCCCCCCTCCCTCCCCCCCTCCCCCCCCCTCCCTCCCTCCTTCTCATTAGCAATTAATTAGCATAAATTTCCCATAGTCCTCCCTCATACTTTGTTGGCGAAGACTGATCCACTCTTCGAGAACCATGCGATCCTCTCCAAAATCCTCCACTCCCCCCCACCCCGCGGTGATAAATAATAAAAATGAACAGACGAGCCACTGCTAATATCTATTCGCTTTCCGTCTTGTTCCCAACTCATACCTATTAGTTGTGTTCTTGAAATGGCCGAGCCATTGAGAGTTGTATTGAGGCCTGGGTCTACCTTCGTTGATACGGAGTCCTGCCAATTACCCTGAGATGAGAGACACGAGGACTTACATCTTGCAGATGACACACCTGTTAAGAAAAAAACAGAAGAAATAGGACATAAATAGATATATGAACAGAATTAGGTGAGAACAAAACGAATTAATAAATATATATCAGAGTGAACGTTTATAGGGAACGAGACTAAATTGCTCTCTCGCTTTAAATTATTATCATTTTATGATATCCACGAATTCGCTCACTCAAAACATTATGTGGATCACGCGTCTCTTGGAAATTTTGACCCGGATTCTAGATTTTTTTTTTGAACTTCGGACCGAGGATCGCGGCGTTAGTCTCTGTTCGCCCTCGGTCGGTATACTGTTTCGACAAGTTTGTTAACTGTTCAGCTTTTGGCATTTAGAGAAAGACTGGTAACCTTTTCTGACTTACAGACTTGACAGCTTAGAAATTCAGTTTGAAAGAGCCTCAATTTTTTCACTGCCTTTTGTAGTACTTTCAAAGACAGAATTCTTACATGCGAACATTCGTATGCAGTTTACATGCAGCATTGGGATTTTCAAACTGGCCGAAATCCGAATATAAACGATCCAGCGGAACATCGGATTGACAGATTGGGATTAAATGTTGCTCACATCGGCGGAGGCATAGACCGGATGCAAATGTAGCGCATTACTCGGTCGGCCCGGGTTGAGTTGCACGATAGCGAGGCTGGCAAGGCCTTGGATTTTGTTGTGTGACCGCAGCTCTGGAGAGGTATTGCTTCGTTGTCAATCTATTCCGTTCTATTTCGTATGCTTCTGAGTTTTTGTGTTCCTGAAAGCCTTTAAAAGGAAACGACATCTTCCACGGGAGAGTAGTCTGCCATATTTGGATCCGGTGTTTAGCCTCATTCAATATTAGAATGCAATTGATGTAGAGGGTGAGTCAAGTTTGACAACTCGAATTCGAAAACGGTTTAAGTCTTGACGAAAGTGAAAATACACAGCCGCTCCATCCTGAGAGAGACTCTAATAGACTGCTGCTTTTTTGGATGACGAGAAAGTGAAATAATTTTGAAAATATAAAGAAATAGTTATGAAAAGAATTTATAACAAGATCTAGACGGCATGAAAATATCTGCTCTAGCTAATTTCTTTTTTAGACGTTCGCCATTAACATCTCACGCTCATCTTTTCGATTCTTGGCTAAATTAAGAATTGTGCTTCAGCTGCCTTTACTTTGAATGTACTTAGCTTGCTAATTAACGTCCATGAAGAATTTTTTGCCCCAGGGGGAATATGTATTGCACTGGCAGAAATTTAATTCTAAATCCAGGAAAAAGTGAAGAGCAAGAATGAAGATAACCTCACTCTCAAGCAAGCTAAGGCGTTTCAACGAAAGGGCGCTGAGCGATGAAACTGCAGTCACCTAATTCATTAAAATATATTCAGATTCAATTTCAGCACCTTATGGTTTTTGACTCAGCTATACAAAGGTTATCTGTAGTCACAACAGCAGTGCCGTGTTTTAAAACTTGACAACTTGTTTTGTGCACACACAGTATGGTTTTGACTTATTAGCTGAATGAAATTTATCCTTAGTCATAACAGTACAATTACTTGGGAACTACTTGTGTACACTTATAGAGGTCACACGTCTCCCGTTACACCAATTTGCCAGCTGTTAATCATCTAAACAGCCAATATCTGCCGTTGGTTGTGGATGGTTGAACTGAAACGTGGAGGGAGACAGACCAAAAACCGAACTCATCAAAATTAGAAATCGCTTTATCACGCATCGTCAATATTTCATAACACACGAAAAATGAGAATATTCATACCGTTAATATGTTTAGCATAAATAATATATTTTCTTTCAAACTTAAAAAAAATTGTTTCTTCTAAGAGACAAAACATTTCGCAATACTGTGCTCTAGGATTTAGGGAACTAAGCTAATTTCGCACCCTTTTAATTGCAGCTGTTTTGTGAAAGAAAAACAGGTTTAATTTCAAGATAAAAACATTTTGAATTTGTTTTGTGGTCATTAGCCTTTAAATAAGCTCTTTTTTTTCTTTTAGAAGAACACGTGATGGTGACGCTTCCCTTCCCTCCCTTCGCTCGATTGAAATGTTTTAGCGTTAGTTTTCAGCCAAAAAAAATTAACGTTACGTTATTCACAATATGATTGAGATTCTTAAGAACAATGGTAATGTAAAACGGATCCTCTTAGAGTAAATTTCCCAACCTTAATATTTGCGTCATGTTATGCGAAAATTTCCAAGTAACAGGTTCCAATAAGTTTTCTTGCAAAATGAAATAGTTTTCATATTCAGAGCGACTAGTTTTGTTGTTGTTGCTCTCCTGCAAAAGGAGGTACCCGTCATAAAAGAAACACGAAGTTCGTGGTCTTTGAAACTGGTGTTTCTAAGAAAAACGCGAAACGCCTGATAGCGCAATTATCCCCAGCTGTTTTTGCGCCTTCGTGATCTTTGCCAAAAGACTTCGTCAGATAAGACACTTATCTGAATTTTCAGTACAGCAAGATCCCCAAAACTACATGTGGCAGCAATAAATTAGCTAACTTAACATACCTCGAATTTGTTGAAAGAACAAATAACACAGCCACAAGCGATTTAACAAACAAAGTTTGAGATATTTGTTGGGGTTCTGATGTTTCGCGCCCTCCATTCCATCTGCAGGCTAAATACTTGTGTTAATCGACGAGGCCGTGACGTTTGTTTAAAAAGGAATTTCGTGAGTTTTGCCCACACCTCCTACGCTATTTTTTTATTTGTTAATTGTAGTCTTCTTTTGGTATTATTTCATAACTAATTCAAAGCAATTAATAGGTTTCAAAGGGATTTTAAATAGGTTTTTAACATTAGCAAAAAAATGGTTGTTATTCAAGAATTATGATGCGGTTTATATATCCAATTTATTCTCGGCAAAGCATGTAAGCCTGTAACGCAATAAGTTATAAAGGCGATTATAACAAACCTTTTGGCAGTTATCCAGATCGTTCTTCACCAATAGAGTCAATTAGGAGATAATTTAGCACCTACTGACGCAAAGAAATAATTTATCTTCGATACAATTTGCATAAAATACCACGATAGCTTTAAGAATCAACTGAAAGTAAATGTTGTTCCTTTCACCTTGTTTGCTTTGTTCTCTGCAACTTTCTTTTATTTTTTTTTCAGATTCAGTTCATCTGAAAAAGATTTGTAGGTGTGAACAAGCATTTGCACCTATCATGTGATGATTAGTCTTCGCGTTTGTTTTATGTAAATAAAGCTCTTCTTCTTCATGCTTTCAACCGAATCACACTTGTGTCACGTTTAGGACTCAAAATCAAACCGCAGTTAAAATTTAGTCTCGAGTCGGGAAAACGAGTAACCTAAAACTCCTCAAATCTCTGGATTAACTCCGCCTTACATCATCCAAAGTGAACTTGTGGCGTAGATGATAAATATCGTATTTCTTTAATGTTTCCAAAATGTAACCAACTTCTCTCACATCACTTCTCATCACCTCTGTTGGTTTCACGCAGAGAGGAAGGCCCAGTTCAGACGTCGTGTCTCTGCCGTGCCGAAATTGCTTGCTATTAGGTCTGACTTTAGCACGGCGGGAATACGACTTTGACGCAGACATCTTGGTAGAGTGGTGCGAAATTCAGAATTTAGGGAGGTAAAGTAATAATTCGTTCTCAATCCCGCCAAAAAGTCATAAGCATAATTTATAAATTTTGTTTGGCTCGGCGGAGGCACGACGCTTGAAGCACTGTAGCGCCAGAGTCGTGTGGCACGGTAGTGCTTGTCGAACTTAATTCAAAAGTTTGATTCAGACGCCGTGCTTCTGCCATGCTTTTTTCTAACTTAATTTCTGAACTAAGTTCGACACGTCAGGAGCACAAAGTGGGAACTGGGCCGAAGACAAAGCCTTTATGATCACTCGGTGGAATATGTTTAAAGAGAGACTTATACATGTATATAGTTTTCGAGTGTTTGAGCTGGTTATTTTAGGGAAACCGAGATTCTAAATTTAAAAGAAGCGCAATCAAAGTGCGATGTAATTCATTCTGGGATAAATAGTCAACTCGCACGAGGGAACTTTGGAGAAATTCTGTTCTCGGAAAAAAGCAATCTTTCTTTGCTGTATTACCTAAAGATGCGAACCTGTAAATCCCCTGTTATTCATTACTACCACAAATGAAAGAAGCAAGCGTTGTGGTTTTAAGTTCTCAGATCTGACGTTAATAATAATGTATCACTAAGTGTGGGAGAGACTCTGTGGAAATTTCAGGGTATTTGAGTGTTAATTACGGATGTATATCCGTAGGACTGAATTATAGAGACAAATTCGACATAAATTTTACGATGTAGACCTACAAATCGTCTGGCTGACTTTTAAACGTCGGAAATTAAAACTTGTTTTAATTTTCACTCCATAGTATTGTCCCAAAAACAATATTCGCCAGCTTTGCAGCCGCTTAAAGACAACATTTATCAAGCTTTACGCATAATAAATCGATTGGTGGGGTAAATATGTATACGTAGTTTAAATTACTTTTAGCCGCTTGGAAATTCAGATCGGTGTTCATTTTCGCCAAATTGTTTGGTGCAAAAACAAAACTGATCAGCTTCTACTTCACTGCAATCAGAAACCAAACTTGAGATGACAGGATCGGCTGTTGATGTTACAAGTTTGAACCAATCTTTGGCCGCTCGAAAATTTAGATAGGAAGCCATTTTCGCCAGACTGTTTCGGTAAATGTTATTAAATCGTATACACTTCCGTCTGACTGACAGCATTATCCATACTGAAATAAATACATCTGTGCACGAAATTACTTTTGTAACGCTCTACGTGAATATATGCGTATTTCTTGCACAAAAGAAATGGGATCTGGTCAGTGAATTGTGCCGAAACAGCTAACGAAAGTTTGGTAAATTGTAAGTTTAGATGCGTATAACACATTTAAATATTACCACTTACCTACCACGTTTCTACCCACTTGATAAATGTAACTGCGAATCGTCCTTCACTATTCCATTTTCACTACCATGTCAAGTTGTACGCTCTTTAGATCTACTAAAAAGTTTAAGTACTTGATGTTTTTCATGTGCCGAAACATGAAACATTCGAGAAGTTTTATTTTCGGATTATGTAAATTAGTACTTGAGAAATTTTAGATCATAAAAGCATCCAGGATCGATAAAAAATTGTAGCAATTCAGCTCTCACTAAAATAAAAATTTCTGATTTTTTTCTTTGATTTTTCTTTCAAGCAAGGGCATTTTAAGATGCGCTCACAAGTTATCCAACTGTTGAGTATTTTTTCAGCGTGTGAGAGCCCCCGCGATAGACGGAATGTGGCTATCTAACTTTCGTGAAAGTTCCAATTATTGTTAAGCGACCTCCCCTTGGAGAAAAGAGTTGAAACCTCACTATACAGAGTAAGAGAGTTGTCACGAATTCTACACTGAACAACAATTTTCCACATTTAACGAACTGAGCCAGTGCATGATCAACTGAACTTTTGCTCTACCAAATTAGAAATCCAAAATAAATATTACGCTAGATTGTTAAAAAAAAGTCGATAGGCTAGAGGAATTTTCATCATCAGGGATTTTCACAACAAAAGCGGAAAAATTTGGTTTAACTTTGTTACAACGTCTGGGTTTTTGCCACAGCACGTCTTCAGCCGTTGTCAAACAAACTGTAACCAATTTATTTAGAATCATGACGGCGACGGCGGCGACAGCCTACAGAAATGAACGATTTCAAGAGCAGAACAGTAGCTCTTGCGTGCATTTTAAGATTTAATATATTCTAGTTTTAGTATATATAGAAATCAACAAAATTTACTTCGCCTCGGGACAGGAAACTTGACAGCAAGTACTGCAAATTTCAACTTCAAACTAAAGGCCAAACACACATGTTGAGTAGATGAGAAGATCTGGCGCCGTTACAGTAGAAAGGCCCATCAAAGTAATCACAAACCCCTCAAGAGAAGTTGAAGTTCATATCTTAATCGCTTACCCAGACGTCGCCGTTGAGTCAGCGCAAACCCCCGTAATAATGCATGAACAATATGAGAATGAATACGTTTTGCGTTTGAAAGTAAGTAAGGCTATTGTTACGCTTGTGATAACCGTACTCCAATTGTCTCCGGAATTCCCGATCCCTGTTCTTTTCATGCTGAGCTCTTTTACACCAGGTGAAGGATGGCAAACAACTTAAAGCTCTATGTCGTGGAGAAGAGATAAACCGTTGGTAAGCTAGTTGACTTTCATTCAGGTAGATATGACTCTATGACACTGAACGAAACAACGGATTTCTTGTTTGTTTGCAACGTTCTCCTTTCTTTCCATTTGAATGGGAAATATCTTGTGTTTTGTAAATAGAATGAGAGATATATTAAGTTTTGAGCTCGGTAATGAAATAGAAAAAGGTATTTTTTGTCTTGTCACGAGCGTGGGACAAAGACAAATTTTTTTTCGGAAAAAATTCTGAGTCCTTATGAGAAATCGAAGCTAAGACCTTCGGGTTCCGCGCTCCGATGCTCTAACCACTAAGCTACAGAGACTCTACAATGAGCGAGGTCTATTACAAAGTTCATATGACACGTGTCCTGCATACTGCTAGGATCAGCAAAGTTGTGTTTTGTTGCCATAAATGACTCGACGAAACCATTTTGTCGTGTGTAGACGAATCAATTAATAGACAATAACGATATTGCATGCTAATCATCGTTCACAGAGCTTTAGGGAATAAAAATAAATAAATATTTTTGCATTTTTTCACGTGTGAGTTCTATAAGGAACATTATAACACTACGAACATTTAACTTATACTTACGGAAGGAAATACCGGAATACAAAAATGGGAAAGCTAACTATATCTTCGTTAGAGGAAAGCATTTTAAGGCAAATTATTCAATTCCTCGCATATAGAGCAGACAAAGTTTAACATGCTTGAAAGACAGTCTATGCTAATAGATCTGAGTCATTTAAAGAGGGTGTAAGGTCTTTTCAAATATTGATTACCTTAAAATAAATTTATTTTTTCACCTGCTTTAGTCCGTGCTCTAAACTTAGAAAGATTCTTGAGTGACAGAATATCTTGTGTTGCGGTATATTTGCCTGAGACGTTTCTGTGGCGTTTCAAGCCCTTTTTAAAAGTTGCAGCTTCACGCTTACCCCAGCTCTTGTTATGAATTAAAGAACACGCGAAGAAAACTAGCCTTGTAATGTTTACCAGGGCATGATTACTTTTTATTGAAATCATATTTCGTATTTTCCCAGTTCTCTCCTGACAATATCCAATACAATAGTCCTCTTGTCGTATTCAGGTCAGCGGACTATCAGGAAGGAGCTGGTTTAACGAGGTTCGAAATTGAAAGGCTTTCTATAGAAGCTACGTACTGAAGGACAACTAAGTGGCAAGGCGAAATATTTTTAAATAACTCCTCTTACTTCAAACGATTTCATTCTGTACACAACTTAAGATATAAATTATGCTTACTCTTGATATAGCCGATAAAATTCTACGCCAAAACAAAATGTTTGAGCTCATGAAAAATAATTTATTGACTGACCAATGGAAGAAAAGGAGATGAAAATTTTCTTAATGCTTTAACTAATAAGGGTTACCCATGTATTTTTTCTTTACAATTTATAATTGTACTGATAGAACAGTTTTTAATTGTGTCGAAAAACCAAAACCAAATTAATCGCAGTTGCCACTCAGAATAAGGGTTAACATCATTATTAACCAATGAGAACTGAAAGAAAAGAGAGGCAACCAGCTTGACGCACGAGAAAACGCTAGCGAACAAGTTTGGATGAGTCTTATTTTTGCATTTGATCGGTTGAAATGGCGGCGCGAATTTTTTCCAACAATTACAGGGCGAAGTAAAGCCAACCGAAAGCAATCCAAGATCATTTTTAATAGTCAATCGAAAACTATTGTTAAAATTTCTGCTGAGGAAAATAAACATGAATCTAAAGGAATATTGGAAGATTTAACACAAAATTTTCATTCCTTACACCATGAGAAATGCATAAGACACAACAAATAAGACTTATTTCACGATCCATGAGGTAAAAAATTCAACAGCTCAGAGGTGCAGAAACATCTGCTCGTGCTTATGTTATGATCTTTAAAAGTAGCAATATTAGCTCTAGATACCAATTACGTTTTCTCTAAGACATAAATTATGAACTGTTAAAATTTATTTTCTGCATTTTGGTAGCATTGGAATTTCTGCCTGGAATTATTTTTGGCGATTTTCTATTCAATGAACAGAACGTCAACGAGAGAGGAGAAGGAAAACTTTCGAATTTCAGGACATGTTGAGTAAAACAGAGGGGAGCGGTACACTGAAAATGATTCGGGAATGCCTCCCCCCCTGCCCCGTTTGAGTGAGTTCGAATGCGAATTGAGGAAGAGAACTGAGGCTTGATTCACATGCATGTGGAGTTATTCTCTAAACTAAATCGCGTTAATTTTTGCGAGGTTCAGTGAGCTGTGCGTGATTTTTCGTGATTTTGACTTATATTTGTGGATTGGGGACAATCTGTGCAGTCCGCAAACACTAAACCAACATTTCCATGACACATAGTAAGTACGCTCGAGGTGTCTTTCCAAATGAAGGGATTTTTACCTGAAAGTAACAGAAAAATGGCGTAAATCGTATCATGACTCAGCCTTTGCTAATTATTTGAATGTGCCCAATAAGTGAGATAATTTTCAACATCTGCAGCCTGTAGTATTCTTTGCTCAATTAAAAGGCAACACGCAATTTTACCCCGTTCTTACCCGACGTCAGCCAGAACAATGTCCACGATTTAAAATCCTCAGTCAGAAACTCCATTCGTACATACAATTAAAAAAATGCAATTCAGGGGATGATTTGATTTTTGTCTTCACCTGCAGTTTTACGAAACTTAAATAACAAAGCAAGAGGATTTACAAATTTAAATTTTCCCCGGGTATACATGCATGACGATTCCCTAAAACAAGCTTTGAACAAATGATCTGGCAGAAAACATTTATCAAGCTATTGAGTACAGCCATCGTTAGTGGTTTAAAATGATTTTAGAATATTTACACTAAAAAAAAACCCTCTTAGCGTAAGGATAAGCTATTCGAATATCGCACTTGACTGGCAATTAATATTTGAATCATGAAACTTAAAATGATACGCATTTAATCAGTCACATAACAAAGAAAACATTCTGAATAAAATTTAATTGTGGCCAAAAAGATTCTTTAATTTTTAAGTCGTAAGAATACAACCTTTCGTGAAAAGTTCAATGTCACTGTAGTTCTTGTCACCCACGAATAACAGAATCATAAAGTAACAAAATACCTCGTTCCTGATTGGTCAATGGCAAATGCACAATTAGGCAAACGAGTGCATCATGGGATTTCTGTGAAGCATGAATTACTTACGTTAACTTGTAAGATAACACCCAAACATTGATGTTGCCATTTTGTAAAGTGATCAAGTCAAATAAAGCAGGCGAGAATTAAACAAAGCGCTGAAAAGCATTTCGAGTAATATGCATCGAGGGGGAACAGAGAAGCGCCAGAAATTGTTGAGAATGTTGTGTTCAAAATGTAATGAACAAATGATTGCGTGATGCTCCCGTATTTCATGATTTATGGTGACTCGTAATGCTTTGAAAAGTTTTAAACGAAAACTCTAGAAACATCACTCGTGGCCATAAATTACAAAATGCACACGCAGTTCCAGCGACATCCTACGCAATCTGTTTTTTTCCAGACGCTTTTTCTTGTCTGGGGTGTTTTTTAAAGCTTCCAAATTACTTGTTCGTATGAGGAAACACCTGGCTGGGTTGATTTTTCTCACAATAACCAATCAAAGGATGCAATTTCTGTTGCTGGTGAAAATTTCCAAAGCCTATAAATATGCATTGGTAATGTAACTTTTGTAAAGTAGTCTGTTTACTTTGTAAAAGCTTGACTGTCAGAAGAACATGCGCTCCGTCGACTGCTAATTAATTTGAAACCCAGGATCAGCAAACAACATTGATAAGTGCAGGCAAAGCAAGGGAAGCAATTTTGTTGATTGAAGACATCTTAAAAGGATCACGAAGGCTTGTTTGACAGTTCATTGATTCGTTTAAAATGGTCTTGAGTAAAATGAAAAGTGCACCTGCTTTTCAAAAGAAAGGTCAATCATTCCTAATTTCAATTCTATACTGCAAAGTTATGAAAAAATTTATTTCAGGATGTATCAAATACAGCTTTAATTTATTTTTACATAAATTGAAATTAATCAAAATTCACAAAAATTGAAAAACTCTGTTCATATTCCTCCACGAGAAAAAAAAGAACCCTTCTAAAATTCCCCTCCCTCAATCTCAACGGGTGGTTCGTAGCTCAGTTGGTAGTGGCGCAGTCTAAATATTGGAGAGGCACTGGTTCCAATTCGGTCAAAGGTTCTTCATTCGTAGGTCTGTTGGAATTCATTTCATTAAAATTAGTACTATCTTACTGCTTTGATCATAAACTGCCGCTTTTAAACTTTATGAGCCTGTTAATGAGATTGGTTCAAAGCGCTAATTCGGCTAAAGACAAGCAAAAGTACATGCGAACCACGCTCCTGCGAAATTGTGCGTTACTTTTGTATTCTGTGGATAATTAAAAACTTACAGGTCTGGGCCACTTTTGAGACGGTTTAGTCTCAATGTTACACCTACGAGATTTTTAATAAACTACATGTACTAACATTATTAACATTCCTCAACCACTCTTTCTTCTCTTTTTCTGCATTGATAACTGATACTTTGCATCGTCTACTACAAAACTGAAATAAAATTTCAACAAATATAAGTTGATTAAACAAAGGAGTAACACTGACCTAAAATCGAGTGACATTTGATGGTTCAGGCCGAATGGTACATTCTGATACTAGGCTGGGAAGTATTTTCTGAGGTAGAAAATATCAAAGGAGTTTTTGTCGAAAGAATTACCTCAAAATAGAATAGTTCGCTAATGTAGGAAAAACGGAATGAAGTCATTTTATGTGCGAGGAGATCAAGGAACGACGAAGGTTAATTAGAAATGAAAAGTATTTATAGGGGTTGCAAAAAAAAAAGCTGATTTGTAATTGTTTGTTTACTTTTCCCTTAAACTCTTGTTAAAGAAAAAATAAATAAAACGAATCTGCATTCAGAGCACTCACCTGTACCAAAAATAACAAAGAGGAGAAGTTCCAAGATGCCATAATGAATGAGCATCAAATGTCCATAGGATTGGTGGAAAGTCGCCCAGCTAGAGACAGTAGAAGATAATTAATCTATGATAAGAATCTGTCTTTTTCTAGGAGTTGTGGATTGTGATACTTGTCAGCCTGTTCCAGAGATTTGTTTGAAAGAGAAGCCACAATATATTTGTACAAGGTGCATTTTTTAAAATATTGAAAATCAAAGCAGTATTGGTTATCAAACAACACAAAATTAATTAAGTTAAGAAATATGCAAGTTGTCAAAACTTAAGCTTAATGCATCTTTTCAGTTTGGAGTAGTAGTTTTCCATATTGTGTGTCACCCTTCATGAGCAGAGTTCTATCTGGCACAGTCGTTCAGCAAAGTGCTAGGCCATAGACCTGTCAGACTGTTGAGGTATGGTGAACATATTTACATGATATTTAAGGTACCATTCCAACTATGGTAAAGGAATGAAATTTCATAACCACTTTAACATGTATCATGTATCATCAGTGTATTTGATAAACAAAGAGTTTCCATTTACCTCCAGACCTAAGAGAAAGAACACACCACTTGACACAAAAGCACATTTCCACACGTATGGCTGTTGTTTGTAATACTACAAAAGAAAGATGAATGGACTCACTTATCCTGTTTAGCATTGTGATTTAATTGATTAAGGAAAACAGCAATGGAAAGCCCATTCCCAAAATGGATACTGTACAGTTTCCTCATTTGACCTTGGACACAAATGAACAACATTTCCTCTAATCTAAATCACATTAACCTTTAATTTGCTCTTTTGATAAGAAATCTTTTTTGAAACTATCATCATCTAATTATAATCAATTTTGGCAGAATCATTGGGGTGGACCTGAATTAGTTTAACTGAGAGTTCTGTAACAAGATTTACCCCTTAAACCCTGAGAGTGACCAGCATCTAATTTCTCCTAACAAATCCCACCTGTCACCAGTAAAGAAGATGTATGGAGAAGTGTATGAGAATGGGGATATTAATGTTAGGGTGTAAAGATTTAAACTGCAACAGAGAGGAAGGAGATGATCACTAATATGGATTGAAAATAATCATATTTTACCCAATTAGCAGAAATGTTGCAATCTGATTGGCCAATTTGCTGAGAGCACTGTTTATGTCAATGTGTTATGATCATACTCTTGCAATGAAAGAATCGTTTTATTGGATGTCAATATTGTGGCAAAAACAGATCAAAAGTGGCTGTAGCCTACAGAGCAGGCATAATTTTGGCTAGCAAGTGCTAAGTAATTTCATCATGAATATTATGGCCACCATCTATGATTTTAATGGCAGCAGAAGGCTAGGGAGAGTAAAATTTATACCAAGGGGGTGGTCGACAGTCAAAAATAAGGAGAGGGGTGGGGGTAGGGGAGTGAAGTCTTTTCTCCCCTTCCCCACCCCCTCCCCCACCATCCACTCTGACTGCAAATCAAAAATGGCTGGTCGAACAAATGATCACGAGCTTTTAGTGTTAGCTTGCACTAACAAGACACTTGCACTGCAGGCTACAGTGGCTGCACCTAAAATGTTTTTACCTCTATAACGAATATAATTGTTGAAATAAAACTGTTAGTAATACTTACATTCAAACACCAGCTCAACCAACTGATTAAGTTGATGATACCTGAGTAACAAATAAATATAATTTCTTTATACTGAAGGCTAGTTGCTTCACAATCATCTGAATCCTTTTTTTTAAATTGAGTTATTTGCTTGCAGTACTTGTAAAGCTTATAACAAACTGGTCATACAAATGTTGAAAACATAACAGACAAATTTCCTTGTGTGAGGGATAGATGTGATGTGCACAAGCATGGCTGGAAAATCCCTGCCAGATGTAAGTTGAAAAACCAAAAAGAGGTGGACAAGACAAACCTCTGAAGTCGAAGTGCTAAATCTAATTTTTTACCCTTACCATGGTTTGTCCTGTTGATCCACTCCCAGTTAGCCGAGTGTGAGACATATATTGTCCAAATTTCTTTTGTTTTTTTGTTTTTAAAGCAAAACTTAGCTCTTTTTTTTTACAAGATTTAAATCAATTTCAAGTGATTTCTACTTTCAAATTAATATCTAATTTATTAATATATTTTAAGATTTTGAAAATTTTTAGATGTTAGGGACACGTTTTTCTTTTTACTTATATTTTTAACAAATTTAAAACAAAACTAACCAGGCAACTGGTTAATTATTGAGGGCCTCACTGAAAACTGTTTGCAGGGGCAATCTGGGTTCCCTCATTAAATATCGTTATTTGTAATTATCATTATTACTATTATTATTATTACTATCAAATAATCAGTTATAGGCTGCATCAACAACAGCTCTACATGCTAGTACCAGATCCCTGCTATTTTTCCCTTGACACATTTGGATTTTGACCAAGATCCTGGAACAGGATAACCATCTAAGGTCAATATATTTTATAAACACAGAAAATTCATACAGTGTATCTTCCAACTCACCTATTGTAACATTAAATTTCATATTATATCCGTAGTCAAAATGTATGAAGCCCAAATAGAACACATGGGTGCAGTAAATACTGCATAGAAGTAGTCCAATGAGGAAACAACTACAAGAAGAGTAAATGATATGCATATTTGAATGCAGGACATAAAAGCTTGGGTTAAATTAACAGTGCTAACAAAGATAAAAATCATTGGAAAGGAATAAATCAAGAGGACAATTGGAGGATCCCTAATAAAATGGTTGTCTCTCAATTAATACTCTGTACATCTTCAAGGTTGTTGTAATAAAATATAATATATGTATGATCTGAACAACCTTAAGGCAGCTGAATTGAATTGTTTTCTTGGCAAGCGTGGCATGTTGCAAAGCAAATAAATGATATATCCCAGAATGCTAAAGAGAATGCACCCAGACCCCCCTAGAAGGGAGGAGGGGATCCAGGTGCATGCTCTTGCAGAAATATTTGAAATTTGAAACTAAGATGTGATTTCCAGCATCTTGTGACATATTTGTTGCAATTAATAACTTTTGTTAGCCAGACAATTATGTTTGAATCAGTTCAATACTTATTTTCTGTCTTCAGTTGATCACAATTTACAAAGCAGCTGGCGCAAAATGGTCTGACAGCCAGTGGGTCTCTACTGCCTTCCCACTTCTAATGACAACCCTGCATCTAATATTTAGATAGAGTGTGACTGTATATTTAAAGTTATTTGTGAAGGCTGATCAGCAATTTCCTCAGCAATGATGTGGCATGCCAATTGAAAGTAATTTTAACCATTCCAACAATAGCATACCACTGCAAAATTCAAGAAGTCACTACACTGTTCTCATCCACTTTTGAAAATGATTATTTTTATTTAAGTTTAACATACCTCCACTTATTTTCCAATCCAATGAACCTGTTCAGGGCCATAAACAAAATTGTGTATAAAAAATTGTCATTAATTATTACTTATAATACACAGCTTTTTTTAAAATTGGGGCTGCAATGAATGCTGGATTGGCAAACCCTGTACCAGGTCCCTCAAGGGGTATGTTGTTGGAGCAGAATTGTGGTATAACAACCTAATTTACAGACTTCTGCACAAACCCACAATAAAAGGTTTTTGTTAAAATTTTGTACCTTTCAGGATGTCTATGGTCATTTTAACATTCCCACACAGATCAATAATCTTCTCAGAAATCATGGAGGAAAAAAGGTTTGCAGACATAAGAATTTTCAAGGCTCTAAATATAAATCTGCATCTCACACACCAACAACAAAGATCAAGGCTGCACGAAACAACATGCCTCTTGAGGTACCTAGTCAGGGTTGGCCAATCCCGCAGCATTCATTTGGATGCAGTATTACCAAAGTTGTGTATTATATTAATTTAAAAAAGTACCACTATGCAAAAACCCAAACGTAACAGCTCCCCTTTAAAAACAAACTATTAGAAAATTCACTGTACATGCTGGATTTTTTGTCTTTCATTTTCCAACAGTTTTATCTTTAAGTTTTTTAACTCCCCTTTAAAAACAAACTATTAGAAAGTTCACTGTACATGCTGGATTTTTTGTCTTTCATTTTCCAACAGTTTTATCTTTAAGTTTTTTTGAGAAAGCTATAAAATCTTGAATATTTCATTTCATTTGTTTCATTGTTCCTGCAGACCAATTGGATTAATTGGAAGGATCATCACAGATTTCAAAATGGATGTACTATCTAATACAATGCTTAATATTACTAACCTCAACATGCAGGCAAAGAAAGAGAACATAACCAGAGATGTGGCACAGAAATAATCCATTTTCTGAAAGAATATAGTTGTAAGTGTTAAAAAAAAGAGGGGATCAACAGTGAGCTTTCACCAAGAATGTCTCAATGAAATTTCATTTATGGCCAGTTCTAAGAATTTTACACAGCAAATTACCGAGTACATGTACACGATCAATGTTTCTGAAACACTGTCAGTAATCATCATAGTCATATTACTTATAGTGAGATCATAATTATAATGAAATTGTTTCCTATAGCCTTATTATAAACTGTGACAGCAATTGTGTAAATTAGTGATGAACAACACTACTTCTCCAAGTGCTGTCTACATTTGAATTTATGTTTAGCCTTAAGCTTGCACTCCCAAGATCTCATTAGTAACTCTCCTTACTGCTTGCCCTACAATTCTCATGTTAGTTCTGAGAATTTGTCATTGGATCAACCAATAATTCCCTAATTGATATTTTTCTTTGTTTTCATCACTTTTCTGCTTGACATAGTATCAATATTGTGAGAACAAATTTTGTCTTGGTCACCCATGGCAACTGGTAATTGGGTCTATAACAAAGATAACTTGGGCTTATTTGCAACAGTTACTCTCACTGAGTCTTCAAAGACAGTCCATGAGTGTGTTACTGTCTATTCCAATACCAAAGTACACAAAACAAAGTGCATTGTACATAGTCCTGACCATCATCTCACAATCAGAACACTGAATAATGTTCATAGTGGAAGAACCATTACCTCAGTCCAGTTCAAATCTCGTGCATGAAACACTGTTGACCAGAACCAAGCATTTAGACTCACCTACAAAAAAACAGTAAGGGTCAAAAATAATAATTAATTCCTCATCTATTCAGTAACTGTTACTTTCTCGTGATATCAAAATCCTACAAGTTTAGAAGCTTTTGAATCATTGAACACACTAAAAAAACATGGCTGGTCATAATTTTATCAGCAATCTTTCTCCAAACTGTTGGACACATGTTAAAAGCTCACTTTTCATTTATTTCCAAGGTGATTAGAATTCTGTTACTAATGACTGTTTTCAAGGACTATAATTGGGTTAAAAGTATTTCTCAGCCACTATTAACTTTAAATGAATACTGTAAAAAGAACACCCCTAACAGGAAGCAAGTTACCTTTTGTTATTTGGCACAAGTTAGTGTTTTAATCAGAATCACAAAACAAATTAGCCTTACCACCAAATTTGCTTTCCATACTGGATACATGCTGTAGTCTGTATTTGGTACAGAAGACCTGAGCATTCTCCATCCAAGGAGATGGCCAATTGCATTAAAAATTGAAAATAGGACTGATGCAGGCTCTTGAATTCCAAGAAATCGTACAAATGGCCACTAAAAATTTAAAAGACATAGTAATTTAGCTATGTTTACAAGCAATCCTTGGCTGGTAGTTTGTTGACTAATGAGTAAATTATCTTATAACTAAGTATAATCAGGAATAAAGGGGGTAAGTTTCTAAAGAAACTGTGGTGCTGCATTAGTGGGGGAGTTAATAAATTGGCCACTGTAAAGAGGCTGATGGTTTGAGCGTTAGCCCTTTGTCAGAGCAATGACTAAGGGCTAACACATGAAAAATCAACTTTTAAACTCTTGACGGTGGCCAATTTACGTTATCAACTCAGTTGATAATACTAAATTACCCTGTTATAACTAAGTTTATAATCCATCAAATATTTTTGCTCATGTGCTATTGGTCTAGATGCAGCACATGACAAAATATCTCCCACCTAAAACTGGGTGAGCAATATTTCCCAATTTTTAAGCCTCACGAACTCTAAAATAAGTCTTTGTTTCAAATTTAATAGAAGATGAGAGAGAGTTTTGTGCTTGTTACAGAAGGGAAATCTTCTTTTTGTTCATTAAGTTGTATCAGGGTGCACTAAAAAAAAAACATCCCGCGCTGCATACAGTAAGCTGTTCATAAATACTTTTCCACACAATTTGCAAAATATTCAAAGGATAACGAACACAATAGCCTCTATATTGCATGAAAATATGTGCATATTATTTATCCTTGGACATCATCTGTTTCTCAGAGCTCACAGTTTTCCTCGAGTTTCACTCTCCGAAAAATTGTTCTTGGAACAAATAATATCTGCAGACAAATATACCTAGTACATATTTTTGCGCCAAATAGAGGTTATTTTTTATATAACCAAGTATAACCAATTTGTAAATAAGAAGTGAAAAAGTTTAGATGAATATTTGAAATGAGTGAAAAAAATGGCATGAACAAATAAAAAAAATAAAAGGAGTAAAGGAAGGAAAGAGAGACAGATAAAAAGGTATAACATACATGTACAGCTTTTAATATGTTCTTATTGAGGGCTGGATGGGAAAATATTTGGCTTTAGTTCATGACATAGAGACCAAGGGCAGTGAGGTCTGTGCATTATGACCAAACCCAGTCAGTAAGCATTTCATCATGTGACCACTAAATGTTTAAAATTTTGAAAATTTTGTTTCAATCTAAATAGGATACAACAGATAGGCAACCACAAAAAAAAAAAAGAAAGATTCTACGATGAAAAATTCTCCATTGTTGTTTCAAGTTAGAACTAGAAATCCATAATTCATTAAAAAATGCATATTTGTTATAATTCTTTCTCTTTTATTTTTAAGTTTTTGTGGGAGTGCAGAGCTGGACAGCTTTTTCAGGACCAGCTCATGTCAACCCATCTAGCCCTATACATGCCAGCTTTCACTATAGTTTTCTATGGGATTGTGCAAGCAGGGCTGTGCAACATACATAGTTACTGTATCTCTAAGCAGAATCAGTATGCAATGAAGTCCCTTACTTTGCCATAATACTGCTTGACTGGTTGATTATTTCTCACGTCATTTTGTGTGATATTATGCATACACTGGTACTTGCATTCATCAGAACAATCCCACCAAAACAGAGTCAAATATATTGGCAGCTTTCCAGGGTACTTATCAAGGTGACATCCTTTAAAACATTTATTTATACAATGACGAAATATGGAACTTCTATCTCCACTTGAGCTTTCAACTGGGTTGCAAAGCAAGACTATTAACAAAATACTGCTCTGTATTAACAAGACAATAGAGCTGCAAAACAAAAAAAAATTACTGTGAGGACATTTCACTTCCACAGAGGGATCTCAGCCCAAAAGCTCCACAGCAGTTTTGAAACATGGAAATCTGAAATCTTGAATTATTTTTTGAGAGATTTTTCTATAACCCCATACTATTCTGAAACTAATCAAAGTTATACCAAAATTCTAAAATTTAAGTACTAATGGGACAGAATTTGCATCAGGCTTGTAATTGACAGTTGAAGTGTTATGCCTGTATGATTGGAATTGTATGCTTCATGCATGTGCACTATGCACAATTAAGAAATTGGACTCCTACTGCGTGTTCATGGGATTATGTTAATCATTCATGTTTTAACAGACAGACTCCACTCAGTCCTATTACTATTACAAAGCACAAAGCAGTAGTACCAATGGCAATCTATTGTTCTTCCATTGCTGTCTTTATCCAGGAATTGTAAGCATAATAAAGTAACTGATTGCACCAAAATCTTGCCATATTCTTTTACTTTTGATCACATCCCACTCACAACCCTTCCATTTGTTTATTGATCGATTTGCCCCACTCTCATTGAATATACTTTGGTTTAAGGTTTTCCTTGTAACTAACCCACCCATGAATTTCACACAATTTTACTGGTTACTTTGCATCACATGCTGCAAAATTGCCAGACAGTTATAATGCAATAACCCCTATCTGTGTTAACATATATCTATCCTTCCATTATTTCCATTGAAAAGAGATGAAGCCAGAAGAAAAATGCCAGCTCAAAAGTTTCATCTTTTCATTCCTATTACTTTACACAGTAGAAAGACAGACTTGTTTGGTAGAGTCAAATTAAGAAGCTGGTCGCAAATATGAATCTACCATTCAGTAGATCAACACTGACTTTTATCTAACAAGTGATTTTTGCAAGATATGTAAACTAGAAAGAGGGTTACCGAAAAAAATACCCTTTCTCTCAGCTGTGGACATTATCAGCCTACATGCCAACCACCTGAAGAGGTCTATCTACTAAAAGGCTTAGGACCTGTTTAAATGGAGGTGGGGGACCCCAGGTAGGTGAGGTAACCCACTTAGTTGTGGTCAAAAAATAAAACATGTTTAGATACAATCTTACAACCCTGGGGTGCTGGGGGTGCTGGGGTGAGGTTTCTTGAGGTTGTTGTTGTGCTTGCAATTAAGGAGTTTGAGCAGAGGTCTCCCAAGCTCATGTCTCGAGAAAGACAAAAGATTAATTCTCGGACACATATGTATTTATTTGTGAAAGCGTCACACATTGTGTTAAGCGGTGTTAGGCTACAGGAGGAACCATTGACTTAATACGTTATAAGGAATAGTTTGAAATATAGTCAATTTACAATGCTAAATACTCGGAAATGTGAACATTTTACACTCTTTGTATGTCCGTTGCAGTTTCTAGTGATTTCTGCCATGAGACGGCCAAGAAGTGTACAAAGTTTTAAAACATGCGTGTTTCACTTTTGAGCTTTTGCCATGAAAGCAACCCCAGCTAGGCAGGTTACCCCACCTTGAGATGTTTACATGGCAAATTGTCACCCCGGCTGACAGGGTTACCCTACCTGGCAGACCAGGCAACCTGCCTAGGCAGGTCACCCCACCTATCACACTTAGGCAGGTTACCTCACCTACCTAGGGTCCCCCACCTCCATGTAAACAGGCCCTTAGAAAGTCAACGTCACCCGCGGACAGAACGAATTCAATCTGCAGCCGAAAATCCGTGAACATGAAATCCCAAAATATGTCAGCAGAAGTGAAATTTACTCAATTTCCCCCCTTTTAATGGAAAATACCTAAACATGGAAAATTGATGTAGAAAGAGGAGGGGGGGGAGTCTGGAGGATACAGTATTATGTTCATGTTCAGAACGAATACTTTTGAGTGACTAAATACTTTCTTCGCGCGATTAATTTCACAATTAATTATGTATATTAAGTCATGACATGTACGGCTTGCAAGCTCGCAAATTTTTATTTTGCTCTGAAAATAGAGCAAAACTCAATTTAAACGTAAAGATCGCAGGCATGGTTAGGTTGATTCGTTTCAAATTTAGGCGGGAATACTACTGTACTTGAACGAGATTTCGTGACATGATCAATCGATGGTTCTAATATGAATAATGGTGCAGCACGGTCAGCAAAGTTGGGGCGTCGTGGCCGACTGGGAAGTTCAAATTCTCCTTGATCTGTGACTCGTAATTTTCATCACTGAGAAAAACATCACTGGTAGTTTTTTAAGTACATTACGCCTACGAATCGAAGCCTCTCAAAACGAGTATGAGATATCGGCACATTTCAGCCTACCTGACTTTCATTGTCAAACTGTTTGCCAACTCCAGGATCAATTGGTACAGTGATAATGCAACTGCAAAACAATCCCCTTATTCGGGTGACGTAAAAGAAGCAATCTTCATTCCATCTTTTAATCTTCCGCAGACCCAGGAAGTCCAACTTTCAAACTGTTCAACATCATTCACTAACGCTGATCAGTAAGAACTACGAACTCAAACCCTTTCGCCCAGTCTTTTTCAACTGATATATCGTGCGCCTGTCGTATTTTTGCCTTACAACCACATAGTATTACGTTACATGGCTTTTCCGAGAAGTACAGCTACATTTGGTTGTTTTTGGTCGTGTTCACATTACTTTTTAAACAGGGGAAGCCCTTGCTCAAGGTTAGTGTCAGATTATTATTAAGATTGACGGGCAAGAAAGGTGTCGCTGTAAATATCTTTTCTTCATTGAGTTATGTAATCGTCTCTCGGTCATACTATTTGCAACGTGTTATGTTGCTGTTTAAAACAACCGGATCAACTGGAGAAGGGAGTGCCTCTTTGCAAGCAGTTAATATTTTGTGGCTCTCTATGAAAGTATAAAAGAATAAAGATTTTAGCTGGTTTAAAGTCAAGCGACATAAAAAGAATAACATTACATATATATTGCAGTGAGGACTACAGTGTAAATCACTTATCAGAAATCCCAAACCATGCATTTACCCCTCCATATTGTTATTTTATCTGCAGAGCTTTGGTAACTTCCTTGCATTCGTTGTTTAAAACAACTTCAGGTTTGACGGATTTCTTTTTTTTAGTAAAAAAATGAGTGTTTGATGTTTATAAGATATGATGTAATAAATACGGTTTATATAGCAGTTATTGCAAGCCTCAAAGTGTTTTCCAATATGAAAAAGAAAAATGTCTAGGGTAATTTAGTATTATCAACTGAGTTGATAACATGTATTGGCCACAGTAAATAGTTTCAAAGCTGATGTTTCAAGTGTTAGCCCTTCATCAGAGTGAATACCCTATTAACCTATTTTCTACATTACTACATATTTTATAGACATCTAGAGTTAAAACTTAGAAACAAAAACTCTAGGAATAGATCACTCCTGTCAAAAACTAGAGGGGTTCAATGTAAGCTCATTACTGGTGGTCTACTGCCATCTGTAAGACCTCTCACCACCCTCTCTTCAGCCTGTAAAAAGCTCTTGTGTTTGGGTTTCACCTAACAGCACAGCTGCCTAATATTTACACCATGGAATGCTGCTTATGGAAAAAGTCATTGAAGCCTCTGTGGATATCTATTGATTCCAAACAACATGTGTATTTAGTTAAGTTTCACCTTTTACACTTAGAAAAAAAAAGTTGTGGAGCTCTCTGTGACTAATTTGTTATCAATATAGTGTAAAAACATTTTCTTAGTGTAATTTTTTTCTCATTACTTGCAATACGTAACACTTTTAACATATGTTTATCTGTTTATATCGTAAGTAATTAATAATTATTTAGTTATTTAATGCATCATTTGAAGTTTCTTTTAAACAGGTGGTACACATTCACTTCGTCTCATGTCATCATATTCCAATGGAACTGAAAGCAGCAGTTCTCACCTTGAGAGGACAGAACATTCACCAAGACAGGAGGTAATGAAGTTAGCTAACAAAGGATAAAAAAAAGACAGTAAATGATTTAGACCCAGGAGTAACTTGTGATCTTGTAGTCTGATCATCAGGGTGAGTGTAGTCCTGAGAAGGACTGTTGTCAGTAGTACCATATTTGACAACCATGCGACAACCTACCACTGGTTAGGGTCCTTCTCAAGACTACACTCATCTGCATAATCAGGCTACACAATCAAAATAAGAAAGCAGTTAGTACTTAGAGCACTTTATTGACTAACAAAGTAATCTATTTAGTACAGAACCCTTTTATACTCCTGGATGTAGAGATCGAAGCACTGTGAAAGTAAATTATTTTGCCCAAGAACACAACAAAATGCCCCGGCCAGGTCTTGAACCTGGGCTTCTCTAACCAGAGTCCAGTGTACTGATCATCAGGCCAGCATGTCTCCCAACTATTTGATAATTTCCATCCACACACAAGACCTGTAGGATTAAGTTAACTGTCTGGGGGTTTGACTTCACTTAGATGATAATTACTGCATTCTTTTTACCACAGTTTTTAGTGCAAGGTACAGTAACAGAGATGACTCAGTTGTCAAAAACTGTTAAGGGACTTTCCATAGAGGTGAAAGACAGCAGATTTTCATTTAAATGTGGACAATGGTGAGCACCTACAAAGTAATCTTTTAAACAAATGGATGTGTAGAATTGATGTGCTGCTCTGCAACACACATTTTTGTCGTTGAAGAAAACTATAGAATTTTTAATTACTACAATCGGAATAATCATAATCTTTTATCCAAATGAGACAGCTGAAGATTTGAACCTTTGTATCTGGTAATTATCACTGAATGTTGAAACCATTAATAGTTACAGGCGCTTGTTGTAATAGATTGTATGAAAAAAAGTGTAGTCCTCTTTTTTAGTCTTATTTTTATTCATTCCAACAAGCAATTATTATTTTGGAGGAGGATATATGTATTGAACAATGAGTTTGAATGACTTTTCCTTTGTTAGTTTGTTTGCTCTTAAAATTAAAATCCAGCTGGAGTTTATTTTTTAGACTTGCAGTTAAAAAAAACTGAAATTTCTGCAGGGAATTATTATAATAATTATTTTTTTAATTCTCTGTTCAGAACAAAACAATAACTAAAAAGAGAAAGTTTATGAAGCTTATAAGTGTATTGTTTTAAGGTGGATATTTCAAAGAAGTCTTAATCCTTTTCTCCCAAAGAGTGATAAGTGTCTATTTTCTCCCAAAAATGTCACCCCTCAATCAAACATTAAGGTCACAAGAAGCTATTGATTGTTAAACAAATTTGCCCTCTAAGTATGTGTACCACAGGATATGTATAGATGAGATAACTAAGGAAAACTTGCATACTGATGTTGGGATGTAAAAGGTTAATTTGCATTCATCATTTTCCATTTCACAAAAAATCCTTATTTTTGCGGTTCAAGGACAATCAAGAAATCTGTAAGAGCTGAAAGTTGCAAAATGTTCTTGCAACACATATAACTTCTTTTTCTCTCCATCAGGGTGGATTTCTTTATTCCGGGAGTTCCTACTGTGGGTGGGTTTACCATATGTTCCAGCCTCAGGCTGCTTAAAGAAAAAAGATCCATAGACCTTGCTGTCAAACACAGTGAACATCCTCCAGCACTTTGGGTTCACACTCAGGTGTGTACAGAAATATGGATACTGTTGGCACAGAATGCCTTTATTAATAAGGCAAAATTTAACTGTTAGACCCATAGGAGTGACTAGCATCTAATTTCTCCCTACATTATCAGCTGGGAATCAGACATTAAGGTCATGAGAATAAAGAAAATGATCACCAACTAAAGGAGCTCTTGATTGTTAAGCAAATTCTCCCTATCAGCAGCTTACAAAATTTATGAAGAACAATAAGGAGGATGTGAATAATGATGTTAGGGTGTAATGTAAAGCATCAAAAAATTGTTATTAATCTTTTATAATTTAAGAGATCAGATAGAGGTTATAAGGTTGATAGGCAGGGTCTTCTTATAGATAAACAAAATATACATTGTAGTCTGGAATGAACAGCCTAGCATGCTTCCTCACTGAAGAAGTAAAGCACTGATATTTGCTGCTTGAAATAGGCTATGAAGTGTAGACCATGAAAGTCCTTAACCCTTTAACTCCCATGAGTGACCAAGACAGAATTTCTCCTCACAATATCGATACAATATCAAGCAGACAAGTCATGAGAATAAAGAAAAATATCAGCTAGGGGATTATAAGTTGATCCAATACCAAATTCTCCAAACTAACATCACAAGGTCAGTATGGCAGACAGCAAGGAGAATTACTAGTGAGATCTTGGGAGTTAAAGGGTTAACATTATATTCAGTGCAAACTACAGGAATAGACATTTATACTATCAAAGGATTTTCAGTTTTCCCCTTGAAGAGTAATAACTAACCAAATAGCAGTTTTCAGTACATAATTTGCCAAAGATATAAATGTTTGCGTTGAAATTATTTGTTGAGTGCCACTTGTACGGGTCCTAGTAAATCAAAATAGGGGGTTATACTTCATGCTTATGAAGTTGTCTCCTTTTTATCCATATTAGTGTCAAGTTGGCAGTAAAGTTCATATGAAAGTCGGGGGAGAGTGTTATTTTGATCCAAATCCTGAAGGCTCCAGTCCAGATCTGCTTCTGATTGCTGGTGGTGTTGGAATCAACCCCTTGTACTCCATTGCGCAACATGTCGCTGACATTTCCTCTGATGCTAGCCATCAGTATGATGGGAAAACAGTGCTTCTGTTTAGTGCTAAGAACCAAGATGAACTGCTGTACAAGGTACACTACAATTTATCTTAGAAAACATAATTTGATCTTTAATGGTAAAATGCGGGAAAGGTGGAATTTGTGATATGTTTTTGACAATTATCTATTTGAATTATCGCCTCTTTAGTCAAGATTTTCAGACTGAGAAGTATTTCTTTGAAGTCCTTCAAAAAATTAAATTCTATCGCGTGCAACGCGCTTAGTTCAACTTTAAACAAGGAGAGAAATGGAATGACAGACTGCTGATATCTCTCCATTTCGGTCTGACTTAAAAGTTCTCTTTTGTCGTTTACAACTTCCCCTTTTAAGCCACTGTGTGAATGACCTGTAAAGGATCTATAAATACAGTATGGCTAGTGAGAAAAAAACTATGTATTTGTTTACAAACTCAAATGAACCGTGCAGATGTTTGCATGTAGCCCTGTTTATTCTGAATTAAAAAGTAGCTTTGGAATTGTATTTTTTTTATCTTGTTAGTGTGACTGTTTGTTTCTTATTCTGTCCTCTTTTGTAGGATAATCTTTTGAAAATGTCAGAACAGTGCCCATCTATACTCTGCAAGTTTTTTGTCACAAAACCAGATGCTGATACACAGACTAACGTGAACAGCGTTCAATGTAAGTGATCGTAAAAAACGTATCTAGTTTCGGTTTTTGGCTTGAGTCTAGTTACAATTCAGGCCTACTAGCCAGCCCAAACTCGGAATATTCTAGTACTCATTGTCATGCGAGATTTTGTGAGCTATTGAGTGTCTGAGGTAATCCGAATTTCTTTGGTTATGCTTTACTCCGCTCTATGACTGTTCCAACAAAATGCAAAACGAAAACCTACACAATTCGGTTTTCCCGCGCTTTAGGCAGTTTGGTTGGTTTTTATCTTTAGTTTTCATTGGCTCTTAACACCGTCCTTTCATATGATTGGCTCTTGTGATAACTTTGGTTTTGCTTTTACGACACTAGACCGAACAAGCGCAGTAGTTTCTGATCTTTGAAGCTGGTACGCACTGTGGTATTCAAACGACCAGGAATTAACAATGAGAACATGAAGACAAATAATTTTTTTATGTGTTTACAAACGTTACAAAATATGAGTGTTGGAAGCTCGTTGATTCCTGTGTCTTATTTTGCCCACCTTCAAATTGCTAGGTGAACGTGGCCGTATCAACGAATCGCGACTACAAGAAGCTGTGTCCTCTCTGGACAGGAATAGATTAATTTGTTACATCTGTGGTCCTCCCCCAATGATCCAACAGATAACTGAAATTTTGTACAAGATGGATATTGAGGAAAGCAGGATACTCTTTGAGAAATGGTGGTAGCAAGACTTGAAGCTTCTTCATTTTAGGTACGACGGAGAGAAGTACAGGAAGCTATGCCATTTGGTGAACAAGTGACAGTCGCCCTCATCAGAAACATTGCATCGGAAAAATACGTAATCCCTGAGAGTAAAGGGGGAATTTTTTTTAAGAGAGACACTGAAATTTTTTCTTGTTAGTACTTTGATCGAGTATTGGGAAAGAAAAACGTTTTGGCAAACCTTCGTCGAAACGTTGGCAGTATTTAAAATCTGATCACTCACAGAACTGATTTGAGGTGCGAGCGTTTAGAAATATAGCAATCATTGTCATGCCTGGTTGCATTTCTAACATGGCAGAAGATTGTTTAACCCTTTAACTCCCAGAAGTGATCAACATAAAACTTCTCCCTACAATATCCATACATTCTTCAGCAAACAGGTAATCAGAATATTCAAACTTTCAGGTAGAAGCTGCTATCTTGATCTAGCACCAAGTTCTCATAACTAATTTACAAGGAAATGTGTAGCAGCTACAGGGGAGAATTAACAATCAGATTTTGGGGGTTAAAGGGTTAAGATTGTTCTTTGAAATTAAAAATTTATTTAAGCATCAAGAAAATTTAATTTGAGCTAAAGTTATAACTTTTGTGTTTCTTTATGAATTGTAAGTCGAATTACAACTTTGCATCCGTGATACAACTTTGCACTAGTGTTACACGAGAATGCACTCGTTTAATTTGTTACATCTTATTTCATGCGGGTTACAACTTTGCATCCGTGATACAACTTTGCACTAATGTTACACGAGAATGCACTCGTTTTTCGCTAATCAGAAGCGCGTAATTTTTTCGTGTATATTATTGCTAAAGTAGATAAGGGATTGATAATAAATTTAGAAACTTTTGTTTATTCATTAAAAACAGCTTACATGAACATTTTTTTCCTGAAAACGGTAAGGTACGTTTTGGTAGCTTTGGTGGCAGCCTATAAAGAGGTGCATTTGACAAAGCAGTCTCTATTCAATTTTGAAAAGACGGACGAACCTAACAGAGAACTCGTTAGAAAGCTTGTGATATGATTCGTCCTGTTTACATTTAGATAGAAAGAGTGAAAAATGGTAATTTTTGGGCTTTTAAGAAAGAGAAACGACAGTGAGGCAATGAAAAACTCTGATTACCCGATAGGGTTCGAACCTCACACCTGACCCTCCATAACTCTGCCGTAAAACAGTTTCGATTTTTGCTGCTTGCAAAAACAATTCATAAATCGAAAAGGAATAAGTCAACTTTCTGACAACTTAGACCACGAGGGATGGAGCTCGAGTTCTATTTCCATTTACAAAAACACAAAACAAAAAAAACAAGCTATCGTTTGATTAGTCTTATTTTATATGCAGAAGAGAACAGGCGAATTCCTGACTAAAGCGACTGACAAGATTTTTTTTTTTGATGCGTTAATATTTAGCCCATCATATCTACAAACCAAGTCCGGTAGGAGAAAGTTTAAAAAAAATTTTAAACTCGGTTTTTTTCGGGCCCTAAAGTGCTCTCATTTTCTTAAAAGTGTCCCATGAACTGGTAACGAATTAGCTGATGATAACGTAGAACGCTGTGAAAACTCTCAGTTGACACTTACAAATCTCTAAAAACTCTTGTAATTTTGTATCAGTCAGCGTTGAAATACACTTGCCCGATAGCGATGTATACTTACCTTCTGCAAGCTCTACCGAGAGTTGTAGTACATCGTACTCGAGTGGTAACGGAGAAATGGAAGTTGCGAATACGGCTCACCCCTACGAAGGAGAACTGCGTGCATCCGAACGAAGATTTCGACGAAGACTGACAAGGATGGTTTCTCCCTTGCGGAGTTCAAGGCAAGATTAGAACAAAAAACTCCCGTTACTGAATGTTTAGTTCATCGTGTTTGTGTTTTGTTTTCTATGGGGAAATCTATGTTAAGAATGGGTAGCTGTGTTCGTTTCTGTTGCCATAACATTTTATTCCTTCGAACGTTCCCCTTGGTTAGTGCTCTAGAGTTTCGTTGCCGCAGAGTAATTCTCTTAGCGAACCAAAAGCTAACTTTTGACGAAAGAATCAGCTGTATCACGAGGCACGATGATTTTTCGCCGAGAAGTGATCGGACAGTTTCACTGCAAGTTGCTCCTTTCCTCGGAGATTGCAAAGGCAAAGGCTATCGTCGTCGAGCCGGTCAAACGGAAAACGAGTGAGTTTATAGACATCAAATTAGTCTCAAATGGGGATTTTGATATAGAAAGACTTCTACAAATTGTTTAAGTGCAGCATTTCCATATGACCCATGTCGCTCAATGGCAAATAACTGACATCAGTATTGTAAGTGGATACTTCGTATGCATCGACTTTCACACAGCGCTTGGATTCAGTACCACCTGATTCAATAAAATTTCAATTTCTTTATTTATCTCGTTGTAGTGCTGTTATCACAATGACATTGTTACTGTGGCTACTCTAGGGGGGAACTGAGAGCTCTTGGGATGAATTTTCGGAAACCTAGGTTAGGAGAATACACCGGCGGCCTCTTAGAGGTTGTGTTTCTGCTAGTATCCGCCAGAGGTTTCGCACTGTTCACGCAACAGGATATCGGTCAGCACAGGTAAGGGCTTGAGTTTGGCTTGCACTTTGTTTCCGTTATTAAAATGCGATGGAAACTGCAAATGATAGGATTTTCATACGATAAGAAAAGCGCAAATGCAGTCATGTGGAAAGACAAAGAGTATGAGTACATCTCAAGAAAGTGAAATTAACGTTAACAACAATAAGGAGCTCACCTTTCTTCTCTTGCGAAATGTCAGCCGAAGAGAAAATTATGGTGTACGGTGTGGGAACAGGCCCCTAATCAGCATTCTTTTTAGCAGAATTCATTGGTTATCTTTCCCTGATTTGACTCTTGGTTTGTGTTCGTAACAGCCGTCTTCGAAGCCGGTACGGAGCATAAGGCAAACGACATTGAAGAGCAAAATCTCCTCGATGTCGACGATCGAAACGCGTCCATTTTGGCTATACAGCTACATTTTTTGGAAAGCAGTGTTTAGAAATACCCGGTATATGTGTATTATTCTTGTAGCTAACATTATTTGGTGCTCCGGCCACGCGATACGTTTCCTTCCTTCAAGATTTCTATTTTCTCCGCCATGGTTGCTGACGTATCTTCATCGTTTTTACGTCACAGCTGTGTAACATGATCGTTTTAGCCGTGCGCCTGATGGGGACACTCTTTGGCCGCCAAATCGTACTTTCAATGCAAAAAAAAAAAAAATGGTCAAGGAGAACCGACTAGACGCTAAGGTTAATTACTTCCAATTTAGAATACAGCTATTAACCAGAAAACGCAAAAAAAAAATTCGTTTTAAAGGCACTTTAAAAGCTTTTGAATAAATTTGTGAAGAACCCGTTGTGCTGCGTCGTTAAGGAAGTAAGTTACTTTTAAGTGAAAATTAAACGACATGTCATAAGCAACAGCTTCTCGCCCGTGTCCACTCATTACAACCTGACGCTCGCCGGTTGGAGTAACGTTCCATTCATTACCCTACTCCCATCCGATCTAGATTTTTCTTACAAACTCCCACTCGTTCCAGTCCATACTTTGTTACAACGCTCACGGTTGCGCAACAAGTGGTTGTAAGCAGTTGTGAACGCAACTTGATGCTCTCGACCCTGCTTACGAAACGTTCGTTAAACATTTCCTAAGGAAGGACTTTTACAGTACAGTTTACGTCTGGGGGTATTGATCTGTCCCATCTTTGTAAATAATACTTTTCCAACAAAGCTTCACACAAAATTCCACCACATTCCACCGAAGTTTGACGCACGGGGCGTGTATCCGGTCAAGTAGCGATCGTACTGCTAAGGTGATGTGTCATTCTATTTTCATAATCTTATATTTCTTAATGCTCTTGCCCAAGATTAAATAAGTCAGAACGACAGAGAGTAAACGCTAATTTAACTTGTGGTGCTGAGAGAAAGAAATCTTAGAAGTTCGCTTGGAATTTTGTTTCATTTTATATCGAATTAAGGATTGATGGCTCCGTACACTTCCGATGAGACGTTGTGAGTATTGACACACGAATAAGTCTAACCATAAACTTCATCATAGTCTTTACCGCCCTTGAATTCGTCAATATTGTGTTAGCTTTTTATAGTTTTCTTACTCTCGTGAAATTCTCGATAAGGTTTGTACAATATGGACGATTAGTTTCATGATCACGCATAAGTTTATTTTTATTTTCGGTTACTATGCCACATGTGATCTTTTCACTGTTCTCGCAATATAAACTAATTATTATCGGCAAAACATATGGGGTCGTGCAAATTTAATTCTGTTTGCGTGGTCTGATTCATCTCACGCTTATGCACTCCACATAATTGCGATATACAAGCAATCGTGGTCAATTATTCTCTCTGAAGTTCCAGTGAGTAAAAATTATTCTACCTACATATAATTTCCTAAGAATACTACTCTCAGTATCACACTCTTGGACTTTGGCTACCAATCTTAGCTGAAAGTGAAAATCTAGCGAGGTTTGCTGTTCAGCACAGCCTTGAAAAGACATGTAAATCTAGTTCAGGAGTGTTTGTTATTGTAAAAGTGACAAAGGAACAAGCTTGATCTTCTTCATCCAATAATTTATGTTAGCTTAACATCATGCTTGAACAAGTTCCTTTGAATGGTGACCTATTAACTCTTTATTTTTCAACACGAAGATATTGTTGTGTAAACAATCATTCATCTAAAATTTATCTAGAAATTTGTTATTAATTAGGTTTCTGTTTTAAAGTCAGTTTGTTGATTTGGCACCACTGAATCAAACATTCCTACATCAATATGTTTTTGAAATGCTTCATCAATAGAATTGTTGTTAGTTATTTTTATGAGTTAGACATAATTATGAAAGCATACTTGCATGTGATTGTCATGCAATGAAATTGTACATGAAAAATTAAGTTAAGGTCAGCATTTGAATCCTACCTTCATCTTCTTTATGAGACCAAAGATTATTGAATTAATTTTTTTTTAATTTTTGCCTTTCTTTTATGTTTATTAATATATGGAAATGTTTTTTGTAAAGTGTGCTTTGATGCTTCAGCTCAATTAAATCAAGCTATTCATCTGTTTCTTATTGTCTCTACAATATTAAGAGAAGCAAAGACCTTGAAGCATAGTACTTCCTGTTTATTTCAGATCAAGAACTTCAGTTATGGAAATGGAAGAGGAGGTAAGTGATCATCAGCAAAGTGCTGAGGTGACTCCAGCCAGCAGTGAGAATGACCTTCTGGAAAATAAATCGGAGGACAGCATCGATGATGATGATGACGACGATGAAGATGATGATGATATTGATAAAATGTTGAGTGAGTTGCAGACTTTCCAAGAGGTAAATTCCTTGTTCTGTTTTTCATATTATGTCAAGTTCAAAAGATCTCTGTGTTGACATAGTGGGAGGGCTGGATAGGAAAGTATTTGGCTTGTGATCATGATGTACAGACTGAGCACAGTGGCATCCGTGCTGTGGGTCATGACCAAGAGTGAAAAATTTTCCAATCCAGCCAGATCAAACTCAGTCAATAAGCATTTTATCATATGACCACTGATTTGTGAAAAATTTTGAAAAATTCTGTGTGGACAGAATTTTAAGAAGCAATAAATGGGTGCATGCCACAAAAAATATTATACAATTAAAAAATTTTCCCTTTTTTTTTCTTGTCAGTACAAGAAACTCTCAACTCATCAAATAATGCACTTTTTTTTTCTTGTTTTCAATTTGTCATTCTGGTTTTTTTTGTTGTTTTTTTTTTCAACAAAGCCATGTGAGTGGGGGACTAAAAGGCTTTTTCAGAACAGCTCACATCAACTTGTCTTTTTCTATAGTTTTCTCTTGGACAGGGTGCACAGTAATTAGTTATTTGTGCTGCCCAGATACATGACTTTGTTGTTCATAGTTTTGGAACTAACCATTTTTAATAAAGTTTACAAATTTAGACATATACATGAAATGTGACATGATATTTCTCAATATTTTAAAAGAGAGAGAGATTTTCTGAAACAAAGTAAGCTGCAGGTTTTCATTACATTCAAAAGCCTTGCAGTACTGCACATAACAATATCCACTTTAAATCATTATACAATAATAATTTAAGTTAAATCAAATTATTTCAGGAAACTTTCTGAATAAATTATGTAAAATAGGGTCACACTCTGGAGATAATGGTCAGAGATACATTGCTCTAACTTTGTGAAAAGGTGTATTTACCCTGGTAGTCACCATTTTTTTCCAAGCTTTCATTCAATGTCTTCATAAATTTATCACCACCTAATTGTCCAGAATGAAGATTAAAAGTAAGAGAATCTTTATATTATGGAAGGAAATTTGGAAACTATTGGAGTAAATGCATATCATGAATATTGCATGAGCATTATAAAGTTTACATAATGGTAAGATCAAGTATTTGACTGTGTATGAAGCTGTTTTAAGAAAGTTTGTTTGATAAATTTCATGTGATAAACCCCAAAAGGTATTGTGTGTAGTTTTCAGGTCACAGTTCTTGGACTACAGGTTTCAGGAAAATTTTAGAAAATGTCACTGTAAGGACTACAGGTTGCAAGTTTGATGAATTAATTTTATTGAATTCACTTATTGAACTTCGCTGATCACTGAATACCCAGATTACCTTAAATAAGTTTTAAGATTGTCACATGCACTTTTGTCCTTTTTTTTTTCTGACAAGCTCTCTCAAAACAGCTGTATACAGTATACATGTACATGTTCATGACTCTTTTCAAAACTTACTTTTGTTTGCAGGAGCTTGAGCAGAAGTCACAGTTTCCAACAGAAGATGAACAGAGCCCAGGTATATCGCCATTTGTACCACCCTCACAGCCTCTGGTAAGAATAACATGCCAGTAATTGAGAAGTTAAGCTGTATTAAAACTTTAAGGCAGACAGCAAAACTTGTTCACTATTAATAGTAAAATTTTTTTACTACATGTAGTTTGACTGATAGCTTTTAGGAAGTGTTGAAAATGAGAGTTCATTTTAATAAAGAGCAAAACTTGAAGTTAGCATAACTTTGTTAAAAATATATATTATGTATATCACATATCAACCCTTTAACTCCCATTATTGACCAAAACAGAACTTTTCCTTACAAAATCAATTCCATATCAACCGGATGAGTGATGAGGAAAATATCAATTTGGGGATAATTAGTTGATCCAATACTGAATTCTCTGAACTGACATTATGAGAATTATATGTTTGACAGTAAGGAGAATTACAAATTTGAACTTGGAGTTAAAGGGTTAAGAATCATGTTGCAAATGGAGCTGAATGATTGATATGCTACTTACAGTTGTGGATGTAATTTTTAGCTTAAACTGTCAGAGTGAATTTGTATTTTCACATTGTTCATGTGACCAGTCTCCATATCTCCATTCAGCACCTTTTAGTAAACCATAATTTCCAGAAGTTGTTTGACTGAGTTTATGTTCTCAATTCTTAAGAAGCATTTCAGTTCCGTACAATTTTCATTGTTTCCTTCCATTTTTTCATTATCTGGAATGACCTTATTTTGCAGCCTTTTTGTAAATCCTTGAAAAAAAAAAATGTTGCATCAACAATCTCCTTACTAAATTGATCATTCTTAACAAAACAATATTGTTTCCTTTGTTTTATTCAGGATCAGTTCAGATTTTCCATAAGTGCTATAGAGGGTGAGTTGAAATATTACTATGAGCAACTTGTTAGTTTAATTATATGAAAGCTATGAATATTGATGTGAGTATATGGCAGCAGTATAGCACCTGATAAGTTGAGTGAAATGCTACAGAAAAAAAAATGCCATCCATATCCTTCACACAGACTCTGCAATTTTCTAGGAAGCAACAATCCATGCTTAAAGTCTTGCAATCTTTTCACTTTGAAGAAACATTTGGGGTCTAGATTGGGTATCTTGGTTGATTACAACCATAGTTTGCATTTCACCGTAATAGCCTAAGTCTAGTAACTTTGATCTTGACTTACTCACTCCATATCTGCCAACTATTGATCTATGACTACATGTACCTTGTTTCAGTCCTCTTCTCTGATAGTGAGAAATGTTTTAACAGACAGTTAATGAACTGTGAACTGTGTGTTTTTTCCAACTCTCATGGTTGTGAATCAAAACCTCCAGTCTCTAGTCAGCTCTTGCCTGCTGACCAATCATTCATCACACCAATGAAACACATGCCCTTCCACTGGCTTGTCTGAAAAATTTCCTGTTGATATTTTTGAAAGGAAGGTAAGCTCAGTTAAACTTATCAAAATGGTCATACTGTCTGATCATCTCTCTGTCTCTGTACCTGTCTCTATTTCTGTCTCTCCCCAAAGAATATCATGCACCAACAATTCACCTACCTTAAGAGTTTTTGTTAAACAAGTACATGTAGATCAATATCGTGCAGCGCCATCTTGGATTTTGTGGTGTGAGAAATCGAGGCTGAATGTGCTTTAACTTGTTGGGTTTGTTGCGTGACAGTGTTTTGAGAGGAGATTCTTTCTGTGGGCCATACTTGCTGGTAAACAATGTAACACAAGACACTCCCAAGACTTTAAGCCTGTTCAGTTTTGATTCGGTGCCCCCCCAGGATGGTTCTGTGTGACATTGGTCTATTAAAAGGAATTCCTCCACCATGGTTGAACTTTCTCACAATAGAGCATATGTATCACCATATTTTGGAGAATGTAGCACTCATTCCTTCAGCATACAGTCAATATATCATTCATATCTGAAAATAATAAATCCTGACAGTTTTAAAAAATTAAAGCAAACATTGATTGTTTAAGCTGTGCAGTATTTCACACCACAATCAGTAATTTACTTATCACTCATCTTTCAGGGGAACAATTTTCCATCCCAGACTGTTTTAAATACTTTTCATTTCATTAGTGTCAGGACAATCCTGGCAGATAAATTTATCTGATAATAAAAAATAGTTGTCACATCTGATCTGACTTATTGAAAGCTAGTCAGGAAGATCATTGCATTCCACTATCAGTTGGCTTTAAGTCATTTACTATAAAAAGCTGATATCTTCACAACAGTTAAATTTGGTGAAGTGATTTCAGTCCGGTACATGCACAGAAAGCCAGTGGATGCTATGTCACTCTCAATAAGCTACCTGTAAGTTCAACATAATGTGTGTGGTGCTAAGTGAATTCTTGAATCTTGTAAACACTTGTTGAAGATAAAGTAACAAATGCACATGCTGGTTATTAACCAAGCTGATAAGAACCTGCTGGGCTAATTAATTAACTTGGCTTATCTCTTGTAATTTTTGGGATATGTTGTGATCTCTCTTTGTTTATTCCTTCTTAATGCCAAAAACCTACGTTCAAATAATGTTTACTTCTTTTTTCTTTTATGCCTGATCATTTGAGAATAGTTATGACTTAAAAATTTTAGACATGAAATTTTTACATTTTTGTCTAAGACTGAATTATACATCCTTCTATGCTGTATGTATCTTGCATATATTTGCCAAGATGTAATTTGCTACCATGCTTAATTATCAAATACTTAGCATGAAGTGCTGTAGCTGTATCAGCATGCTTTTTTACAACATCCTGTTCTGTTATTGGCAGAGTAGTATGTAGATCTCTTGTGTGGTTCTCTCTTTCTCTGTTTTCATGAAATTACCTTAACAAACATTTTTGGCATGAAATATGTGTTCAAGAATCAAAAAGTGTATATTTTATTTAACTCTCTCAGACAGGCTCATTGACACATTATCTGTGCCAAACAGGAACTATCTTATCATGTTTATTAAAAAAAAATGATAAACATTTATAGTAGAAAATGAATGAAAAAGAAGGAAAAAACAAGCTTCTGTTTAACATGCAGTTATTTTAGAATTCTTCATGCTTTTGGTGCAAATTTTTTAAATCTGAAAAAATTATTGGTTTGTAAGGTTTTGTTTTTTAATATTTGCCTGTAACAGTGGCAGTGTGATGTAATTTGCACTTTGTCCTGTAAGCATCAGATTACTTAACTTCACCCACAGTTTGTTGTCCCAGCTTGAAACATACACCAATCTGTACTTTAATTGTTTGCCAGCAAAATTGTACTTGTTTACACTCAGCTGTTTAAAACTACCCATAAAAGTTCCTGGGGTACATTTTCCAAAAGAACTAATATCTGTGATGCAAAAACAGCTTATTCAAACGGTGTGTTGGTGATTGCATGGAAAACTTCAATCAAAACCTGACCCTTGGGTTTTGTCATAAGATACTTGATAGCATCAGGTTTCGTGTTGATCATTTAGCTCAGCCACGTTTTAGCTGTAAACCTACTTATAGTTAATTCAGTCCTTGTGGAGCCTGCAACAGCAACACATGACGCATTTCCTCTGATGTGGTCAGTTCTGAAAATTTCCTCTCTTTGACTTGTTTTTATTTTCTTCAAGCAGTCATGTGCTGGCAAGATTTTGATCAAATGATTGAATCAGAATGATGAAAAGAACAGTCTTTTTATTATGCTGTTAGTAATTAATAAGTGTCATGATTGTAAAACACTGATATAAAAATCTCTGTATGCCGACAGGAAGTGGTGAAGTCGACTTGGATGCCCTTCTAGAAGATCTGTGTGTTATGGAAAGGGACATGACGTCTTCCAGTGAAACAGATTCCATGTTTTCAGAGACAATCTCTAGCCCTATAATAAACTCTCCAATCTCACCCAAAATGAAGGTATGTTATGAATTTTTCATTCTTTTGGCAACAGATACAAGTATTGTCCTCTGTCTGATATGTTGGATGAATAACAATTATGGCTCACTAATATTTATTAACAATGCAATGGATTACATGTGGTTTTCCCCAGTTAAGTTAGCTCCTAATAAATATTTGCTAAGTTCCTAATGATGTTTGAGCAAGTTCCATGTTTTGCTGCTCTGTGAACAAAGCTTTAGGATATTATTACATAGATTATGTGTTATGTTCAGGGATGTATTTCCCTTTCCTGGAAGAATTTCAACTCTGATTGTTTTGCTAAATGCATTCGTGCATGCCCCAGTTATTAATTCATACAAGTCACTTCCCATCTGAATATTGTACGGTATTGTCACTGATGGTTTTGCTGGTATCTCAGATGTCAAAATTAAGTACTAACTTGGGTTTGAAAGTTAAATTACAGACTTGACAGGAAAAATAATATTTGCTCAAAAGATATAACCAGCAATTCTTTCTACTGACTGTTTTGGTTTTCATGATGTGAGGCACACGCTCTGAAGTGTCTTGCTGTGATTCAGCCCCACAGGCTCCTAAGGGAGTTGTCTTACAGTCACATAATAAATGCTTGCACGTTTTTTGTATGGACATGGCACTATAATTATTATAGAATTTATCTCGGCAAGCTTTCATTGACAGCCATGTAACAGAAACATAATTTAAAAAATGGAAATCTTTGCAGCATTCTCTATCAATTTATGAGGTTATTTTGAATAAAGATTCTAAAGTACTGTAAATTATTTTGCTAAATGTGCCTCCACAAATCAGAAATCAATGTAGACTGCAATAGAATTTAGGGGTAACTTAAAACTTTCATTGAGTCACCAAATATTTGACTTAAATGGAGAAACCAAATCTTATTATAATAAGTAAAGCTATTAAATCAACCGGGATCAAGACCATAAAAACGTTTTCTATAACATTTCAATTTTCACAGGATTAGTGAATTTAGTATCTACATTCAGTAAGTTATCACCCAAGTTTAGAGAGGGCTTCTGTGTTGTTGTTCAAATATTGCCATGATAGATAAACCATTCAATATTTACATATGTTATAGCTGACCTTTTGCCTGCATTTTCCACATTAGGGGTATTTACATTAATATTCCAAGGCAACAGCTGGAGTAATTATTTTTGCACAATTTTCCAAAAGATTGTCAAAGTTAATTGGCACTTGAAAATATCTGTAATATTTAAGTCCTTTGGAATGTACCCAGTATGATGCTGAGCTATTTGATTCATTATTCAGAACATGGGCTTACCCAGTATGTAAATGTTTCTCTTCAAGCTAGGGTTAGAAACTTGATTCCCAGGTTGATACACGCAGATGAAAAACACCAAACCAATATAGGGTCTTTTCTTTATTTATTCGTTTTCCTATTCCTTGGGGCATTATTATATCGAAGCGGTCAACTTAAATCATTATGTGAAGAAATTACCTAAAGTATTGTGATCATAAGTATAATCTTGATTTTGGTAATGAGCACATGGCAATTAAAAGAACCAAAAGAAAGGTAAAAATGAGCAATAAGTTTCACTTTGAGTAACAACTATGAGCTAGGTAACATAATCACAAAACAAGTTATTGCTTACCAATGTTTATGGGTCTTGATTATTTAATTATTAAGGATTACAATCTAACTTGTCTTCTATTCAAAAACAATTTAGATCACTCTGGGTCTTATCCTGAATTGAAACGCCAATTATAATTTTCTGTTTAAAAAGAACTAATCACGGAGGCGTCAATCTAATCAGAAAATATTTCGCAGCTTTTCTCAGAAGTGGTAACATTTAGCTTCAATGGAAGCAGTTACACTGTATGATGCTGTTGATTTGAACATTTCTAGGTGTCAGCTGATGTGCGTAGCCGTCTTGAAAGTGTCCAAGAAGAGACAAGAGAACTTACCCCTGTGAGTAGTGAGAGTTTTGTCTTGATTTTGTGTTCTCTTTTAGCTCATAACAATCTCTCAGAACAGACATTGAAAGAAATGATTGGGATCAGTAGGGAGATTTAGATTTAGATCCTGGAGCTGAAGCAAAAAGTACAAGGAACACTTTCAGAGGAGTTTCTTAAATCCAAAATCAATATAATTAAATGGCCAATCTGAATTTTTTTATTTAGTCCCTTGTAGAATGAGACATATTTAAAAGCTATGTCAATGCCACTTTTTTACTGTGTTGAGCTATATTTTAGCTATGCATAGCTAAAGACTGCCTATTAAATCACTGTATTACTCCACACACAACATAGTCCAGTGTTGGTAATTCTCGTTGCTGTCTGCCATACAATTCTTATGATGTTATTTTAGAGAACTTGGTACTGGATCAATTAATAATCCCATAATTGATATTTTTCTTTATTCTCATCAGCTAGCTGCTTGATATTGTATTGATATTGTAAGGAGAAATTCCGTGTTGGTCACATGTGGGAGTGAAAGGGTTAACCATACATCACAATGAATTTAATCCTGAAATACTTCTTCAGGTGGAAATTGGTTTTAAGATCAGGTTGAAGTGATGGTGTGATTTTCTCAATTATAGGAGGAACAACATGAAAGAATCAAAGCAGAGAAAATAAGGATAGCTTTGGAGAAACTCAGGGCAGCTAGAGTGAAAAAGTTAGTTGTCAAAGTATACAATGATGAGGATCCAACATCAAAAACTGTGGCCATTGATCAGACTTGGACGGCATGGGAAGTATGCAAGAAAATGATGCGCAAGAATGACACAGAACCTGATCCCAACTGGGTTCTGATCGAAAGAATTCCAGAACTCTTTTTAGGTCAGTATGGATTTGCAGAATCTTCTCAACAAATTGTTAGCTAAGTAATTGACGGTTCAAAATTAGAATGCAATAGTTATTGATTTCATGTGTGATTTTGATTTATTTGCATCTTCAGAACGACTCTTGGAAGATCATGAATCAGTAGTGGATGTAGTTTCAACCTGGCCATGGGATTCTGAGAACAAACTAGTGATTAATAACAGAAGAGAAAAATATGCACTTTTTAGAAACCCACAGGTATGTCAAAATGACTTTTGAGACATTTCATTTTGTTTAAGGCCCAAAGGGTTTCGTAGTCTTTGATGTTCCCTGCTCCTTATCAAACTACAGTTTTCAGGTCAAAATCATGTTATAAAGTTGAATGAGGACCCAGGACTTTCTCCTGATATGACACTGAGTAAACAGATTAGAATTTATCAGTTACTGAAGTTCATACCAATGAAATTAATCTGTTGCAGAACTTTCTTCTGACAAGTGATACATCAGCAGGTGCTGCACAGTTGGCAGAGAAAAGTAAAGATATTTTGCTGCAGGTGATAAATCATTTGATATTCTTTAATAAGAATTGGTAGCAATCCTAGAAAATGATTGTTTTGATTGTTTGAAAATCTTTGAAAATCTTTGAAAATCTTTGAAAATCTTTGAAAATCCTTTTTTAGACCATTGTTTAAGATTTAAGACATAATGCTCTTTCAGAGGTTGATATCACTTTCACCTTTCTTACCTCTTAAATTGAGAAGCATCTGATTTCTTCTACCAATATCACCCCTGAATTAAACATTAATTTCATGAGAATAAAGGGAATGGTTACCAAGCAAGCTGTTGGTTGTTGTACAAATTCTCCTTGTCAGCACCAAGGAAATGTATAGAGGACGGTTTAGAGGATATTCATACTAATGTTAGGTGTGGAGGGTTTAAGAAGTTGTAATGAGATATACCAATGAAGCCAGAATGTGGAAGTTATTTGAACAGAATTGACACTTTGTGAAACCGTGTACACGAGGCGTTGCCCATGATAATGTCACCCACCCCTGACCATAGTGTTTGTTTGTTTGTTTTTGACAGGAATTCTTTCAAAAGGATGCCATGAGACTACCAGAACTTGATGGTATTTTGTACCTTAAGGAAGGGAAAAAATCCTGGAAAAAGCATTATTTTGTTCTTAGAGCATCTGGAATCTACTATACACCAAAGGGAAAAACTAAGGTGAGCATGGCTATTCTTAGCGAATCCGCTCTCAAAAGTCATCGGAATACTAAATCCTTTTAATTATGTGTGAGCTGAATCTTCCTGAATTACTTAACATTCCAAGTCCTACCCTCTTTAAATTTTCCTTTTTCGAGCTTCAGAGAGAAGAGGAAAAAGACAATTGCAAACAGAGAGAAAGAAAAACTTGATTGAATTTAGGGTTGAGCAAGCTAAATACAGTTGGTATTTGTGCCCCTCAAATATTTTCTGGGTTTACACTGCGCGCCAACTGTCTCATACCCTATTTATCCATTTGATCTACTTACATTTACCTTTTATATACGATAATCCCCCAAAGAGGGTATGTACGTGCCTCTGTTCTATTGGCTTTTACAGTTTGTAATTAATAAATTGGTTTGATCGATTCCTTCTACAAGGAATAAGGTATACCTCCCTGCCATTTGTTGGTTTGTTTTAAACTGGGTGATTGCAATTTTTTTTAAAGTGCTTTCAATCATGAGTTTAATCTCGTGACCCATGCCTCTTTACAGCTCTTTTGTTATGTTTTATTTCGGTTTTATTTTTTGTACTCCTTCTTAGCAATAAAAGTTAAGAAAGCAACTACATTTAACATATGAACTTACCAACAAAACACTAATTTTTTTATTTGTAGTCGTCACGCGACATCGTATGCTTGTTGAAGTTTGAACATGTTTCAATCTATAATGGTATTGGATTCAAGAAGAAGCTGAAGGCGCCCACAGAGCACTGCTTCGTTTTAAAGGTATGTTTAAGGTTTTATTGTGTAGCTTGGCTCAGTTTAGCTCTTTCACCAAAGGAAATACAATATCGTTTTGCAGATTATTTCAGTGTTTGTTAGGGCAATTTCATTCGGGTGACGAAAGTAATTTGAGATTCCACCAGTTTTGCTTTATTTCGCTCCATCATTGGTCCTAAAAAATCGCGCCTTCCTCTCAATCAGCCTATCAGATACAAAAGATCTCCTGCGCTTTGAAGCCGTTTGCTTGTGTTTACTTTGAGTTCTGATTGGCCTCCTGGGATATCGTGGCCTCTTTGTTCTGTTAGGCCGAAGTGCTAACTTCGGTTTTGATTTTACGACACAGTGGAAGGGCGCTCTACAAAATAATATTGAAGTGAATCTTTGTACTTGACAACGATCCTGGTTTTTTGACACTGGTGTTGTTAATGGTGTATTCGGGTGAAATTATGAAGAAAAAAACTCGTGGTTAATCCAAAAAGGGTTCTTTGGTTGAAAAAAAAAACGGTGTATTTGTGAAACACATATTTCAAATGAATGACTGATCATGAGCATGGAACACACAAGAAAGTCGTCCTGAAAACAGTTTGTTCTTTGTGCACATACGTGAAGCTCATTTTTACAGTACGGAAATGTAGTTAAAGCTTTAAATGAGGAACTGTAATCATTCGATCAAAGCGTGATTTAGCAACAAATTAGACATGTCGCTGTCTTGTTTTTTTTAGCATCCTCAATACCATGACCTGGAGTCAAAAGCTGTTCGCTGTTTTTGCGCAGAAGATCTTAAAACAATGCAGCGCTGGATGGTGGGCATCAGACTAGCAAAGGTGAGTTGAGCTGGGTTATTTAGTCTTATCCATGCTCTCACTGTGGAAACGAACGGGAGAAGAGAATGGGCGAGAGAAAATCGGCGTGTTTTAGGGAAAGGGCTGTTCTTTGTGCGCATGCTGTATGTACAACAGAGCGGAAATGTACTGCTGTTTCGAGAAAGACTGTGGGGAAAAAAGCGTAAAAGTGTACGCGACAACCCCGATTTGAATTTTTCAGGGGAAACTTAGAACACGTCACTGTAAGGACGAAGCATGGCGGGTTAGATGAAGTTATATGTATTTATTTATTTGACTTGTTTCGATCGACTGGTTATCGGATACCCAGATTACCTTTCGACATTGTTGCGTGCACTGTTGTCCTTATTTCCAATAACCTTTCTCGAAACAGCTTTATGCATTTTCTGTGAACAAGAGACTTTTTGCTATTCTTCTGCAAGATTCATATAAGGGTTACATGGAAAAATTTGTATGATAGCACCTTTTGGCTGTTCTGTAAACGTCGATCAGAGAGGCTGGAAAACACAGCCAAGTATTTTTTATTTCTTTCGGAGCACAACATTTTTATATGTTTAAAGATAGTTATTCTATCAGGCCATATAGCTGCATAAACAGGTCTGCAGCTCTGTTTTAACTTGGGGGTGTCGTGCATCGAGAAAGCGTTGTGTGTGTCCCCTCCCTCCCTTCCCCATCCCAGACGATGGCGAAAGAGACGAAGTTTTTGTGTGATTCTGTTTCTTGCAGTTCGGATACAAAATGTTGGTAGATTATACGGACACGCAAGACGAGATGGACAAGCTTGCGTTCACACTAGACAGGAACAAGTTCACCAGGTCATCAAGCTTCACTGCAGGACAAACTTCTGACCAAATAGATGGTAAACTTGAGGTTAGTGTTTTGGGATTGTTGCTGCTATTTAGAAATTTTCTGTCTGCGGCAAGACAAATTCTGTCAGCTAGTATCAAGTGATAGAAAGTGAACATTTGCGAGTGTTTTTAATCCCAAAGATAGCGTGACTTTCACTGGCCAGATATTCATGTCACGATATTCATGTTACGAATTCTTTATGAGAATATTGCAACTGGAGCAGTAATTACAAATATTAACCTTTGGCTTAATTATTTTCAATTTGCGTCATTAATAAAGAAAGCATTTGGAGAAGCCGATTCCGGGTGGTCCAGCGTCGTATGTTAATTTGTTGGGGCATTGAATTCATTAATTGTCACATGGAGTAAATTAACTTTGTATGTCATCACAGTCGCAGGCTGAACCACCCAAGGATTATCAGTCGATGAAAGCAAAGGTTCAGTCTCAGAGAATTAAAGATTCAATCGGCACATCCTCAATCCATCCCAGTGGTAAGTAGAATAAACTGTTTGGCACGCAGGCTATGGCTGGTAAAATAGAAGAGAGTGAAAAGAGTAGATGGTATAATTCCTCTCATGTGTCCCTCTGGTGACTTCTTTGCCACGTCGCTTTGCGCCTGTCACGCAGGCAGGCAGTTAAAAGACAAAGCCTCTGTCAGCTAAATACACTTTCACTGTTACTTGTGCGAAGCGTGAAGTGGTACGAGGAGGGGAGGGGAGGGAAGGGGAGGGGAGGGAGTTTCTAGTTGCATGTGATAACGGAACATGTCGGTGTCCACCTAAATTCCAATAAGACGCTAAAAAATTCCTGTCTCAGCCAATGGTTACGTTTCGGCCCTTGCGTACTCTGTGAATATTTTGATTAGCATGGACAACGAGATGTATATATAAACCTCGTTCCATACTCGTTTATTTTGAAATAAATACAGTGTACCATTCAATATTTTATTCTGATCTCTTAGGTAGCATGAGCTTCTCCGTCAACAGGAGTAAAATTGAACCCAAGAAGCCTTCAAAGAAGATTGGAAATTTGTTTTCGGATGCCTGGAAGAAAGGGAACGAGTATGACTCTAAGGTAAAATTAATTCTTGTTTTTCTCGACGTATGCTTTGTATCGGAACTGTGTTATGATGGATCCCTTGCTCACAAACCACCAGCCGCAATTTTTCTTACACTTTTTAAGGCAAGTTTTGTGTTTTTGTTTGAACAGAATATTTCTGAACCCATCTCACCCGATCCACCCTCAACGCATAGTGCGGGAGCTGCTACGCCAAATACCTTGGACCCAAAGCCTTTCACCATAGATAACGTGAGCCTGCAACCTCTGGAGGAAGAACACGAGGTAAAGGATGAGACCCATGAAACTGAGGCGGGAGAAGCTGTTGTTCCAGAGCACAATTTGGTGTTAGATCCACCGCCTTTACCTCGGAAGTCATTCTCCAAGAAAATAGAAGGGGAACCTGCACAGCCACAGGAAGACAACAGCGAAGACAGAAAACAGGCGCAGAATGGTGGTGAACTAAGCCCACGGGGTAGGAGCTCGTTCAAACAACCAAGGAGGACTCGCAGCGTGTCGCCGCCTCCACCGCCACCATCCCCACCCTTGGCAAATCGTGGAGTCACCCAGGAGCCTAGTAATAACATGGGAGTATCTCACTCTTCGAATTCACGCGGAAGTGCTTCCCCTCCTCCCCCTCCCGTCCCTCCAAAATCAGCGACACCCCGTACTTCGTCTGTAAGTTCAGAAAACAGCGTGTTCCAACGAACCTCGTCTAGCGCTTCGGACCACGAAGTGTTCCCGCAAACTCCTTCAATTGTTTCAGACCAATCTGGGATGCCTCAACCCGCTCCAAGTACGTCAGACCAAGAAGTGTTCAGCGGCTCGCTCCTTCCACCCCCTTCACGGCTTCTCTCCACCTCCATGGAGGAAATGCCTCCACCGCCACCTACCTTAGACGTTCAAGAAGATGCAGACGTGGAGCTCCCTCCTCCTCCTCCAGAGGTGTTGTTTAAAGAAAGGCTTAGCATGTCTATCAGTAACGGCAGGCGGAGAACCCCTAGTGACGCCCCAGCAGTACCGCCCAAAACAGGGAGACCAAGATTTAGCAGCTCTGGGCCGCAATCTCCTACCCCTCAAGGGAGAACGTCTTCGTTCACGGGCAGCTCGTAGACAAGTTTGTTCGCCTGCTGGGTAAACAAACTACAATAAAATGAGAAATGTTGGTAATTATTTATTTGGTCTCGCGTGAATAACCGCAGTTGAACACACATGTGAGCTTAACTCGAGCGTTTAAGAACTAATGATACTTTAATGCAAATGATGTCAAACCTATTTTATATCTTTCATATATGAACATGTATTTACAGGAAAAATGTAGGAGGAATTGTTTTTTTGAACATTCCTATATTTTTCCTATGAAGAAAAATAGAATTTCGAACCGTAATTTTCAAAATTTAAGATGGAAGAATCGGGTGTGTGAAGCTGCTATGTAGTTGAGGAAACAATAGAATTTTTTTTTTAACTGAGCCCTTGTAGGAAGGAGGTGTTATTATATGTTTCAAGGTGTGTTAGACAATTTTATTTTGACCCTGTCTAGAAACATACCAATCATGAATCGACATCTCATCAAAGAGCTAGATTTGGATCTAAGATTTTAAGAGTTATGACAATCCATTTCACACAAGCCAATTATTTATCAGTGTAAGTGTTTAAACGGAAATTCCGTCGAAAAGTTCCTAAAATTAAGGTTACAGTTCATCTGAACTAAACTGGACTGTTCGAATGTAAGTTGTATCGTCAAATTTCAGTGAATATTCTTGTGTTGAAATTTTGATATTTTTTTCTGATATGTTTATTTGTAAAATGTTGGAAGTGGTGTTGTTTGTCTCACGACACAGTTTAAGTTTTTTTTTTCACGAGATCACGACATGCCGCGGTCTTAAATTCAGAATTTTACGATTGCCATTAATTATTGCCACACAAGGGAATAGTGCACCGCGCGCGCTGATTGGCTGGTTCGGAAGTGAAAAGCAAGTACCATTCACCTCCCAGCAGCCAATGAGACCCAATCGTGCGTCAAGAGTGAAATCTAAGACCATTTCTTGTAAAAAAAAGTTGAACTTAATTTTTAATATCTGTATTTTTTTTTCTTGTATTGCGATTATGTGTTGTGGTCTCAACTAAATACTAATATTGAATTGATGTATCTGCTTAGTAGTTGGTTCAAATAGATTAAGTTCTGATATGTTTAAATTTATGTAGTGTGCAACATTTTATATCAAAGGAAGCAATCTATGTTTATTACTGCGAGATATTATACATTTAAAACATATTCAATTGTACATAGGAGTTAGGACACGGTACTGATAAATATTTCTATGTTAAAAATATATTTTTGCACGTTGTAATTTTTCGAATATACGCCGTTTTTGTAGTTAATAAACGATCATCTCTGCATTTAATCATTTGTTTTTGGATGTCTTGTTTGTTTTATATCTTGAGAAGAGAAAGATGTGGAAAACCTGTTTGACCTGTTCTAAGCCCTGTTTGACCTGTTTGAAGCCCTTAAAAAGAACATACGAGTGAGCAGGGGAGCGAGCGACAAGCGTTGGTTGCGATCTTCAGGGAAACAGCTCCAGTTCGCTTTGGTTCTCCCATTTCACGCGCTCTATATTTCTGCCGGTCTTGTTTGTTTTCTACGTTCGACGTTGGAGAGCGCATACTATTTGTGTCGCTTATTAAAAGGAAAATGATGCGATCTGGCTTTTGACAGAGCTTTTTTTCCTTAAGTTATGAAGGCTCTTTGGAAATGTGATCAAAACAACACTCGAAAATGCGTACCCTGTGTTTCAGGCAGAGAATTTTCGCAAAGTTTGGATAAGAATTTATCCAAGGTTCTGGTGCGAGGTGATAAGTTTTTTTTTTTTTTAATTGGCCAGGGTCTTTAAAATTACTATTGACTGCATGGCAGCAACTGGTCCATGCAGTGGACCAGAAATCATTTTTGTTTCTATTTCCTTTACCTCTTAGATTGGAGGTAGAATGAAGGCCGAAAATTTTTAACATCATTCAACTGAACATAATTTAATTACTTTTCTGTTATTTGACTGGTACCCATTCGTTGTTCCTTTGCTTGTTATTTATTTTTCTGACATTGTTTACAATTGACTTTTATAACATAGCCTCTTGGGAATTAAATGGGCGCCATTTGATTCAAAATTCACTTACTAGTGAAAGGATATCAACATCTTCAACTTTCGATGAAGTATCTGGGGGTTAGTCTGGTTATTCAAGATGATCTAGATGTTAGAACTGATTATTTTACAGTTGTGATTTGTTTTATTTAACGCCATGTGTCATGGGAAACCCATGCATTAGCGAGTCTCAAGAAGGTAAATCACTTTGGTACAAACAACGTGTCTTGAAGTTCATCATGGAACCTTTTAAATCAAGGTTGGCAAATTTTACCCTCATGAAACTCGCAGACTGCGGATTTTTACCACCAATTTTTGCAGATTTAAAGGTTAGAACCAGGAATCGTAGATCGGCTGATATTTTGGCCAGGATTGCGAATTCTGTGTAGAAGTTTCAGTGGGTTATAGAACTGGCGTGTCGGTGGTAGTCCTCATTTCACGCTGGTCGGTATGTTGCTGTTATGTTGCCCTTAATTTTTGGTTTCCGGCATTCATCGAAAGTTGGGAAACACTTCGCAAATTGTAGACCTTGGGGCTCAGCGCTTCAGTATGAAACCCATATCAATTTCAGCAAAGACAGAAAACTTTGGTTAAAATCTAAACATCACTGTTCCGGCTGGCGTAAACAAGCAAAACACATATTTATTTGCTTATTTGACAATAATTTGTACAACCGAATATTTCAAAGTCAATCGAACCCGGAATTGAAGGGATAAACGTTGGTTCGAAGGATCGAGCGAAAGAAACTGGGTAGAAAACAGATTTTGCACATCCTGATCGCCTCGCGGGAAGATAACTTGGTTTTAGTAACTGAGTTGATAATGTAAATTGGCCAGCCTTAAAAACTCTACTGTGGCAAATCTATTGGATTAACCGATAGGTGGTAAAATCAAATTATCTTGTAATATCCCCCACGGAGGCAGCAACTTTACATGGAGGTCCCTTTCCACTTAAGCTGTTAGCCTAATAAGTAACTTGTAATCATATTATGGCCCTCATATTCCCACATCTGGAACCTGCTGATCGTCTCTTGACGTAAGCAGACCATATGCTTCAATCCTTGTTAGTGTGACGTTATGAGAAGTGTCAGGATGGTTCTTATAGGGTTAAATTACAGACAGCCGGGGCAATCACTGAAAAAAGTTTGAAAAGACTTCCTTTTCAATTTTAACTTTCCTCGCTCCTTTACGTATCTTCTACTAAGTCAAGGCACGTTTGAATTCTGGGTCATCTTCGTTAGAAAATTATGACCAACAATTAAGTTTTTCTTAGAGACTAAAAGTACAATAAATCCTGATCTTGAGGTACCCGTGACATTAAACGGTGAGGCGAAAGTGACTTTCTTCATTCAACCGAACTTCGGTAATACTGTCATAAGAAAAATGTAAAATGTGAGAAGGCAGCCATTATTTTAGGTAATGTCTCACAGACTCCTTACAAATCAATAGATCTTAAAGCATCCGTTTGAAAGCCAGATTTTCCCGAATTTCCACATAACACATGTATTGAACAGACGTATAGGAAAAATCAAAATGGCGAGGACCACAAAATATTCATATTTAACAACTACTCAACGAAGTGGAGGAGAATACCTGTTTCAAAATGTGCAAAACAGACGAATAATATTGCACTAAAAGGTGATTTTAGCTCATTTGTTCTAATAACGATTACAATATTTTCGGGCGCAAATCCTGCGCGAGTTGCTAGGAGATGAATAGCTAAGGGTATTCGGAGTTTGAGCAGCCAATCAAAGCACCGACGACGTTTAAGTTCTTTGAAATGGGTGTGTATGTCACAAGTTTTTAACCTTGAAAATATTTAGCATGAATTTTCACGATCTGCATGGGTTAATCTCAACTAACCAAAAAAAAGGAATAAAAGGAATACGGAGTTTATAACTAGGGAGGTGTGGCTAGCATGTGAGGGGGTGGGGGTGGGGAAAGGTGTCCATGACTGAGCACCGTTGTAAGTTGTTTACGTGACGTGCAAAACCACACTATTGAAAAGGAAGTAGGAAAGATGTACGAGGAAATGAAAAATCTAAGCAAATAAAGATAGCGATTAAAAATTGATTTCAAACGACGAAATTGAAGAGTGTCTGCCAAAATTTTTCAAGGAGCATAAGCTGCGACGTGTTTTATTGGTCGTCATCTAAAATTGGAACGCATGAACTTGAGTTAATATAATTAATAACACAAATCAAACAGGCGCCCTACACCGCATGCTGTGACATAGGTTTTGACAGGTAAGTTAACCTTTAGGACCCCACAATCTGCCGTTTGTCACTACCAAGCCGATTAGCAAGAGAGAGAGCAGATGCCAAAAATCTTATAAATTTGATGAACTGACTGAGGTACGAAGTTACAAAGTTTTCCTGCTTTAAAGTGAAGCTTTCCCTCAAGCTTTCAATATTTTGATAAGCAAATATTATTCAATTAGAGTTTGAGTCTATTTCAGCGCGTTATCCATGGAGACTGGAGAACGATTGCGTCATAAAACCTCTTAATTCGTTCATCTACCACTTTTTTTGTTGACTTTATTCGCAAATATTAGGACAGTTGCGAAAACTTTGAATATTTACCGATATCATGCAACCTTTCAGCCATAAACCGGGAGTCCTTCATCCGGAGCTGTGTTTCAAAGAAAGTCATCAAGGCCAGGGTGTATGACAGTAATGGAAAAAAACGAGGTTAGCCGCTAACGACAGATTACATGTAATTGTGATGATCACCGCTTATACAAGGTCAAGGTCTCTAATACTCATGCGAATTACACGATTAAGACATAGCGAGGCTAAATGTTCTTGAGATTCACTCGGCCTGCAATGAATCTCACAGCGAGTTCACTGTATCTATCAGTATATCAAAGGGGTTTTTTCTTATTAGGAATGAATTTAAGGCGTTAATTTACAACTGCCAGACCTCATGTACTAGGTTGTTCGTTTCTTAGCTGTTGACGCTGGATGAAAATGAAGCCATCAAAGCCTTGTAAACAAAGTGCTCGTTTCGTGTCGTCGCCGCTCTAAACTCCTTCGGTAGTGACTTTCAACGCTAAGATGCGCTATCTGTTCATTGCGTGATGCAGGCCCCTCTTGCCTGCGTATTAGGCTGTTTGATGAGAACTTTAGCAAGGAGTTTAAATTATGTTAAGGAAAAAAAAAAAAAAGCAAGAAGCTAAATCGCCGAGTGTCGTTCGAACCTCATCTCGCCTCTACTAACTTAGGCTAGGAACTGGCTAATTTCTCGCCGTTGTCCTGTATAACGTGCAGAAAGGCCAAAATTAATTTTTTTGGCAGAGTTGGACCTCGCCAAAAACGCAGCTGGGGAATTCTATGAAAAGTGTCCTTGTCAGGCGCGATAAATTAATTATGTCAAAACCACCACTTATAGAGAGGTGAAATATTCAAGAAGGAAGAAAGAGCTATTAAAACAACAAACTGAACGTCGGTAATTTACAAAGAGCTGTATTAGTTGGCTTTATCGCGCGGGTCTGGTCTTTGAAAACATTGAAAACATACAAATACACATAAACTTTAGCAAAGTGTCTGGGTGCGGACCGAAAGGTTTGTGAGAGACTCCATCTAAGAGTTATATTAAATTGCGGTGAGTGATATCGACAGTCTGAAAACAATTTGTGTTCAAATGCAAGGCGCATTGTATTTGATTGACACTAATATTAACTGCGAAAAAATTTGGACTAGATCGTTATGTCGAATCGTCTTTATACAGTTAGCACTTTGGGCATCGACTTGTTGTCGATTCTAGGTTTCATTACTTTCCCAAAAGAAGTATTTTATTACACGCAGTTTATAAAAAAATTTTCGTGATAGCGTTGTACGTGTGACGCCTGTTTTTAGTTTGTTTGGAGAAAATTCAGTTATGGGCTTTCCCCAGGGACTACTGAAACTGTCTCTCGTGTAACGAGCAGGTGTCTCGACTGCTTATATTTACTCACTTTGACTTTTAAGAGCCTTTTTTTCGGTATTGTTTATTGCGTTTGTCACCTGTGTAAAGTAGACGATAAAAATTTGTTCTCCACTTGTTCCGTCTCGGTTCTCTCGTTAAGTTGGTATACCTTTGAAGTTAACGTACTAACGCTTTTGAATATTTTCTTTTATAGGAAGTCTTGTAGAACGTCTCACTGCTTAAGGTTTCTTCGTACCAGCACTATCCAATCGCTCAAATAGGCTACAAAGGTCTCTTTTGTTTTTTACCACGGAAACGGATAAACATCGATCAATGGCCGGAAGCAATCGGATTCCATATCAGTAGTTGCTAAAATAGCTCGCCAGTATTTTGAGTGAGGGAACACTTTGTCAACACCCCGCAAATATGTCAGCTCGCTTTATTGGTTTTTAAAACTAGAGGAAGGATGACGAGATAAACAAGTTTTTTTTTCTACAAGCCGGGTGGTCGATGTTGGGGAAATGGTGTGTGGCTCGACAAACAATATCGCTAATTTGCGCGCCTCTACAAGATCCCAAAATGTAACCCCTTGAGAAATACATTAAGCTATAGAAATAAGGGAATAAGAAAGGAAAATCAGAGTGTTATCCACGATGTACCGATTCCACTAATACAAAAGAGGATATGGTCAAATCATGGTCTCTTGACTAAAGTTATTTTCAACTTGATTATAGTCAATAAAGAGTGTTTTTTAGACGTCACAGTTTCCGCTCTGTGACTGTCGCTGAAGAAATACCATTTACATTTTTTCCTGAGTCATTTCGTTGTCAAAGCTACTTTTATTTTGTTTATAATAATGTATATGGAAAAAATTACGCGCTTCTGATTGGCTGCAAAACGAGCGCATTGTCATGTAACACGAGTGCAAATTACAAATAGCGCGCACGCTTTCAAAATTTCGTCTTTCTTGGCTTTCTGTGGTCTTTTTCGTGTACATTATTAACAAGTAATAGTATGATTTCCCTTGCAATTTGATATGATAAGTACTTATAAATTTTTCAAAGATTACGAATCCCACTTGCCCTGCGGGTTCATGCAATTTTGTTGAAACATTTACAAGTGCGTATTTACGCCAAATTGCACTCGAAATTATGTTATTACCTATACCTAATGCTTTCACACACGAAATTAAGCGATGGTTAGGCTTCTTGAGGAAGTCTCTAAAAAATTGAAATATCCACTAATTTTCTATGGCCAATAGAAATGAACTATCGTAAATAGTGACAAAAAGCACTTTAAAAAGAGGCATCGTAGCAAATAGCACTTTCAAAAGAGAAATGTAATCGTTTGTCTCACGGTGTGGTGTCACTTCGGATGTGGATCGCGACGATCGCACCAATCGCAGCCGTGGAATCCCATCCTATCACAGCTGAGCACTACAGCATATGGGTGACGCGTACTCAATCGACCTCATCGCCTGAAGAAGACTGGCAGTATGCAGTCGAAACGTCGCGATCCCTGACATCCAAAGTGACCATCACAACATGAGACAAACAATTACATTTCTCTTTTGAAAGAAATGAACTATATAATTGATAATGAGATCAGTTGATTTGGTATGATTGCAGTGTCCATGACCATAAGAAAAGGGAAATACAAGTTATGTTCGGGGCTAGAAACAAAGCATTTTGTTTCCAAGTATTATTATTAATCGAACCTTTGGTTTTCATTCAAAGATGCCCGTGCCTAGTGCTGAACCGCAGTTAGAGACTGAGAAGAAAAAGAGACCACTTGGCTTGAGCTACCTCATCGACGAAAACCCGCCATGGTATATGTGCTCTTTGCTGGGATTTCAGGTAAAAAGGCACTCAAAGATAACTTTGTGTGGTTAACGATAAAATTTACCTGATCTTCCATAGGTCTCTGTTATATTCTAATGATTTCCCCTGTCTCTCCCTTATACTCTGTTGGCGACGACTGATCCCCCTCCGTTCCCGCCCTGAAAACCATGTGATCTCCCAAATTCCTTTTTCCCCCCCCCCCCCGGCGATAAAAGAATTACCGGTTTTAACATTCAACCATATAGCGATTTAGCACATTATCTCACGGTAAATTACGTGAACGTCGACGACTGTTTGCAAACCAAAGGGGAATACAAAGCCAGCTCTGTCCCCTCAAGGGGGGTGAGGAGAAGGTTGAAGAGAGGGTATCTGCCAAGTTTTGAACGACCATGTTCCGCTGGGGATCCTCTAGAGTCCTATTCTCCCTCGTGGTCGTTATTTGGTCTCGAAACGCAACAGGCTGGTGACGTGTATGTATGGAACAGAACCCTACCCTACAATAACCATCGTCTTGTTAGTCCAAACCTCGTTCTTTCACTTGTTTTCTTGTTATTTTAGCATTTCCTGACCATGCTGGGATCGACTTTGGCCATTCCTTTCATCATTAGTGGCCCAATGTGTTTTGCAGATAACCCACTTGCCATTAGCGAAGTATTGAGTACCATTTATTTCGTTTCTGGTTTTGTAACCTTGCTGCAATCTACTATCGGAGTGAGGTAAGCCATTGTATAGCATAAGCAAATTTCAATCACAATTGCGGGGATAGGGAAAGAAGAGTTTAAATGTTCACCTATGATACAGAAGGCTCTGTAGGCGTACAACACGAAAAACTAAATCTAAGTGCCTGTGTCTAGTGGCTCTGTTACTTTTCTGCATTAATGGCTCCACCACTTTTTGCCTGGAATATACCGCCAACCAAAGTGCTAGAACATATAACAACTCACTGAAATCATCTGATATTGTTCCAGCCATTATTAATTCCAAACTTCTTAATCTTCCTAAGACTACCGATCGTTCAAGGTGGAACATTTGCCTTTATCACCCCGACGTTCGCCATCTTGTCTTTGCCGAAATGGGCCTGCCCCACAGCTGAAGGTCAGTTTAGTTGCGTACTTTTGGATGCTAACCGAGAAACTGGGTCGAGAGCTTCTAAACGAGGCCAATTAAAATCACCCTGAAAAAATGGATATGGTCTGTTTTTTAAGACCCTGTTTAAGACGAACTGTTTTACATGACATCTTTTTTCACTGAATTTAACTTCTACTACACCACGTCCTCGTTTCCTAGACCCAGTTTTCCTCGCTTCTGGGATTTTCTGGCAAACTAGGAACTGCAAGAAACTAGAAATACTAAAATAACAACAGGTACTGATTGCTGATTTCAAATACTAGGCAATCAAATCTAATTTGACATTTCAGAATCTCAAGAAGGCATTTATTAAGATCGCTTCTACCGTGCGCGGTAGTAATATGTTTGCTTTACTTTTATTAGCCTTTTTTTAAAATGTCTTTTAATGGTTTTAGGAGTATTTTATTGCAATTTTTTAAGTCCTAATTTTTTTTTTCGAAATCGCTTCTTCTTAGTCGATTCCAAAAATCGAAGAGAAAATTCACTTGCATGCCTAGTAAGTGCCTGATTCAATCTGAAGCGAGTGTTTCAAACTGCTCGCTTACGCATTTGTTTTAAGGGCGCGAATGGGTTACTCTGCTCTTTCCTTAAGTGATCGTAAGGTGCAAGTAATTTAGATGTTGTCTCCCTGATCGTCTACTCGATAACAACGTACAACCACTATTCTGCGTGAATTCCTGAGAACGGGTTTCGTTGAGGCCCTAAGCATTCCTAGTCGAGATGAAACCTGATGGTTTATGTGTACTTTTTGAAGATGATAAATCGCTCAGAGTTGCTATGGGGACATTTTCATGAACAGTATCTATTTGATCGATCTTGTTTTGATATTGAGATAGGTACAGTGCTTTTTCTGAGGATTATCTTTGATCTACAAGTTTAATCGTGTTTCTCTTCACAGGAAGCGGTAATTCGACTGTCGACAGTGAGCTTTGGAAGCCCCGCATGAGAGAGGTAACTGATGAAAAGGGTTTCCAACATTTACCACGCAGACTGCGAGCAATCTATCCTTTTCGACAAAGTCCGTCGGCGAAGTCCGAGCAAAAAAAAAAATCAGTGAAAAAAATTAATGTTAGCGCGGCGTGCTATCATGGTTTTTTTTTTCACTGATTCTTTTTGGCTCGCGCAACGGACTCCGCTGAAAAGGATGGATTGCTCTTAGTATTTGACATATTGTTTTGGCTATCAGTTGGTCAGTTGGTCGGTCAGTCGGTCTGTCGGTCAGTCTTTCGGTCTGCCAGTCAGTCAGTAGGACAGGCACTCAATCACTCAGTCAGTTAACAACACTAGCAGGGTATTATCTGTACTGTGTTGTATTTTATTTCCTCCTTTGGCCCTTTGCTTTTGTCTCCTTCTCCCACATTAGATCCAAGGTGCAATAATGGTCTCATCATTATTTCAAATCTTTATCGGCTTCACTGGCCTCGTTGGTTTTCTGCTTCGATTCATTGGACCGCTGACCATAGCACCTACGGTTACGTTGGTGGGCGTGGCACTGTTTAGAGTAGCAGCAAACAACGCGGGTAATATGAAACACTGAAATAACGAGAAAGTCGTATGTTTCAAAAATTTTTACCGAATTTTGTAAAGGATTGTGCAGGCGAGTGTTTAAGACTCTAGATTTTGCATTATGGAAGTCTAAGGTGCTTCATACATGACCTACAAAATATTTTCAAGTAATTTAGTAGTTTGATTTATTAGTATTTTTGGGTTATAACTTTTGGGATAGATTTTTCCCCGGTAAATAGACTCGCTTTCTTGCACACAGGCCATAAAATGCCTTGTGCACTTGTTAATAAGAGTGGCTTTCGTGTGAATCATAAGGCGTTGTTTGCAGATTTAACTGAATTATGTGGCTATAAATTTAGCAGACCACGATTCATCGCTTTATTTATAGCGGTGATGTTAACATAGTTGTTACCTCTCTATGTCTCTCTGCTTTCAATCAGTTTAATTCCTTCTTTAAAACTAAGATGTTTTAACTTAGAAAGCGAATCGAATGAGAAAAGAAAATGACAATGTGTTTCCCTGATTTCCTCCAACAGGGAATCATTGGGGAATCTCCATGGCGTACGTATCTGCGGTCCGTTCATTTATTTCCTTCGTGCTCGCAATCCCTCTGTTTCAGTCAGTCCGTTTTCACTTCAATTGTGTTAAGATGTTCTCTTCTTTTTCTGTTGTCTTAGGACTATTGTGTTCATAGCTGTGTTTTCACAATACCTCACAAATGTTAAGGTTCCAGTTCCCGCTTACAGGGGTGGTCTGAGGATTGGCCATTTCCCTTTGTTCCGCTTATTTCCAGTAAGTACAGAAGAGGTTTAACATTCCCACCTTTGATAATAGGATTATTAGCTTTATTATTCTTTTATTAATTTGTGTTTCATTTAGTAATTACGATTACTGACAGCGGTAACTTCGTTATTAGTACAAGCTTTCTTCAAGAGATTATAATATCTTGCTAACTTTCTTCACTGCGTATCTTTCAGATTATTCTGGCGATTGCAGTATCTTGGGCTCTATGCGCCATCATCACCGTGGCCGGAGGGTTCCCTTCTGATCCTATGAATCCTCAGTACAAGGCAAGAACGGATGCAAGAATTACTGTGTTAAAGGAAGCAGAGTGGCTCAGATTTCCTTACCCAGGTGGGAAAAATTTCCATACACGTTTATGCACAAGGATAATGAGATCGAGTCACCACCGGGATCGAAAGCTGGCCAAGTTATTGCATCTTGCTCACGCTTTACTCTTTAAGTGCCTTTCTCTATCAAGGAGTATAAATGGTGCTTACGCTGGACCAGCACCAGTCCAAAGGGAGTGGCAACACTCCTGGTCCCTTATGCTACAGAAACTGGGATAAGATTCAGCTGGAGGGTTAGTCTGCTCGAAATCAGACTTTACCCACCTCTTTTTATGCGCATAGATCTACGTAGAAGTAGCTTCTTAACTACTGGACCCCCCAAAATATGACTTTCTTAAAAAGGGGTAAAAAATAAGAAATGAATTGCTTTCGTCAAATAGCTGCCCATTCTTCCGTTAGACAATTGTTGGTATAGTTTGGTGGGTATCCATTAGTATGGTGACGCGATTCGGCTTCAAAAGCGCAGTGCCTCAGAAAAAAAGTTACCATTTTTCCACGTGAGAAAAATAACCTGTAATAAAAGTCCTTCGTCATTCACTCTGACGAAGGGCTAACGCTCGAAACGTCATCTTTGAAACTCTTTACATTGGATAATTTATGTTATCAACTCAGTTGACAATACCGAATTTCCGGATCAATATCAGTATCTGGGCAACTGCCTACCTACCCCTCCCCTAACTCAACAACAGTCAATTGACAACAAGTTGAGATTAATGTTTGGTTAGGGGAGGGGTAGGTGGGCAGTTGCCCAGATACTGATATTGATCCAAATTTCCTTGTTATGCTCTCTTTCCAACACAGCACCACAGTTTCTTGAGAAACTTATCCCCTTTATTGATTCATATGAGCCTATTTTCTAACGGCCTTTTTCTTGTGTTTGTTGTTTGTTTGTTTGTTTTTATAATACTCTTAACCAAATGTAACAACACCACAACAAAGATTTTATTAGTGCCTTGATTGGGTCATAATCACCCGGAACCGCAGGTTGCAGCGCTAATCGAGGCAGGCTGGGAGCGTAATTTTTTCATTTGAATATTTTCAACCAGTTATATTGTATCTAAAATCTTCATGAATGTTCACCGCTCTTTAGGTCAGTGGGGAATGCCTACTGTCAGTCTCGCAGGGGTTTTTGGGATACTTGCTGGAGTTTTGGCCTCCATTATTGAGTCCGTGGGTGATTACTACGCATGTGCGAGATTGGCAGGAGCACCACCACCGCCAGAACACGCCATCAACCGTGGAATCGGAATAGAAGGACTTGGATGTCTTTTGGCTGGAGCTTTTGGTACCGGGAATGGAACAACATCATACAGTGAAAACATCGGGGCTATAGGAATCACTAAGGTATCAAAGGCAACAGTTCGTCTTGCTCTTGTGCCACCCAACACGATGGAGTGTAAATGTGTTTTTAGGTTATGACTGAGAGACAAGCGACCAAGAATCCTCTCTTCTAAGAGACAAAAAGTTAATCAAATAAAGTGTGACTAGTGATGCTAATGCATTTATGTAGCGCGTCCTCAATAGGTATATACTCTAACGCGCTTTACAACACCTTGCGGGGGACTTGGGCCAGACTGCATTGAGCATTTTACGATTTTTATAAGTAAATTGGGAATTTTTGAAACAATGTTAGGCCACAACACTGAAAGCTACGTTACCTCCTGCGTGGGTTCTTAAACGTCCCCTGTTATCCAAAGAGGAAACGGGAGACGAGGCCTGCGGTTTATCGTCCTTTTTTTGGGAAGACTAGTCGTTATAACTGTTTGCAGACGTCGTAGCAAGGGCAGCGCATTCTCCTAGTTATTTTAAGACCCTGAGTGTCGGTCCGGTCAGCGAGGGCTTGAAGTCTCGACCTACTGCACTGCAATCCGACGTTCTATAACCTGAGCTAACAAGGTGGCGGTAACCTCAAATCGGTTGATGATAAAATGCAGCTCTTGGGACTCTCTTAACACGAGGCTGGAAATAATTTGGAAATAGTCTCCCACATGTACCCTTGACTTGTTTTCACGACACACTTAGTTTGCCAATAGTCTATTCCCAAGCTTAAGTTTTCAAAAACGTAATACTTATTTCACCTAACTTTCCAAGGTTGGAAGTCGCCGAGTGATTCAATATGGTGCGATAATTGTCATGATCATTGGCGTTGTTGGTAAAGTTGGAGCTTTGTTCGTCAGCATCCCAGACCCCATCGTTGGTGGAGTTTTTATGGTCATGTTTGGAATGATCGCTGCCGTTGGAATCTCCAATCTGCAGTTTGCTGACATGAATTCCTCCAGGAACCTGTTCATCGTCGGATTTTCCATCGTATTTGGTTTAGCTCTGCCTCACTATATGGAAAACCATCCCAACGCTATCGACACAGGTATTCGTCATTATAAAAGTTTTTTCTTTTCCTGCTTCAGAACTCAGATTGTTGTACTTGGTTTGGATTGCATCTTTTTACATGCGCACATCAAGGCTTTAAGCATTCCACCAAACACTACAAAAAGCTGTTTCGTTAGCGTTTCAGAAAGTTATGTTTTTAAAACTTTTTCCGTTCGCTCAAAGCAAGTGCGTTTCATTCCAAAGACATTGAATTCCGATTTATCAAATATTACCCAAACCTGCACATTTTAAGTGTAATTGACCTATAGCTGACTCAGTAACATCTCAAAATTTACCTTGAATACTGCTGTTAGAGAAATCAAATCAGTAAAAGTCTAACCTCTATCTGTAACTGAGTTGTTTTACAAAGTGTGCATGTTGACTTCCTCTCAGGTGTTACCGAAATTGACCAGATCCTGACAGTCCTGATGAAAACAAGCATGGCAGTAGGATGTATTGCTGCTTTGATTTTAGACAACACCATCCCTGGAACTTTAGAGGAACGCGGGCTCAAGTCTTGGAGGTGTGATCTTTCAGCTGAAAACGAGGGAAACTCTCAAACAGCCTCAATAAGAGTCTATGATCTGCCGTTTTGTCTAAAACGTCTTGGTGACTGCAAAGCGGCAAAATATATACCTTTTTTACCGTACAACCACAGTGAACCAAACAACGTATATGATATGGAGTTAGAATATTCTACTTCAAATCTTTAGAGGGAAGAGTGTAGTTAAAGTATGGCTTAGTATGTCATGAAATAACCGTTAGGTATGCTCTAATGCTTTAAATTATAGAAGTGCCACTTCTGCACTTTTTGACACATATAATACTGCACCAAACATTAAGAAAAGATTCCGAAGAAATAATAATTCAGCCTCTATAATCAGGTTTTACTATAGAATCAAATTCATGACTGCTAGGTAAAATCTAGTTCAAGTGAAAATAAGTTTTACTTTTAGCTTGATTTTAGCAGGTTGCTATACGAGATCGACTCTCATGTACATACCAGCACATATTGACGTCACTTTCCAGTGAAAATAAAGCTTTATACGTTAAAAATTCAAGGTTGTTATCTTATCCTTTGATTACAAGATCACAAAAAGCTTTCTCGTTCATTGATTTAAGAGCCTAGACACTTTTAACGGTCAGTGTTCAGCGTTACAAGTACTTCAATAAGGAAAGTTATCTTACTTACTTCCAGGGAGAGAACAACACTCGGTGACCTATCGAAAATGGTTGAAAATTGTAACCAACATTTGAATAAAATAATTTGGTCTATCAACTGAGTTGCCTATACAAATCGGCCACTGTTAAGATTTGTTATAGCTGTCAAAGGGCTAACCCTCGAAACATCAGCTTGAGAAACTCTTTACAGAGGCCTATTTGTATTATCACCTCAGTACATAAAACCAAATTATCTTGTGTATCCCCTTAGCGACGCAGCACCACGGTTTCTTCAGTAACTTACTCCTTTCATTCAAAATTTGAATATTTCTTCCTTTCCAGACCTCTCTGGTCGTCGTTTTAAACGATGCGCGGTTTGATTTTCTTGCGTACTTAGCGACAATTGTTGCAGCTATGTAAACGTCAGTTCAACGGATAGATGGGTCTTAAATTTTTTAATTTATCCTGTCGAAGACAGTGTCTCTTTGATGGGGCTCAGAGATACTTATCCCTTTTTGTATTAAATGCAAAAATGACCTTTTCTGATAAAGACCTGACATTTTTACCAATGTCGCTTTCGAGGCTTCCTATGGCTTCTTTACCACATCATGACTATTTTGACATCACAGCCACACCCCACAGGTGTATTATATATTTTCCATTTTGTCTCTCTACGCCGGAACCAAATCTATCATTTTCACCCCGCGATGGACAGATCATGCTCACACGCCCATTCGCAAAAACGAACAAAGGGAGAGGAAAGTAATGCACACCATACCACGGTACCTACAAACAAAGTGCCGCATCTCCTGCAGGGTGCTTCTCTTAAAGCGGAGACAAGTTAAGGGGGTTTAGCAGCGGTTTGTAAAAGAGCACTTTCCTGCCGGCTGGCGCTAAATCGGGAAAGGCGCTTTTTAGTGTAAATACGGTTTTCAAGAGAAAACTTGACATAATAACAAACCAAAACCCTTTTTGATTAAACTAGCCTTTTCTCTCTGTATTTCTGCTCTGTTGTGAGCATTCCAGCCCAAAACTTTGTTAATTTCCCCTGTTTCCTTAGTGGAAACGTGTTACTTACACAATTTTGTTTGAGAGCGCATTCAGAAGAAACAGCACAAACTATGGTCTGAACAAACTTTATTCTGGAGTGAATATCCTGCCGATGCAATTTGCCAACACAATGATGTAAAAGAGCATTGGAGTTCACAAACCAAAAACTTTTATTTTGATTAAGCGAATGAAACAAACATCTTGTTAAAATGAAAAGCAGATATTTCCTTTCTTAAGTCGTACAGCTACTAGAGAGACTGAGATGAAAACAGAAACAAAAACTGGCACAGTTCTAAATGAACTGCTCTGTAAAGATTATCAAGACATAGCGGAAACTGACGAAGTTCGAGTAAGGAACCCATCTTGTTGGGCTTATCCCCCGTTCTCCTGAACTTGCATTCTGATTTAAGACATTACTCCAGTTAGTGCAACAGAGCGAAATAGTGCACGGCGCGATAGCAGCGGCAGAGCAAAAACGGGGGAAGTTTGGGGCGATCGCGTAGAATTAATTACGCGACGCGACCCGACCCAACCCTCCCGCGTTTTTTTCTTTCAATTCCACATTTTCGTTTATTTCATTTTTGTCGTCAGAATTTGGTAAAAAGGGAAGATACTTGGCAAATTTGTAGTTGCTGAGGCGATTGAGGCCAAACGGCAGATCGTAGATTTTAATAGAAGCTGTTTGAAACTGTTCGCCATTCTCATCTGAAACACTTTGCCTCCAAGCCATAAGCCCGCGTTCCTCATCAGTTCCAGGGATGGTGTTGTCCAAAATAATTGCAACGATACCACCTACTGCCATACTTGTTTTTAAAAGGACTGAGATGATTTGGTCAAATTCTGGAGAACCTGTTGACATAAATAGTAATATTAGTGTGGAGTTTTTTATCATCAGGCAATAAGGTCGACTTGATTTGCTGGTGCTTGACAACTGCGATTGGTGCATTTTTAAGCGGTCCGCTGTCGCGCTCTTCCCTAGTTGTGGCGTCTTCTTGAATGGTTGACATCTATTCTTGGATGCGACTTTTATTACCTGAAGAAGACTTGCAGAATACATTCAATACGTCGTGATCCACTATGGAAAAGATTTCATCGTAAAAATAACAAGTTTACTACATAACAAGTGCATTCATCACGATAACCGCAACCCTTTTTTACGAAACAGTTTTGGTATAATGACACTGAAGACTCATACCTGTCTTGATTGCGTTTGGATGGTTTTGCAAATATAGTGGCAGCGCCATACCAAATGTAATTGAAAACCCAACAATGAACAGATTCCTTGGCGAATTCATGTCAGCATACTGTACATTAGAGATTCCAACAGCGGTAATCATCCCAACTAAAACCATGAACACTCCGCCAAGAATAGGATCTGGGATGCAGACGAAGAATGCGCCAACTTTACCAAAAACTCCAACAACTACCATCACGACTGCACCATACTGGATCACACGGAGACTGCCAACCTAACAGGACGGAAAATTATAGAAATACTTCTACATAGAAATCGTGATAACCATCGAATCATTCCGTGAAAACGAGGTTTATTACTTCAATTCCCACAGTTCTATCAAACGTTCTTATTTCTTCTTGAGCAGCTCTTCTAATTGTATTTCTACAGAAGCAAAATCAATGATAAAGAAACTGAAATCATTTTCAAAATTTGAATTTTTATATCACACGCTTTACTTTGTGAAAATCATACTCAAAGTAATTGAAACTACATGTAAAACTGCATGTAAGGTCGCAAGGTCCAGTAAAAAAAATATTTTCAAACTTCAAGCGAACAGTTCAATAATGTTGGACCTCTTACTCGGAGATACAGAGTCTGAAAAAAGGCAGTTTAGATTAATAGGAGCGCATAATGTTGATTCATCCAGGAAGCACTGAAGGATTTTTATGCGACCGACTGAAACAACAGTCTCCCACAGGAATAGTTCTTAACTCCATGGTAACATACAAGAAAATAGTCTTCAGCTTTTGCCATAAAGTAAATCCAAAAGTTATAGCGCTCTTACTTTCGTGATGCCAATAGCTCCAACATTTTCACTATATGATGTCGTACCATTTCCGGTGCCAAAAGCTGAAGTCAAAAGGCATCCAATTCCTTCCATCCCAATTCCACGGTTTATGGCATGGCTTGGCGGTGGAGGAGCTCCTGAAATCCTGGCACATGCGTAGTAATCTCCAATGGACTCGATGATTGAAGCTATCACACCAGCAAACATCCCGATGACCCCTGCGGCACTAACTGTGGGCGTTCCCCATTGACCTAGAAACACAAAGATGCTTCAGTGACTAGAAATGAGAAGTTACTCTTTACATTGTTAAGAGATTGATTACTCAATTCTGCTTTGGATGGACATACTCTTACATAAGAAAAAAAAACAACAATTTGTGGATGTTATATATCGGAACTTCGGAATAGAAATAGAGTAGGAAAAAGGGTTAGGATCATTGCAGTTAAAGATATTGTCGGTGAATTTTTATGATCACAAGAAAAAAAGTAACTATGAAAATAATATCTCGCTTGTAACCTGGATACGGAACTCTAAACCACTTAGCTTCTCTCAGGACATCAATCCTGGCATCACTTCTGGCCTTATACTGAGGTACGCTGGGATCGGAAGGAAAGCCGCCGGCCGCGGTGATGATGGCGCTAATAATCCATGCTACTGCGATGGCTAGAATAACCTAGTCAACGGCGAGTTAGATAAGCCATTAGACAGGTTTTCTACTGCGCGTCTTAAAACCAAAACCAAGTACTAACAATGTCAAGGTAAAACAGGGTACTACTGGATTTATCAGGGTAATCTAGTATTATCAACTGAGTTGATAATACAAAGAGCGTTGGCCCTTCGTCAGAGCGACGAAGGGCTAACGCTCGAAACGTCAGCTTTAAAACTCTTTACGTTGGCCAATTTACGTTATCAACTCAGTTGATAATACTAAATTACCCTGTTATACTCTCCCACCGGAGGAGAAGGGGCTGAAAGCAAACGTGTCTCGGAGGTTCATAGGTTCAAGAAGATAGCCCTAAAGGAAATGCAAACAAACCTAACACTTCAAGAAACGTTTAAAGAGAGTAATAAAATTGTGTTCCTTTTATAAGGCAATTTTCCTATTTTGCGCCACTGGTCTTCTCGTAGGGATACGATAGACAATAGGCTAGCTTTACTTACTGGAAATAATCTGAATATGGCGCTACGACCCATGTAGCAACCTCCTTGTTCTCTGTTGTACCAGGGAAATGGTATCTTGACGTTGTTAAGATATTGCGAAAACAAGGCTATTAACACGATGGTCCTGAAAAATATAAACACAAAAATCTTTAATTCAATGTTTGTTGTATATGGAATAGTTTATGCTCACTAAGCCTTCAAATAGAGTTCATTTACCCCCAAGATTAGCCTGGTATACCAAAAAAGACTAACATGAGTACATTCCAAGATAAATGTTCACAGACCTTACTCTTAGGTTTGTCAGTCTTATTATTATTTTTATTATTATTATTATTAATAGTTTTCTTTTTGTTTTGAAGAGCGGTCTAACCTACGCATATAAACTCAATTTCTCTCACAGATAAATGTAAGTTCATTGAAAAGTGATAAAAAAGATAACACACTCGCGCAAACCTGAAAAAAAAATTTTACTCGAAGAAGAAATTGACGAAGTTGCACCCCATGACTTACCCAATTTATTACCATTTATTATTTTTCACAATTTTCATTGGCGCATAATTTCCTATGAGGTAGTGGTCTTTAATGACAATTTCATTCTTAAAATCTATATTTTTTTGATATCTAGTTTTAATTTTTGACTTTCTTCTCCACCAACACCGAAAAGATGTGATGCAAAGAATTACACGACCTAACCAATGGAAAGACGTTATGTCGAATTTGTTTGTGATAAAAACTTACATCATTGAGATCCCCCAATGATATCCTTTAAAATCAACCAAAAAAGAATAAGTTAGTAACTTAAACTGGGGATATAATCCTTTCTCGGCAGAATTAAAAAAGGAATTTTTCATTAACTCACCCGATTGTTCCATCGCTACTGGGAAAAGTGCCATACCCACCAAGGTGATTGTGGGCGCTACGGTCAGCGGTCCGATGAAACGAAGAAGATAACCAACGAGGCCAGAGAAGCCGATAAACATTTCAAGTAAGGAAGCAACCAAAATGGCTCCTTGGATCTGGGAAAAATAAATTTTCAACTTGAAAATAACGAAGCATAGAACTTTTAATCGTTGAAGAAGTTGTTGGAAAAGGTTCAATGGTGATTTGGTGTGAGAAATCAAAGAACACGTCAAATCAAACTATTTTACACATTTGTTGGTAAACACGATTTGAGAAGCGTTACCTCTCTCATTCGAGGTTTCCAAATGTCATCATTTTTAATGATTGAGCTACTGGTTGAATTAACATTTTCTATGAAAAGAAGTACAGATTTAGAGAGTTAGAGAGTATCATGCAGAAAGTTTCAATTTCTATTGTAGAGACTCAGCACAGACCTTTTAATAGTTACTGACTCTCAGGACTCGGGATCGAGAAGACGTGGCTCAAGTCTAGGCGAGGTCATTGCACACTTTTTGTGATATTAAGCGAGACATATACATTTCTTGCCCTACAATACGCTGTAAAAACCAGGACAAGGTTTGGTGGTAATTGTAATCATGTGCCACCTAGTTTGTGTGAAGACATTATGTTTAACTTGATATAATAAGTGTTTGTTTCGCAGTGTTGTACGAGTGCTAAGATTACAGAATTTCCTTAAGGAAGGTTTACTTCAGTAATACATGTTTCTAATGTAAGTATTCAGCCGTTACGCAGAATAGAAATAGTAAACAAAACGCAGATAACGTAGATGAGCCTAACTTCATCAATTACAGAAGAATAAAAAACCTTCAAGCTTGGGACATATCCACTGCGGTTGAGACAAGATGGCAAATGTTGGAATGATGAAGGAGAACGTTCCACCTTGAACGATTGGGAGCCTGTAGGGATAATGTTTAAAATGATAAACTCCCAGACGAGAAAAGTGTAACTAAAGTAGCTTTAGCGCTGAAGTTTACTTCTCAGTTTTACCATCACCAACCGAGAATTCGTCATGTGGAAAGACGCCCATCAAATGGTCCAAATTCTGATGGCTACTTTACTTTGTAAACAGGTGACCTTAAGCTGTACATAATCTCTTGTTCCTAAAGTAGCGACGTCCTCGTGTATTCATACTAGTATTTGAGTGACGTGTAGAGGGGAACATTATCTAAACATTCTCACCTAACTCCAAATGTACTCTGTAGGAGAGTTACAATGCCACAGGCAAAGAACGTCGTACTCATAACCTCGCTAATGACAAGCGTGTTGTTTGAAAAACACATTGGAATGCTGAGAATAAAGGGCGTCGCCAATGTTCCTCCAGTCATGGCCAGGTAATGCTAATAACAAAAGGCAAACGAACAAGCGATGTCAGGTAAGGAAAGGTCATTTACAATCATTTTAACGACCGCACCACTTATGCTCCTTCATTAATTTGCTGATGTGACTAGTATACAGGAAGTTTAATACATGAGAACAACGTAAGTTCTATGGTCTCTGCACTTAGAAGGTAGAGCTATGGGTGAAGAGAGAATCTGAGGCTTTAATCCTCGGTATAGGTAGGACTTAAAGTTCTTCCTTTTCCCAAACTCGTGTCAAATGTTTTTACCACAGAATGAGAAATTATGTTCGTTTTGTGAGATTATGGGTCAAAGTGTATTTCTGAGTACTACACAAGGAGCCGAACTCTCAACCTCGGCGCTCTAGTTTCCACCTCCTACAGAATTTGACGGGTGGACAAAAAGATCATTATTTGTCTTCCTAATGTGGCAAGCATCTACATACTGCAAGGATCAGCTATAACAAAGAACATCTCTCTTTAATTTGTCATGTAGGTAAATGTAGGAAATAAAAAAACCTTATTCTGACTGCTCTTACTTGGAAACCCAACAATAAACTGATGTGCCATGGTGGACTCTCATCTATGAGGTATACCAAACCAAAAACTCTCGCTTTCTTTTCTGTCTTCTGCTCAACATCAGGCTCCGAAATCTTTGAACAAAGACAAAGGATTTTATCACAGACATAAATAAAAGAAAAAAATTAACCCTCCAGCAAATTAGTCCGAGTCTTGTTTAGTGGCATGAATGTGGCCTCCTGAAGAAAACTATTCATACGGAACAAATATCAACGAGCGAATAAATATCAACAATGAAATTACTGAATATCATATTGTCGCATTGGGACTTTACTCAGTGTCTCACTTACAACACCAATTCGAGTTAACGAGGTTCTAATTCAATAACAATAATGCCTGTTAAGATAGAAACCTTGCGATAGACACACCGAAAAGAAATTTGTGCGATTATTGCAAACTTGACAATCACTGAAGTGCGCAAAAGTGTGATATTTTAGGCCGTTTGAGCAATTAAAAATCTGCGATATTTCCAAGCGTCGACATTTCATCATTTATTTCGTGATATTTTGACAACTATAAATTAACACTTACAAACTTTTCTCATAATATCACGTTGTAATTTGCGAAACCAGCTGCGTTTATAAATGAAAGTTATTCAAGAGAAATTTCAAGTCGCGTGATAACCCTGCTGCTTTCAGAGTTTTCGCAGCTGACGTTTAAGATGAATCTACTTTATTTAATAGATAATTACTGAGGTTCGCAGCATTATACCCAATAATGCTGCGAACCGAAGTAATTAACTATTATAATTATTGACCCTCATAAAATCCTATTGTTCTCTCTCTGCATTACATCGACGATTTCAGTCGCCCCTTCATATTGAATATTTTCTCAGGCTGAAATCGCCGATATAATGCTGAGAGAGAACAATAGGATTTTATGAGGGTCAGTAATTATTACTAACGAAACGCTTTTTTATTTTATAGAATTCTTAACGTTCTATAACCTATGCACATAAGCTAATTAACGGTTTATTTTCTAATGCGATCGAATTGAAATAACTCACGATGAAGGAAATAAACGGCGCGTCGAGGTATAAATGATGTAATAACTGGGAAAGCTCGAAGAAGTGTCTCGGAAAACAAGCACAGCTAGTATACTAGGACGAGTTTTTATGCAAACTTATCACACGACTTAAAATAGCACCAATAAGACATCAGCTAAATCGTGTTTGAAATGGTGGGGGGTGGGAGGGGAACCAAGAATCAGTTGTTGTTCAGCGATTGAATTGGATGAAAACAGGAAATTGCAAGAATCGTGAATCACGAGATAGATTCTCGATGGGGATAACCGTTAGCCGTAAAACGGCGACAAGATTTCATTTTAGGCGTGAAAATTTTCAAATTTTAACCTTTGGTCATAAAAAAAAACATATCGCTGAGAACTCCCCGACCTGGCAATTAAAGAAACAAGTCACTTTTAAAAACCGAGGGCTCTTTCGGGTCAACCTCGGGACCTTTAATAGTGGCTCTCAATACGGTCAACCGATAGCAGTTGGGCGTAAAAATTGCTAAATTTTAACAGTTGGTCGTAAAAAAGTTCACCGAAAAAAAAATTCTGATGACAACAATATTAACCGTTAGCCGTGAATTGGCCAAAATCTTAACAGTTAGCTGTAAAAGCTATCACCCCATTGAGAACTTCTTAATTTCTTCATAGGGGATCCGAAACAAAATTAATGAATATCGATCCTCAGACTTACCTCAACTTCAATCGATGTCATTGCTTTGGTTCCACACCACACTCGGAAACTTTCAGTTGATTAGTAACGGTTCCACTGACCTGACAATGGAAATAACTGAGAGATTTGAAACTCGATCCCACATACTCTCTAAACAGATTGTTTCAAAGGTCATCAATTCTTACAGTTCTTTCTTACGCAAATATATTATACTAAGTCCGTAAGGTCATCAGAGGGTCACAATCGGGTTGAACATGAAACGGCCAAAAATTTAGCGGTTAGTCGTAAAAATTGAAAAAATCTTAAACGTTAGTTGTAAAAACGTAAACTGGAAAAATATTTTTTTCCTATCTACAATGTGTTATTATGTGAAATTTTGTGTTTCACACTTCGCCGTAAATCGCCAAAATTTTAACTTTTGGTCGTAGAAGCCATGTTTTTAAGCCAGTTAGATCATACAACAACAACTTCTCGATCGGCCTGGTTTCCTCATTATTTTCAACCGATATTCCAAAAATCCATACGAAAGCTGCGTAGATTGAAAACTGAAGGCATCACTGTGACGGGGTTTGGCGATTTCAGGAGATGGGCGTTGGCCTCACGATGTCCTCCTCCGGTAACAAAGATAAAACTTACGAACCCCGAACAAAGACGAAAATGGCAAAAGCCAAATAAATTTGCAATGTTGGACAAGAACCGGCCCCGCAAGGACAAAAACACTGGTAGAATATACGAGGCACGTATTAGAAATATTGTTTCCTTAACGGAATCCGTAGCGAAAAGAATGAATTTATTTGAATTATTTATGTCAACCCGTGAAAGAAAGGAAAATAAAGAGCTTTCCACTCATCCCTGTCTGCTTTTTGATTACTCAGAAAAAGGAAGGAGAAATCAGAAACAAGAAAATAATTACAGCGGAAAAAGGCGAAGAGACACGAACTTGAGCAACTAACAAATGTTAACAAGAGACAGATGTGAAATCTCTCATGATCAGACAGACGAATTATTGTCGTATCAAACAAATATTTTTCCATAGGGCCTTGACTTCAGTCCCACACCAGCTATGAAAGATAAGCGCACAAGCAACATTTGCTGCGATAATTCGATGAATTGGGAAGACAAATGCGCCTATGAAATATATCTTCCGCAGTGTTGATGAACAACAACATCCCTTCCGCGTTAAATCAAAGAGGCAAACGCCAATACAGCTGTCTGTTGCTCTGAAAATTTTATGGAGTAGATAAAAACGGAAATCGCGCAAATCAAACTTACAAAGCCGAAACAAAACCTGCCAAATGATGAAACTCGGAAATCATTGTAAGGAAGGCAGACAAAGGATCAGCCTTGGTCGTAGTGACTAAGAAAGACAAAAATTCAAGAGGGGCAAAGTACAACTCGATGACAAGAGTAATTTCCTGCCCCTTGGAAAACCTATGTTAAAGAAACACTTCGGAGTGTTTCCAAAAATATGAACGAACTCCACCTAAACAATCATATTGATGATATGACCAAGAATTAGCCAACGCAAAGACCTGATCTACAGCACATTCCAGCTTTTTCCACTCTCACCACCAGGACTGATGAGCCAAACCCCATTGGGAGACCAATTAAATCGGACTGTGATGGCCCGTGAGTGCGAAGATCATCTTTTGTTGACTACAATATTTAGCCGATAGCCAAAACTAAGAAAATATCAACTCTTGTCAAAACACAGAAGTCGTATCTCAACGATATCACATCAATTTCACCAGAAAGGACGATAGTCTTAAGCTGCGCAATTTTATTCTCTATAGATGTAACTAGCTTGTACACGACCATTCCGCAATAAGGAGTGAAAACTATATGCGAAGTTTTCGAACCTTTTTACACGGGAAAAAACCAAATACCAACAACTTGCTCAGAGAAATTCTTAGACCGATACCGCATGAAGGAGAACTCCTTCGAATTCATTGGGAGCAACTGTCTCCAACCATATGGTACCGCTATGAGCTCAAAAATGGCGGTTGCCTCTGCTGATATGTTTATTTTTAAGCAATAGAGGATACTTTATCCTCTCTTGGTCTAATGAAGAAGAATCAGCTCAAATCATTCGGATGGAAGAGATGCATTACCGCTGTCTCCTCCCTGTGGGAGCAAAAAAGAGAAGAAATCGACCTCCTAATTCTTGCAACGGGCGTCATCCCGGTATTACACTCACGGCTAATATCTGAAGAAGATGTATACTTTCTAGATATTACGATACTACGCATATCAAAGCTATTGAAACTTTTCAGTACACACTCTTCACTTCCTATCCGTCTGAAGGATTTATCAAAAGAGAAGCCCTCAGACTTCACTAAGAAAACAATCTTGTTGAAAAAACCCTCACAGAAGTTGTTTTTATCGACTGGACAACAGGAAGAACACTCCAGGAGAGAAACGAAGAGCGACTAACCAACTGCCTTTGCTACACAATGTAATTCATCGGAGATCAACCTTATAAAATGATATAGAGTAACTGGCGGATTATTGAGAACTGAGCAACCTAGGATTCGGGAGATTTGTAAACAGCTTCCAATAGAGGGAAAAATTGCTTAAAATCATGCTCGTCAGCTAAAGGTCACAAGCTTCGAAAACAACATATGAAACAAAACTGCAGGAGTCGTGTCAGGCTGGTCAACCCACTTGACACGTACTTTGGCCCGAATCTAATCGCTTCTCCGTCTGACAAACATATTTGCATGTGATGGAGGCAAGTTGTAAAGTTGAGGCAGTTGAGATCGTGTGTCATGTCTGAGTAGCGTGATGGTCATGAAAAACAAACTATGCATGGCTGAAATCGTCTGTTCAAGTTTTTCGAAGCTTTTCCTGAGTTTAAGTTCGCAACTTTTGCAAAACAGATTCTATATCTTAAGAGTAAATTCGTTTAGCAAGCTAGCTGTTTAGCTAATTTCAGAATATCAAGCAGAACCCTGACCGGGACGCTATTTCTCGCAGAATTTGCTGAGAATTTTGAATTTAGTTTCTGAATTGTAAATTGCACAAACAGATCTTAGCGTACTGTGAAAAGAATATGCTTCGTGCTCCTCACGTGCTAATCCAAAAGTGATACAACTCGCTTTTGTTTATGAGTATTGGTGCATGTACAGAGTCATAAAGAAATTCAAAATGATAGATACAAAGCAATCATGAAATGACAAAAAGACACATCGACTTTGGACTGAAGAACAAAATACAAAAAAAGATTTAAAGAAATACCCAGTTCCATGTCATCCTTTCTATGCTGGTATATGCACTGACATAACCGGGGTTACAGTTAAGTTTAACAAACGGCTGATGTGGCAAAGTTTTTTTCAGCGTGAGAGAAACCACACAATTAAATTTGTTATAATTATGTTGAAATAAAATTCATACACAAAAAGAAACAAGACTGGCACATGAAGGAGAAAATTAACGAGTATTAAATTATGCAAACTCTCCAGATGCAATTACCGTAACATCACGGCCTCATTTAATATACGTAACTTGTTGTTAACTAGTAAATACCTCTCATTAAGATTTGCTCAAATATACAATTGAGATGGTGTGACACAACAATTCAAGGTTTGCACCGGTTCATCTTCTATTTCACAAATAACCTGTCGTATCCGACGAATATTTACAGTATCATGCGTGCATCACGTTTCCGAGTTTAGTTCTTGTACCTGCATAATCAATGAAGTCACGCACCAAGTGGTTAGTTTGACCTCGAGTTGATTTCCGTTAGTATTCTGTTGGTGTTTTTGTCCAACGGTTTAACGACACACAAACGTTAGGATCCTTAACTTTACAACTTTAGTGGAAACGTCTGGAGAACGATTATGGCAGAACAAGAAACCAAGGTGAGTCAGCTCGAACTGATTCATCGTGTTTGATTGAGGCTTTTGATAGTCGGTTCACGGTAGCCCACGTTGTATACGAGATTGTTTTTTTTTCTAATGAAGTTGTACATCAGTCCAATGATATTTCAGTACGCCAATACAATGCTGCTACACAAGTCCGCAAACACAAGCATCTTTGTTGAAATTTGTTTTGTTTCAGACGGTTTTGCATAATTTTCCTTTCATTGATATGGAGCAGTTAACGTTCTCAAGTACGCTCCTAAATCTTCGAACTCAGACGCGGAATTTTGACCTGAGCAATTCCCTATTTCAGAATACAACTGTCGTCGGTCTTTCGTCGGTTGCTATCCAAATTATAGCTGTTCTAAAACTTCAAGCTCAAAGTACAACTCTTCATGGCTCTTGAGAAAGAAACTTTTGAAAAATACTCAGTGAATAAGGGCCCGGCAGCTGGGCATGGTCACAAACATACTAAATGCCCGGCACTTAGAAATATTCACCAAAATGCCACTGAAAGGTTCCTTCAAACTTGTTATGATTATCAGATGTTTTTTAAGAAATGTAAAGCGATTCCAAAAATTAATTTGTTCTTTTGGTGGATAAATTCTCCGAGCTTGTGCATGCTACAATGTCGCTCGGTTGTCAACACTGAAATTCTACGCTTCTGATCAGACTGCCGGGCACGGTCTTAAATTAATTTTTGGAATCGCGTAACATTTCTTAACAAACATCTGATACTCTCAGGAAGTTTGAAAGAACCTTTCGGCGAAAGTTGCGTGAAAATATTTGACTGCCGAGCATTTAGTCACATTCTGCGAAATATGCTAATAATTTAGAAGTATTAGCAAACTTCAAGAGTCATCTTTTCATTCACGAATCGTATTTTCTGTTGACTTTAAACTAAATCATAATGAACAGTTGGGTAGGTTTTGAACTCATCTTTATGATTTTGGCGCATTTGTTTGTAAAGGGTATTATCCAGAAGACGTTATGAAACATCAATGGATAACATTTCGAGCCATCATTTGTTCAGACTGATTGGCCACGTGCTATTAGTGTTTATGTTAATTCGCTGATAGGTGGGTTGTTCTCTTGGGACTTCAGTGCTTCTGAATAAAACCCGCAGGGTCTCATACTTAAGACGCAGTCTCCCTTAAAGCGGTCCGGTGCGTTTCGGGTCGAAAAATCCATTTCTTTCAAACTTCGCCCGGGAATCTATCTTGGTCGAAAAGTTTTTGAAACCACCTTGGTTTTTTTCAAATATAGCAAAATAATATATTCTGAGTGAAAATCACCGTTTTTAACGACACCGATTATCAAATTTTTTGTTTGACACCTGCTTTGACGCTATCGCCATGACCTGAAATATTCAATTTTTTTTTATCTCGGCTCAGTGCAAAATTCCAACTTGTTTCCCAAAGTATTTTTATTCAGACTGGCTGTAATAGGGTAGAAGAGTGTGGAAATATAAAAACATGCTATGATTTCGTCGGACTTCTAGAATAGCCGGCCAAAAAATTGCGCGTATTTAAGAAAATTCGACCTAACAATGTACATGGAGCAGTCTCAAAAATAAAGGAAATTCACGGGGCTAACTTATCTTTGACGAGTCATTTGAGTCCTTAAAAGCCTTTTCATGACTTGCAATAAGATAAAAAAACATCTTTAACAAGATTCAGGTTTATTCAGAATAGTACTAAGTTTCAAAGTCGAAGTTTTCGTATTCGTGGTACTTAACGTGAATTCCTTTTCAGTTGAAATATGTAACATGTAATCAAATAATATTTTACTACTTGGACTAATTTATTTAAGGTCCTCTCTTCTGAGTTGATTAAACATCAAGTTCTCACGATGTCGCTAGAAATAAAACATTTCATGAAAACCCACAAAACAAACCAGAAGGATTTTTTTCTAAGACGTTAGGACTTATGTGTACCGCCGTCAGGTCGCAAAGTTATGTTGTTAACTCGGTAACTTCACTAACGCGTCACGCAACCTCAGTTTGTCAATAATAACTTAATTGACGCACTAAGCTTTGTTATTTAAGTTCCTGTTGGATGATTCGTCCATGTCGATAAATCACAAGTTTTCAAGTAATCGTCTACGATTGAAAATTTGATCGGAACAGATAGTAAATCAATCAGGTAGAATAGTTCCAAAGACTACAGAGTGTACAAGACTTTGTTGTTTTTTCCTGCAATTCGTCCCCGCACCAAAAAGTGCACGGATGTGTTTTCCATCAATTAATTTTTTGTCACACAACCTTATGCAGTCCCAAACATCACCTCAAAGAAGAAGGACTTATGTTTTACACAGTGCCCTTTTTCGGTCTTGGCGTTTCAGAAAACTCAAGTAGATGTAAATCTTTTCAAGTCTTCTTAATTTTCTCACGTCGTCCAAGTGTTCCTTCCTAAAGGCCTACCACGCATAATCCAGAATCCAAATAATCCAAACCGTCACAAATGTCATTGACAAAGTTGTGGAATTTCAATTAACCGAAAGGACTGTTTGAAACTTGCATTGCGTAATTTTACTCTTTCATGAATGAGCAATCTTCGACCATTTGTGATAGTTTCTTAATCAAGCTTGATTTGGTGTCTCTTGATGTTGGATGGGATTTCAAAATGCTTACACATTTCCTTGAGCATCTTAACCTTGAGAAATGAAAGTTTGTTTTCAAATGCCATTTCGCAAAGGTTGTAGACATCATACATCACTGTATGCTTGACACCAATTTCAAACTCTACGGCTACACTGGCTTTCTCGAGCATTTGTTCATCAGTTAGCGAGGAATACTCTTCAGCTAGCTCTTCAGGCTCGGCGTCATCGCTTGAGGTTTCCTTGCCATCTGATTGTTTTCTCTGAGAGAGTCGCAAAAAAAATCCCTGGATTTGAAGCTTTGAAAGCCATTCCACTCTATTAAACATTCGTGTGCCATCGGTGTCGCGAGTATTGCGCATATCGTTAGCTACTTGTGCAGGATCTTTCTTCCTTCCAGTTTTTTACCAAATCCATCTGGTTTACTTGTTTTCGTTGTTTTTTTTTTCTTTGTTGTTTTTTTTTCGAAAAATATCTTATTCCCGACGATTGTATGCGAACTTATACTTTATAAACACAAAAGAGTGACCTTTCCATAAATAAATTCTCGTGGCGAAATTTTATTAGATTTAAGGTTACGTTTTCGCATTAAAAAGGACTGCACTTTAAGCGCTGTTAAGATGAAAAGTTTTGAAATGAACAATATGAAATATTCTGAATAAACCTTAATCTTGTCATAGCTATCCTGGCCTCTGAAGTTTTTTCCCCCTTCTCATTATTGACTGATAAACAAAACAGTAGGACGCCGAAAGCTGAGTGACAGCTTACGGCGGCTCTGTTTTTGTAAATGAAGATAAGGATTTTCTTTACTTAATGTTATGGACTCGACTTATGGATTCAAATCACGCGTCAATCTTAAGTTGGTCGTATAAATTTCGTTAATTTTTGAGACCGCTCCATGTGCTTTGTCAAGTCGAATTTTCGAAAATGCGTGCCACTTGTTGGCCGGCTATTCTAGAAACATGCGATACAAAACAAAATCCTCAAACTGGAATTTTGTGAAAAGAAGAGCTCGGCAGTTTGTGCTATTTTTGATAATCAGTGCTGTTAAAAACTGGCGTTTGAGCGCTGAAGCGATTTTCGCTCAGAAAAAAAATTATTTTGCTGTATTTGAAAAAACCAAGGTGGTTCCGATTACTTTCAGACTAAAATAAATTCCTGGGCGAAGTTCAAAAGAAATGTATTTTTCGACCCGAAACGGACCGGACCCCTTCTAGGAAGACTGCGTCCTAAAGATGCACAATTCTCCCGCATTGTGACTTTTTCTACCAATGAAATTCGCTTGTGGCTTGGTCCCGACCCAATTGCGGGTTAATTCCTTGTAAAACAACCTGCATTTCATCGCGTATTTCAAAGTCCAGATGAGCAACAACCAATCATGGAGCCCTCTTTGAATTGTTATCCTTTTCTCTTGTTCAGTGTATATTCACTCATTCGAGATCGCTATATATATATATTTTTTAGCAAGGCTCTATAAGAGGTGTAACAGAATCTCGGTTTGCTTTTTGTAATAAAATTACGCGGAATTATATTTTTGAAGCTACAAACCGTAGTCGAATAAATTTGATTTTCTCTCTGTTAGAGGAACGGCAGTACGTGCAGTCTTTTTCGCAACCGTTATTTGGTTCTAATAGGATATTTGAAAGGAAAGGAACAAATTGAAACCAAAGCGCGTAATTAGTCATGAAATCACGCGGAATTTGAATAGTTATTACTACAATAGTAGCAGAGCACTACACGCGACCTTACCTGTTAACGTGTGTTTCTCGCAAAGAACTTGGAATAAGAAGCAAATCACGCAACAGTTTCACTGTACCACGTGAAGTCAACCTTCAAACTTCAGATGTGTTAGGCAAGTCAATACAATCTGTTATCAGTTACACCCGGTTGAGTCGCTTTTATGTTTTACCCAGTTGCTGTACTGTTTGCAATGAGTGAAGGACCTTCATACAGCGGGGCCTGCCAAAAAATCAAGAGATAACCGATATATGTATATATTGCTGTCAATTTTTTTTCCTCACAAAAGCCCATGAGTTGGCGACATGCCCTTTTTTATCATTCGCCGATCACGTGAACGAACTGACCTGCTAGATAGCTTGAGGTCTCTGCCAAAAAGCCTTTTTGGCAAATAATTGATGGTATAAGCGGGGATGATGGCCTGGAATATTACAATTGAAAGAATCAGGAATGAGGCAGAAGTGGATGGGCTGTAGACCAATAAGAGATTAAGCCGAACGGAGCGAAAAATACCAGTTTGAAGAAAGTAAAAATTCAATTAAACATAAAGAATCGCGTAAATGAAATATTAATCGACTGACCTGTAAAAGCAAGGAATTATCAGAATAGAGACATCATATTACCTAAAATTGACGGGTGCAAAGAATGTCCATAATATTCAAGAAGAAAACCTAACTTAGCGTGCGCACGCTCCAAAACGTCGACATCTAAAAGTCACAAGCAGAAGCAACTGCTTTCTTGTCACATGAGAAAACACATACCTTGCAAGTGTTATCTTTATTAAAGGCCTTTCTGAAAGGGTAAGAAGTTTTATGAAACTTGTACGCGCGAATGCTCACATTTCAGAGGAACTCTCGACAGCAGGCAGACAACAAGCGACAAAACAGCTGAAGCAGAATTTGTATACCAGGCTTGCAGACTCATTGCTTTAGGAAGCCTCTTGTGTGCCTATCAAATACTTATCCATTCCGAAACTTTTCTTTCAGCTTAATGGTGGTCACCAAACTAAGAAAAGAAGTAAAGTTCTCGGTTTGTCTTACCTTATCAACGAGCATCCTCCATGGTATATCTGCCTCTTGCTGGGTTTCCAGGTATTAACAATTGGCCTTAAAGAATTTTGTGTTTTTTTATTTATTTTATGCGATTTAAGAGACAAGGTAAGCATCCATCGAACAAATTTGAAATATTGTGGCAAGTCGCCCAAAATTCATTTCCCTCCTACTTTCATATTTTGTAGCCCAATATTTTCTAATAATTGTGGTGTAGTTTTTTTGCGAAAATATATTTTAGTTTTCGAGAAATGACTTTTTTCGTTCGATCATAAATAAACAAGATAAGAGTGTGATGCTAGATTTTTTTGCAGATAGTAGTGATTTATGCCAGTTAACGGTGGCGACAAGTAGGCGCACCATGTACATTTCATAGTCGCTATCAAGTAAATTTTGCCGGACTTTGAGTTCGTCTCACAAGGAAATTTTTACAGTAACTTTATAACCATCCTTTTGTCTTATGAAAGCTTGAAGCTCAGTAGATTGTGTCATATCGGTCATTGTTAAAACTGTCTTTGTTTTGAAGCTACTTTTCGATATAGGAAAAGTATGTCTGACAAAAATATTCACCAAAAAATAAATATTTCTTTGGCAGCTTCAATAACGACAGAGGATTAAGTTTAGATGATAAAACAAAGGATTATGTTCACAGAAATACCGTAGGTCTAGTACATTCGTTATATGAGGTCACACAACTCGGGTAATATTCACGGTGAAAATTTGCATATTTGAGCGGTCGAACGATAAAAATTATTTCTCGAAAATTAAAATATATTTTTACAAAAAAAAAACTACACCACAATTATTAGAACATATTGGGCTACAAAATATAAAAGTAGGAGGGGAAACAAATTTGGGTGACTTGCCGCTGTTTGTTTGATGCATGCTGATATTAGCTCTTAATATGATATGATTCAGAGCTGTGTTAAGCAACATCAGAGAGAAAAAAGCAGTCATTTCTAGTGGAAAAAATTCATCCTCGACACTAAAATACTATTAATCTATTTTCTTTACCATATCATATATCGATTCAAGATACGACTATCATATGTTTTATTCACAAAAAAATTATTTAATGCATAATCAGAAGCCTCGAGGTTAGAATGGGCTATATGTTTCTGGCACGATATAATGCAGTCACTTGGATGAACGCGGAGGAGGGGGAGGGGAGGGACGTTGCCTCTCATCTATGGTTTTCATCATCACGATTTTCTCGTCTCAGGAGATACATGATTCACAGAGACATTTGGTCCTGGAGTAGGTCTAGTAAATTTTTGTCCTTTTTTGGGATTTAGTTCCCGTTACACTTCATCGATAAGAACACCTTCTCACAGTCATGTCGTTATTAAGTTACCCTTGCTGTGTTACGATTGTGTTTTAATTACAACCAACTAAGTAGATCAACCAATCCTGTGGCATCTTGATGACGGAACTTCTTGTTTCATTAGATACCTGTGACTGAGTTCTTCTTTTCCATCAAGAGTCGGGTACTTCAGCGGCGAAGTATTCTTAGCGACCAAAACTTTCACGGCTTTATTGTCATATCTCTGTTTTTATTTTTCAGCATTACTTAACCATGTTGGGAGGAACACTGGCCATTCCGTTTATCCTCAGTGGTCCAATGTGTTTTTCCAATAATACGCTTGCTATCAGCGAGGTACTAAGCACCATATTCTTCGTGTCCGGACTTGTGACTTTGCTTCAATCCACATTTGGAGTCAGGTATGGAAATATGACGACACAAGTCTATAGATACCATTAAAATCGCTAATTTTCCCGTTATATTGTGATGAGTATATTAACAACAATTGTCGCCCTGTTGAATATTTTACACTGGGGCAACGCTCAATCAGTTTTTTCGCTGATAGGATTTACCTTGAGGCATAAAATATTTTCATCCTTCTCTAAGCTTGACACTTTGTCTTTTGATCTGCTACTATATGGTTTGGCGAATTTGTGTCAAAATTTGTGTCAATATAACACCCATCTGCCTTAGATCTTGCACAATTAACACGCCTTAAAGACGGTCTCATGGGATTAACCGCAAGCCTGAAAACGGCAAAAATTTCAACTGGTAGCTGTGAAAGCCATCACCCCCATTGAGACCCTCCTTAAACGGCTATAAAACAATAGCGGCCATTTAAATTAGATTCTCTGACCCACAATAATTCAGTTTTTCATGATTACAGATTGCCAATCGTTCAAGGTGGAACATTCTCATTTCTCACGCCTACATTTGCCATTCTGTCTTTACCACAATGGACTTGTCCAGATCCTGCTGGTAAGTAAGCTTCCTTTTCTAAGTTTATTGTTAACTCTTTCATGAAATAACAGTACAAGTTCTGCGGTGAATCGGTTGAGAAGAGATTTTGTTGGTGATCATTTCCTTTATTCTCGTGACCAAAATGTGTGATTCAGGGGCGATATTGTTAGGAGAAATTAGATGCTGGTCATTCCAAGGGGTCAAGGGATTAAAGGAGAGGTACGCTCTAGAAACGATATGACTTCTGTCTCTGCCATTATATGAACGTATGAAATCTACAACTTGCCGCAGATTGAGATGCTAAAGTTAGCTTTACCTTTTAATTTTTTTTCCAATGAGCCAAAAAATATTAGACCATGTACGACATCAAATCGAAAAAAAAACAACTCAAAACCCTGGCCACAGATCTAGAACACGCTTTACACAAGCAGCTACCGCTCTCACCGTTATGGTTATCGCAAAAATCATATTTTGGGTCAAATGTGCCCTTTGGTGTAGCAGATAACCAGAAGAGGAGTGGGACTTAGTTACGGCACAGCACTAAGGCCAGGTTCCTAAGCAATATTCAAAATGGTAGTGTCTTTGACACATTTGGAGGCAATTTTCAAAGAGTTAGCTCACTATTTCAATCTTAGTTTGCAATCAGAGTTTCAACGTCATATCCACTTTTCTTAAGTAATAGTAGAGATTAACGTCAAAAGGTTTCTGGAGCATACTTCTCAAACTCATTTTGCCCATTTTGCATTCGAAACAAAAGAAAATTGAAATTTATGAAAAGTAGAAATATTAAGATATCAAATGAATTTCCTACTTTCCTTTCTTCAAAATGTTCAAATAAGTCCTTCCATGCTTGACTAATGCTTGTGTTTTTAGCTGCAGACAATGGTAACTCTACTGAGAGCTCTCTCGACAGTGATGACATCTGGAAACCTCGAATGAGAGAGGTAATGGTTAAACTGGCTCTTGTAAAACGAAATATGGTTAGTTATTGATGTTCGCAGATAAATCGCTTCTCGGTTGATAAGCTTGAAATGCTTCCTTGATTTTTTGACACTAACGGACTATAGAGCGACACTAAGGGATTATTCTGAGCTTATTATTCACAGCTTTAACAAAAATGGGAGAGGTAGATATCAGGAGAGCTCTAAAAACACAATAAATAATAATAATAATGATAATAAGCAATATGAAATCTCGAAACAGATCGAATCCATAACTTTGCCAAGCTTATCGAGGTTTTCTTTCACCTTAACACCTAACCATACCTTATTCGAGAATTTCTGGCTCATATGTCAAAAACTACTTTCACCGAAGTCGTTGTCATGTTAACTAAACTTTTAAACACTTAACCTGCGTATCCTTGCGTTCACAGAATAAAGCAACTATTAATACTTTTGTCGATTCTTCTGTTTCCAAGGTTGTTGACAACTTTAAATGTTACCAAATTTTTTTCATCACAAATAAAAATCTCTTGCACAGATATAATTTGTTATTTTATTAGATCCAGGGTGCCATCATTGTTTCTGCATTGTTTCAAATCGTAATCGGCTTCACTGGTCTCATTGGTGTACTACTTCGGTTTATTGGACCGCTGACCATAGCACCTACAATTACTTTAGTGGGCGTGGCACTATTTCACGTGGCTGCAGAACACGCGGGTGAGTTCACCAATGGAAAACTATTATCGCCTGCCGATCTCATTTTATGCTCGATGTACACAACTTAAAAGTATGTCTACTTTTAATATTCATTGTTACAGGAAACCACTGGGGAATTGCAATGACGTAAGTCACTTCCTTCATGTATTTTCTTTTATCCCGAAATTGACGTAAGAAGTAGAAGAACGGTCGTAAATATGTTTACGGAAAGGAATTAACTATTAGCCGTAAAATGGCTGAAATTTTAACTGTTATGCGTAAATGCCATTGCTCCACTGAGACCCTTTCAGACGGTTTTCGTTCGCGTCAGATATGAAAGTGAACCAAAATTGGTTTACTTAAACCTACAATCAGCGACAAAATTGTGGACCCTTTGATCTTTTCAACCCCCCCTCTTCCTTCCTTGTCTTTTTGCCCTTGTTAAGTTAAGTTTGCCCTTGCTAGGTTAACCTTATCGCCCCCTTACCTCCCAAAACAATATTGTATCGTGATACCATGAACCTTTAGCTACCTGCAGACAACATTGAATGGGGAAGGGGTATCTTGTAAATGATTTAGAGTGTGGAGGAAGCAGGAGTGTCGAGGACTATTCAAATACGATGTGTCAACTAATTTTGACCCTGATTGTCGGTCCATTGGAAAGAGGCATAGGTGAGAGTGACTCTTTCAGTAACCTCATGGTGCATAGGAAAGTCTTTTCACATTACCGAAACCTAGTTACAACAAAACGCTCAGTGATCAAAAACTCCGTTTCATCGTGATAACATGCAGTCAAACTGATGAACGTGCTCTTCGGTTGAGTGTCATAGAAATGAATCTGAAGTAATTACAAAAGGCAATCAATTGAAAGGAATGAAAGTATTGGTTTCAGATTTGGATCTAATTGGTCAAGGAAGCAAATTAAAATGAAGCCAAAGAAATCCCCGATTACTTTCGAGACTTGATCAGAAACTCCATCATTTGGCTTTTTTACCTTTGTGATTCAGGACAATCGTGTTCATCGCTTTGTTCTCACAATACCTTACCAAAGTGAAGATTCCATTTCCTGTCTATTCCAAAGAACGAGGAGGTTGTTTTGTCGGCCGTTTCCCTTTGTTCAGACTATTTCCAGTGAGTATATATGATTAGCTTTCCTGAATGTGCTTTTCACACTAAATTAAACTTTCCAAATACGCGCGTAATTTTTGGAAGTTTAATTTAGAGTGAAAAGCACAGGAATGCTTTTAAGTAGCTCAGTACAGTGAAGCTAAAATGATGTCTCGTCGAGTCATTCCTTCCCGAGCCAGCGAGGAAGGTCATCCGATCATGTACCGATTGAGCTCAACACATGTTGTATACTGTCAACGTCTTAGCCCGTTTGTATAATTTCACCTTCCTTCATTTTGCGGTCAGCAGCAGTTCATCTTTGCAGCAAACGTTCTTTGCACCTCAATAAGAAATTTCGTTCTTAAAGTGTTTACAACAAACCTTTAAGCTTACCTTCGTAACGCGTGAAATTTTTATCAAAGTCTACATGAGTTTTCCGTCTCTGATGGTTTGTTATTTAATTCCATTTCACGCAGGTTATTCTAGCCATCGCCTTCTCATGGATTATCTGCGCCATCATCACTGCAGCAGGAGGTTTTCCTTCTGATCCCAAAATTCCTCAGTACATGGCGAGGACCGATGCAAGAAGCGCTGTCTTGAAAGAGGCCAAGTGGTTTAGATTTCCATACCCTGGTAAGAAACTTCAATTAGTGTTCAGTTTCTCCCGAAGTGTATCGCTCTATATACTATTTTGCTGCTTCTACAGGACAGTGGGGCACACCTACTGTGAGTGCCGCAGGGGTTTTTGGGATGCTTGCAGGAGTCTTTGCTTCTATCATTGAGTCAGTGGGTGACTACTACGCCTGTGCAAGATTATCAGGAGCGCCTCCACCGCCAAAACATGCTATTAACCGTGGAATCGGAATGGAAGGGATTGGATGTCTCTTGACTGGAGCTTTCGGTAGCGGAAATGGTACAACATCATATAGTGAAAACATTGGAGCTATTGGAATTACCAAGGTAAGTGAACACTTTAGATTAGACCTAGATATAATGAGCGACAGCCATAATCGGCATTTCGAACGAAAGTTTCTCCCTTTGGAACGATAAAATATAAGAAAGAAGGCTCGAATATGATTCGACTCAATATAAAATTCATTTGTATTGTCATTCTTCTAAGATTGATATCGTTGATCGCTTTTCAAATCTAGTGCAAAATCTTTCTAAATGAACGATATTTTAACCAGCGGCATTAAGCAACATGGGGCTTGACCACAACGTGTAAAAACACGAAACCAAGTCACTTATGAAGAAAGGTCGATAAATTTTCAGGTTGGAAGTCTGCGTGTGATTCAGTTCGGTGCCATTGTAATGATGTTCGTGGGTGTTCTTGGTAAAATTGGAGCCTTGTTTGTCACCATCCCAGATCCCATCGTTGGTGGAGTTTTCATGGTAATGTTTGGAATGATCGCTGCCGTTGGAATCTCCAATCTGCAGTTTGCTGACATGAATTCTTCCAGGAACCTGTTCATCGTTGGATTTTCCATCATTTTTGGCTTGGCTCTGCCACATTACATGAATAATCATCCCAACGCAATCCAGACAGGTATGATAAAATAATGCGTGTGTGAAATGGAAAGTGCCTAATTGCTTACCAGAACCAGATGTTGTAAGATGTTATAAAGCACTTTTCAACGGTACAACGATCAAGTATCGGTCAGAATCCCTACTAACGTAACTTCAGAGTGGTTAAATACGACAGGTAATGATTTGATACGCGACGAGAACCCTGCATGCCGTGCTGCATGCAGGAATGTATACCGTACCCTGTTTAAGGGTTAGTTAAGCAGTATGGGAACAATTTTGACTGAGTATTGTCCAGTAAAAGAAGATTTCATTTTCTGTCTCGAGTGGTTCGAATAAAAAAAAGGAGTTCTCAGCTAGGATTAGAATCTTATTCAATGTTGCTCATGACATCGGCTTCTTTAGGTAAGTAGGCCGGATGACGAAGTCTGCACTCGAACCATGTGGCCCATCAAGCCCCGCTGATGCCGGTCTCAGTATGAGGTAACTAGGAGTATTGCCACGCCCCCCAGGAAGGGGACGCTAGCTTATCGCAGTTTCTCCTACCTCAAGCATTTCGCAAGGCTTCCGACAGTTCTGTTACCAATTTATACTCCTGAGGGGAAAGAGGCTCCGAGAGAAAAAAGTGCTTTCCTTAAGAACACAACAAAATGAGCCAGCTGCAGTTCATGCTATACTAGTTATTTGTCTAAATTCCCTAGTAACTTTCGGATTTTCTCTATAATGGTTTCGGAGGCGTTGAAAATATCATCTTGTTATTGACAGGTGTTTCAGAAATTGACCAGATTCTGACAGTCCTGATGAAAACAAGCATGGCCATAGGATGTATTTCTGCATTGATTCTAGACAACACCATTCCCGGAACCATCGAGGAACGCGGGCTCAAGGCTTGGAGGCAACATCTTTCAGATGAGAGTGACGACCATTGTCAAACAGCCCCCATGAAAGTCTATGACCTGCCGTTTGGTCTCAATTGCATTAGCAACTACAAGGTGGCCAAGTACTTACCCTTTCTTCCTAACAACGACGAAGAACACCGAAAAAGAAGCAGTATTGAACGTAATGGCGATACGATGTTGTAAAAAGACGCACACGTTTAGCTCGGTAAAGAGATGAAACGTGTCTGACGAAAAACAACTTAAATATCTAATAGTAGTGCGGTGGCTTTATACAGCAATCCTTTTAGAAAGAATATAATTTTCGACAGTGTGTAATGTGTGTTTGTGAGTAATGTAAACTGCAACTATATTATCTTTTAAACAATATCGTTTTCTTTAAGGGAAACTGAAAACAATCCCATCGTGATACACTTAGCTTCCGGAAAATATGGATTTAAAAAAAAATGCATAAATGTTTCTTACGCGAAATCACTCCTATATACATCGTAGATGAAAAAGTTGCTAACAGCATTTTCACTTGCTCCTATGCATAACCAAGTGGAAATGCCTATGCTCTAATATACATGCATAGCACAGTTATGATAACTGCACTGTCGGCAGCAATTTCGTCCAACCGTTCTCCAGGTTTTGAGATATGACTTTCCGACTTTCTCTTAATCAAGGGGTGAAGTTATGTAATAGGTTCCAATACTGTAGATACGATGTTTTCTGTATCATTTATAAAGTATTTGTTCTGTGCAAATAATAAACATATAACTTTTTCCAAAATTACTTTCAATTTCTTCGAAGCAGTTCCTCAGGTTTAAGCGAGGGATTTCGAAATTGTTATTCAAAGCTCAGTTAATCACTTCTGAGGGAATACTTAGCTTTCCTCTCACAGACCTGAAATTAAATTTTCTGAAAGTGGAAAACTATAAATATAAAAGTAATGATTGTTCATTTGCGATTTTAACTTAAAGTTAGATTGCTGAACATCCCCTAGAACGGTTTTCTTCAATAAGTGTCTACACCTGCCACAAAGATAAGCGTCCCGAGAGGGGGGGGGGGGAGATTCACGAAAGTTTGGTTTCGCGGGAACACATTTGAAATCGTATCCGTCTAAACCTATATCCTGAGAGAATTACAAAAAACTACAACGGCTAACACTGTTTGCAATCAAGTTCTTTTACGCATTCTGCCATTGCTTAGCTTAAATAAGAAGAGAGAGGCTGGAAACATTTGAATTTACGAGGTAGCTAATGGCGTACGCGATTGAGGCTTTAGCCGAGTGAAAAAACAAACTTAATATCACTGCGCAATTTCATTCTCACAAGGGAATAAAAGGAACATCCTGTACTGCACGGACACTTTCAAGGGCGAAAAAATCCAGTTTGCTGCTGGTTTCAATCATACAGGTTCCTAGAAAAAGCTTTTTTAATGTTCTTCAACAACAACATGATAATTTTCCTACCTATATTCTATGAATCTAAATGCGAAAGGGTGTAGAGATGGTGCACATGTTTTTTAAAAAAAAAATTGCGTGCACAGTCAGGTGCGAAGTGACAATAGGAGAAACTCGTTAAACGTCATTAATTGTTTAGAAGACACCGCTCCCGGAATACATACTGAATTGAAAATTATCTTGAGCAGCAGCAAGTATCTTTAATTCCTTCAGTTTGCATCACGCACTGTTTGAGCTGTTAGGGTTTAAAACTTTTTTAATGTTCTTCAACGGCAGATCATGGAACCGGTTCAACTCTGTTTTGGTTTTCGGCAAAAACTGAACACAAACGGTTTTTAAAAGAACACAAAATACACATTCGAAATCTTGAAGGGAAAATTTTTTATTTCTTGATATTATATAACATACATTTGTTTCGGCAAACTAGGATCTATTGGTGAGTTGTCCTTCATAACTGTTTCATACTAAATTTAATTTGCACCCTTAATTAAATATGATTAATTAATTTAAGTGAAGAAAATCATGAGTCGTAGTCATAAATTACTTCAGGGAAATTACCAAACAGTCCTTGGAAAAGTTTGCGGGAGCCAATACTTTACTGAGAATATAGGATGCACGGGGCATCCAAAAGCATATTTTTTATTTTCCAAAAGCTCAAATTGTTTATGGAAATCGTCGAAGGTGGGAAGGGAAATTTGTGTGATGAATGAATCGCGTGCGCAAACCGATGCGAAGGTCCAACGAGGACAATAACCTTTATCTGCAATAAATTTTAAATTCATTTTCGCACCTCTAATATCTTACAAAAAAGACAGCACGTGAATGAATATCATTCAAAATGCAGAAGGTCCAACGAGGACAATAACATATTTCTGCATTCCATTTTAAATTATTTTATGTCGGTCTAATATGTTAGTTCCTGAAAGACACTTTTTGGTAGAAATATCATTCAGAATGCAGACGAAACTTTAGGCACAACAGAAACATTTTACATTCCATGTATGGTATTTTATGCCTTAACCAGTTCCAAAGCATCAGAGGTAACGAATGACTAGAAAATAACCTGAAAATAAAACTGTGAACACCTACAAAATAAAGTTGACACATTGGCCAATGAAATTCTCAAAGACATTTCTCCAACGCAATAAATCAGTAGCCTCATAATGTCAACAGCAACCAATAGAAACATTTCCTTTTCTGGTGTTTTCTCATAACATTGCCAGCTGAGAGCGGGGTGAGTAGATTACAGAGAAGTTGGAGACGGTTCAGATCAGTTTTAAACCTTTTATATTTCAGCCAAAAGTAGAGCAGTTTCAGTTTAAACCGCTTTAACACGGAAAGATATAAGGTAAGGTATGAATAATTTCATCTTAGTACACGAAACTTAGTATAAAATTTTCTCGGTGCAACCAGAAGAAAATAAAGTGTTACTTTACACTCTCTTCAGACACACAGAACACGAACCGATTTTCCGTGTGTCACACAGGACTTCGAGGCAAATATCCTGTTCGAAATACATGACATTGAATTTCAATTCCCTTTATTTTTATAATTACGTTTATGGTATACATTTTTTGCAAGCAATTTTCATTTTCTAGCATTCTGAAAGTATACAGTTAGAGCTCAAAAAATAGACTGTGACAACCATCAACTCGGCAATTTCACCTTATCAATATTGTGGTTTATTTCTTTCAGTTGCACCAGACATGATGAAACTATTGATCTTGGTTTGTCTTCTTGCCCTTCATATGGAGCCTTGCAAGTCAGATTTATACATGCATTTCCTGCCAGGATCCAACAATCACTTGAATGGCGCGGGTGAAAATGTTGTAAACAATGCCAGACTCTTTGATTCACAGGTTGATTCGCCCTTATCCAACACTCAATTTACTTGCACAAGCCTAAAAAAAATTAACTCTTTTTTTTTCAGCCCAAACGTTTAGATATGTTAGAGCATTGCTTCCTTGAAAAGGAGACATAATGCTCGCCTGAAATTTCGAATTGTGTGATCGCAGCGAGACCAGTCTAAATATGGCTAGAGCTTTTCTATTTTAGTTTTAGTCTTGGATTAACTCCAAATTTGTAATTTAAGTACCTTAAAATGTCTTCCCATAATTTCAAGGCTTTAGAGTTTAATCACTCAAACAATAGTCGTGGTTGTTGTCAGTGCTCATAATTCCATGGACTGTAAACGGATCTGCTTTCTAATGGAAGTGTGTATGAGAGGTAGCTTGGAAAATCGTAGGTCTGACAAACTCGTCAGAGCGCATTCTATTTGTCTCTTGAAGTCTGGCAGGTTTTCCGAAGTTCAAAGACGAGGATTTCTAAGAGAGAAGTCTCAACTTTTTAGGTAGAAACGTGGTTTACATATCATTGAGCTGAATTGTGGTTAAAAATTTTTTTAACCGCAATTCAGCCCAACCTATTTCTTTCTTAATATAGTCAGAACTTCTGACAAAAAAAGATTCATCTTTGTTTATTTTCTTTTTAGAACAACGACAACTGCGGATACAATGTGGGTGACAAATATGATGATAACCCCGGAGACAATATCCCTGAGAACAGACAAGAACCAATGGTAAGGCACGGCAAACCTTAGGTGCCATTAGCTTGGCTTGTAACATGTATGAGAGTATGGGGGGAGATGATCTGATAGTCAGTGAGCTGGAATCGTGGTCAAGAGGTAAAGCCCTGTCAGCAGGGGAACAACACTCTTAGCTACGCCACAGAAACCGCGAGAAACTCCCGTGGAGCGGATCACTAGGCGTGTAAGCTGCCTGACCCTTCTGAAGCAAAATACCTTTTTAGATATGCATGTGCATTATATTTTACAATTAGCTTGTAAAAGTTATGAAAAACAAAGGTGAATATTTAATTTTTATTTCAGGAATTTTACATGAGTGGATGTTCCTTTCATGCGAAAAATGAAGTGGATATCATGTGGACAAATCAGCATGGAACAGGGTTCATCACAAATTACTTGGAGAGGACTGCCGGAGTATTGAGCACTTGTAAAGGTGTGGGTAACATGAAGCTGGCAAAAGGCGTGCCCTACGAAGCACACAAGATCTCAGAAGGATGCGATAACAAGAGACAGTATGTACTTCTCAACAGACCTCCTGAAGTGATCTACGCTCCATCTACCGTCGTCAACCACAACGGAATCAACATGGAAGGCAATTTTTCCTCTTACAAATGAAGGTCCCTTGCTTTCCATCTAACACAACACAACGTTGTGTTGTACGAATAAGGTAAGAAAGATCAAATGTATGTTTTTTAAAAGTTTAATATCTTGCATCTTAATTTCAATGGGAAATCACGGTCTATTCGCTTGTCCAAGAATTTAAATTCTTAAGCAAGTTACTTACAGGACTGAATAAATTTCCAAAAGCCACATCAGCTTGTACTATCTCCAAATGTTATACAATTTGTACAGACCACAGAGGTGAATAGTGCTTTTCGTGCGCGCTGATTGGCTGGTTTGGAAGTGATTAGCAAATACAGTACTAGTCATCTTCGAGCAGCCGAAGAGACAAAATAGCCTGTCAGCAATTTAATTTCCGACCGTTTTTTGGTATATTGACAGAAATAAACTGATTTTTTTGCTTCCTGTGTGGTGTATATACTAAAACAATTTTTCACCTCAGTGTCGGTGCAAGTAGTGTTTATTAACCTCCACTTTAGTGAATGATTGATATACATATATCTATGTTTTTCTAGATACATCATCACCACTGATGACGTACCAAGGGAATTCAATGCTTCTCATAATTACAAGTAGGTGTCGATATCTTGTGCTCTTATTTCTTTACTTACTCAGGACTTTTGAAAAAGGTGCTCGAAACATGGCGCAAATTTGGCAAGCTAAAGTCAGAATCAACACCAGAAATCTACGTTAAGTTTACAATGCAAGTTAAAAAGGGACCCATGCACCAGTTTAGAATGGAAGGTACTACTTGGCTAAGTAAAGAAGAATTTATTTGAGTCTTTACACCTTTTTCACCTTTTGCGACTTTTCACCCGAAATGATTCATAGTTGTTGTAGCGAAAATGCGGTTCGATAAAAGAAATGGTAGAAAATAATGAAAGACATTTTTTCCCTTATTCCTCTCTGGACCTTGTTCTTTTACAACATAGGGCTACTCCTCAATAATTTCAAACTTTAGCCTTTACACATTTTAGAGCAGCGCCTAGAGCATTGCGAGATGGTTGACTTTGTATTTGCAGACTCGAAAATAACCCCGAAAATAAAATCCGTTGATATGACAGACCTACAACTGGCCTTGAATACTGCTCAAGTTGGGAGAACCTTCCAAGACAGAAGTCATGTGATCCTCCTTAAACCGCGAAACATAATGCAAACGCAACATCAGCATCGCACCATTCGCTACATCGGGGGGATTGGAAAAAGAGGGAACATTGTACAGACCTATCCTGCCATGGAATATCGCTTTTTTCCTGAACGCATCACTGTCACAACAGAGGAAATTATATGTTTCGTCTGGTCTGGTATGAAGAAAAACCTCTATTTACCACGTTGAATTGAAACTTTTTCAACAAAAATTAGCTATAGCTGAAAGTGAATTTTCGACTGTCTTTGTATCCTTTTGTTTCACAATTTCCTTAATCCTCATCCCATTAATTTGTAAACTCTTATTGTACAGACACATGAATATCATGTTGTACCAAAATTGCATCAAAAATTAATTTTTGCCATTTATTTTGCTTTTTCAGGTTCAAACAACAATCCTCAGTACTATGCTGGACAAGGAACAGCTGGTAAGAAGTTGGTGGACACAACTATCACAATCATTCTCAGTAACATAAAATAATGGCCAAATCACGCATACGTCACAGCCATGACCCTGGATGAGAAAAAATGGACGCAGTTTACTCAATACTTTGCGTTTTTTTTTTTTCAGGAACGGATCGCACAAACGTGTGTTGGATTAAGGAAGGATGCAAAACTCTGGCGCCGAAATCTTGTTCCAGGCTCCCCTCTGACGTCGTTGAACACGTTGAAAGATTTGACAGCGACACTTTGAATCTTCACCTCAACAGGGGGTGTTTAGCACGTGACAAAACGCTGGATTCTCAACTGAATAATGCCCCAGCCTCCTGTAACCCACCGTACTTCCGCATTACGAAGCCTGGGGAGTACTGTTACATAGGTACGCGCAATAACAATTTCTCCAATCGACGTCACATTGGTCAGATTACTGTCATCAATCCTGGAAAGTGATTGAACATTACATGCTACAACTGAGTTCAGGATCATTACCCAGTGGTGTAGGCTTTTTCAATATCGGGATTTCTGTAGCAAAAAATAAAAGGCGGAAATAAGGGCATTTATGTTCAGTTCACGGTTGTATTTCATTTTTATGAAAGGTGTTGGTATTTGCGAACAGTTATCTTGAAACTGTTAAAAATATAGTGAGAAAGTATGGGTTATATGTGCATTCGTGGCTAATTTTCTTAGTGGATGACCTTTTAAGATGCAATTCGTTTTAATTTCTCAAGCATTTAGCGAATTAATAGCAATGAGCAATCAAGACAATAGTTTATATTTCAAAATTACTTTATGAGTACAGCGACATGGGCAACCACTTGTGTTAACTTCCGCATATGCAATTGATTTGGCCTTCCTGTAGTGACCACCTAGGCGCCAATAGAAACATCCACACAAGTATTAGTATTATATGTCGGTGGTATAGCTCCTAATAAATCACAGAGAATTATTTTTTACCACGTGACCCATTTTGACCCATCATAATGCGTAAATGAGCCACACACCAAAACTTGAAAAAGCAACGCTTAATAATCCACCTAACCATGGTAAGACCAAAAACCTCTTGAGACTAAAATTGCAAACATCAAGACTCCGCACCGATTTGTTTCCCCGAGAAACTTAGATGCACTGTATCACTGACTCAGTACGGGCTGTTTGATTCGATTCAAACCTCATGAACCCTTTAGCCCAGTCTTATCCTAGTCTTTCTTAAGAATAAAAATAAAAATTCCCTCTTTAACGTGCATTTACGAAGAGTCTCATTCGGTATTTTTCATATCTGGTGTACAAAAAAACTTTTATCAAATCAGTTTGCATCAGACGGCAAACGATGATCCCAACACCTCTGATTGATCCCCTAAACCTCTGATTAGAACAATTCGAATTAAGTATCCAGTATTACATATATTCTATGAACCAGTTCACGGTATGGGCGTTGTTGGTTTTTGGTATCGCCATCTTAACTGGCCCGGCAAAGACTTTCTACGATTTTTTTGAAAGAAAGCAAACATAAATTCCAAACCCTAAAGTGAAAAAGTTTGATTACTTGATAATGACATGTATTTGTTTGGGCAAAATAGAATCTATTGGCGAGTTTTCCTTTCTTATTGTTTCATACTAAATTTTATTTTCACGAAATTCCGAAATGATACTTTGCACTGATCTCCACTAATTAGGATTCGATGTAAAAGATAAGAGATAACTTTATTTAAAGACACTTTAAGTCGTAGCCATAAATCACTTCAAGGCAATTACCAAACAGTCCTTGTAAAAATTTCCGGGAGCCAATATTTTGCTCACAGAAAGAGTTGCCAGGCTGCAACGCATAATTTCATCATAAAAAAGCTCAAATTGTTCATGGAAATCGCCGAAGGTGGGAAGAGAAAATTGTGTAAGAACAGGTCATACAAAAAAGAAAATGGGATGCACAGGGCACCCAAAAGCTCTCTCCCCAACTTTATATTCCACTAGTTCATTTTCATATGTAGTGCAGATGTGGAGTAAAAAAGCACCGTACGTAATGAATGATTCGCGTGCGCAAACCGATGCGAAGGTTAAGGATAATAACCTTAATCTTAAAATGAATTTAAAATTAATTCGTGTCAGTCTAATATGTGACATGAAAGACAATTTTCCTTACATATATTCAGAATGCAAAGTTTCTATGGGCAACAGAACGCACTTCGTATATTTTACATTCCATGTATGGTATTTTATGCCTTGGCGGGTTTCTGACTTCTTTTGGCAGAAATTGCCACTGCAATGGCAGACGAAACTTTAGGCACGAACTGAAACATTACTTCACACTTAGCCAGAAAATGTTAGACGTTAGGGGACCATCCGAAGCATTGGACGAAACGAATAACCAGAAAAATATCTTGAAAATAAGACTGCGAATACCAACAAATAAAGCTGATATATTGGATTCTCCAAGACATTTCTCCAACGCAGTAAATCAGTGGCCTCATAATGTCAACATCAACCAATAGACACATTGCCTTTTCTAGATGTTTTGCTCATAACGATGCTCTGAGAGATAGTTGGGCAGATTGCTGATGAGTTCGAAACAGTTAGGATCAGTTTTTGACCTTCAATTTCAGCCAATTTTATAGTACTTTTAAAACACTTAATTTAAAAAGATAAAAGGTAAGGAATGAAGGACTTATTTTATCTCAATGTTGGAACGTTACCAGATGCTTCTCGAAAAGAATGAAATGTCTTGTTTACTTTACACCCCATCAAGGCAGACGGGAGACAAGCCGTTATCGAGAAAAGGGAGAAAATCAGCCACTTCGTGCGCCACATAGGACATCGAGGTAGATACTCTCTAGGTAATTCACGACCCTGAATTTCATTTCCTTCTATATGTTACACATAATTACGTTTATGCTATACATTTATCGCGTGCAGTTTTCAAAATTTCCAGCATACTGAAAGAAAATAGTCCAAAGCTCAGAGAAATTTTCTTTTGATAACATAGTCAATCATAATTCGTACTGAAATAAATTTTACTTTTAAAAATTGAAATTATGTCTTTTTCTGCAATGGCGTAAATTGCACTTCCCCAGCGAAGATTATTGCATTACTTGAGAATATACTTTAAAATCTTCATTCAATTTCAGCCTGACAATTTTAAAGTTTGTTTCTTTCAGTTGCATCAGACATGATGAAGCTATTGATCTTGGTTTGTCTCCTTGCCCTTCATATGGAGCATTGCAAGTCAGATTTATACATGCATTTCCCGCCAGGATCCAATAATCGCTTGAGTGGCGCGGGTGAAAATGTTGCAAACAATGCCAGACTCTTTGATTCACAGGTAGGCCGCCCTTATCCAACACTTGATTTGCTTGTACAAGCTTGATATAATAAATAGATTCAGCCGATATTAAAAGCGAAGCATCAGCTAGTTAATTTTACTCTGATTTAGCTCTACACAGGCTTTTTACGAGGCCTGGCTGAGAATGCCTCTGCCTTTCCAGCTTTCCACGTTTTGAAATTCAAAAAGTAAAAATATAGCTCATATCAAAGATACATCTGTGGAATGGCTAGCAATATTTTAACAAAAAAGATTCCGAGCTCGAGTCGCGGATTTTTTGGTGCAATCCACAGAGCATTACATAATTACATTGTAACAAAAATTGAAGACAACTCTGAACATAGTTAGTCAGGCTGACATCTTACCACCCTCCATGGAGAAAATTAGATTTATTGTCTCCATTAACATTTCCTTCATTTTTTAAAATGATGAAGTTTTTAGTTTGTATATTTCATTGTCTTTTATTGATTAGTCTGTGTTGTGTGTGTGTTTTTATCAATTCTATTAATATTCAAAAAGTATGAAGAGAAACTTCAAGGATAAATGTAACATGCAAAAAGAAAAACAGCTGTAGAAGAATACGCAAATAGATTCCAAGTTGCCGTGCGTCTGTTCAGTAATAGATCACAGAGGACGTCAAAATGTGGTAAGAACAAAAAAGTGGTATTTGTTTTATATAATAACGAATTAATTCGTTTTATATAATAACGAATTAAAATATACGGAAAGAAGTTTTTATGATGACGTTATCTATACGTCTGTTCTCCAATAGATCAAAAGTGAGAACCAATCAGAATGCGTGCATAACTGAGCTTATTATATAATACGCAAATAGTTGAATGCTTGCTCATGTAGCGTAAAGCTTGATTTATAGCACTTTTTTACGAATGGGCTAGAAGCAAACTTTTTTAACCACATGCAAGCATGTCTTCTAGGTTCCGTGCACGAAGTTAGCCAAACAGCAGTTTAGATTTTTCAATTCTAACCTCATAACAGGCTTTGTGATGTGTGTCGATAAGAAAGTGGTTTCATTTATTGGCGGGACAAACAACTTAATTCTTACGATTCGAGCGAGTAAAAATGTGTTACGTAAAACGCCAACATACACAGTAACAAAGTGTACACTGCATCGAAGGCAAACTACGGTTCATTTATTTGTTATTGAGCTCTTACCGAAAACCCGTGAAGCATCAAAAGTAGTTAAGATTTTAACGTTCATTTATTTCATTTTTTGGCGCGACAAAAAACTTTAGAATTCTTTCAGTTTGAGGGAGTGTATATCTATCTTGTAGACTTCCATCAAACACAGTAATGCAAAATAATAGGGACCAATTACAGTCAAGTTTTTTGTGTGTGTGTGTTTTGTGTGGGTGTGTGTGTGTGCGTGCACCTTTGCACACCTATGGGGACATTCATATGAATACACAACAGCAAAGTGGGGTCTGTTCAAATTGTGGGGACATTTTCAAGTCCCCACAAAAAAAGTCCCCTTAAATACGTAGTAATAAGAGAATAGACCATCATAGTGAGGACTTTTGAATGGTCCTCGTAAGTCTGTTCGTATAACACACATCTTGAGTCCTCACAAGAAGGTAAAAACACAGAACATGGAAAAAAGTTTCTTTTTGTCTTGAGGTACGTGAAGAAGTGCCCAAGAAAACCATTAAGATACTTAGATTAACGAAAAAATAATCTTTTAATGGTTTACACACTCAAATTCTACATAGAGTACACACACTGTGTGTAATGCAGATACTCACAGTGCCTGAGTGATATTAGGAATTGCAGAATGTACTTTGTTAAAAAACTGTATTCTTTACATTATTTCTTAATGTAAGTATCTTTGACTTTTTTAGAGCACCTCCTAAGGTGCTTTATGGCTAAAAAAAATTTCCAGTCTTTTATTCTCTCCCTTTTTGAGAGGAATCAAGGTGTGTGTTCTCTGAACCAAAGTAAAGGGATTCTTCGGGAGTCCTCATTATGAAGGTCTTATTTCAAAGAATAACCCTTTAAAGAACATAAGCACCATCTGTTTTCTGTGATCAGGTCTTTATACCGAGGTGACACAGACTCTCAGACCCAAAAAGAACATCATCAAAGTCTCATTATTATTATCATTATTATTACTACTAGTTCC